GGGACGGGACGGTCAAGCTGTGGGACGCCGGGTCGGGCGCGCTGCGGCAGACGCTCGATATTGGAAACATCGTCTACGCTCTCTCTTTCTCCGATGACGGTACCTCTCTCCAGACGGACCGTGGATCCTTGCCTATTTTACCACCTCTCTCTGGTGATATAGGTGTGACCAGTATACAACATCCATCTTCTATCTTTGTCAATGACCACTGGGTGAGTAGCCATACAGAGCGGATCCTTTGGCTTCCTCCCGAGTATCGGCCACACTGCATTGCTGTGTATGGGGATATTGTTGCTTTCGGATATTTATCTGGAAGAGTTATGACCATGGAATTTACTTTGTGATATTTCCTTAAGCTTTATTTAACCTCCTCCCCGCCCACCTTCCTTACAGATGGTGTCTTTTATATACTACATGAATAGCACGAGTGGCGATAGCCGATGAGTAATGTTTGATTAGAAATCCAAAGGCTTTAAAACCTGATTGGTGCTATTATTCAGAGTGTTTAAGGAATAGTGCCTCTCCCATCCCGTCTCCCCTGCTTGCTGCTCTGGCAGTCTCGACAGAGGAACAGGGCGTACATACCTACTAACGCAGCTCAGAACAGGGCACTCGTGGCTTGCATCTCATGCCAAAATCCACGGCTTTCGAGATGATGACTAATACGAATGCGGAGCAAGAGAGACGGTGGTACATGTCCTAGTGGACTGTCCGAATCCCAGAGAGCTAAGACAACAGCCTCAGAAGAAGATAGGAGACGCTTTCAACAGTATCACCGGAATGCTTAGAGGGAGACCTTAGGATCAAGGAAGAACCAAGAGCTGGACAGTTGACAGCTACGTCCTAGACGCAGTACTTGACTTTGCGGAAGCATCTATTAACGAAATAGGAGCGTTTCGCCTAGGCGGAAAACCCTCTGAAAACGGCGTCAGAAACAGCCGTTTTTGGAGGCAAGTTCGGTAGCACACAACGCTACTGCGTACTTCTCTATCACTACAACGCCCCATCTTACCTTTCCTTCTTCCTTTCCTGTAGATTAGGTATCACGAATGAAACCGTATGTAAGATACGCCTATCTTTGAGGTTCTGACTTCATTACAAGTCTGCGCGAAAGATGATCCGAAATCTTACCCCACTCCCTTACGCTTCACCTCATGTCGTCGCAAATGACGAGGCAGGTATGCAGGCTGACGCACGTTGGCGAACAGATACCAAATGCTGATATATAACAGATAGTCCTACGAGAGTCTCTGTTGGTCCCCCTTGGAGATGATGTCTTGGGCCCTGTACTCCAACTAATACACATCGCGAGCCGATCTCCATGCATTGTCTCTCGTTAGTAAAGGCTCACGTGCAACTACTGTACCTTTTCTGTACTCGAAAATCGGATGGTCATGGCCAGAAGATCCTCCTCATATTGCTGCTTTTTTGCGCACCATCCTGCGTAGACCGGAGACAGCCGCTTATGTTCGAAGCGTGGCTCTCCTTGGAGGTAATCATTCCCTGGGCCGTATCAGGGCGATGCTCCTCCCAAAATCCCCATTGCTGGGTTGAGCCTGAACGATACCGTGGAAGTCATCGAGACGACCAGGGTGACTTACGCTCATCGTTGGGTAAGGAACTCCGCAGCGGCACGATGGATGCATTTGTCGCGCTTCTGTTGTCACAGCTACACTACCTGAGATATCTCATTCTCGGTCCAAACTCTGCAAAACAGAGTGTGCTTCTTGGGTATGCTCCTTAACTCGGCTGTATGCAAGAAAGGCGACCATGGGTTGCCCACTTTTCAGCATCTCCGGGAAGTGACTTATAAGCTTAGAGACTATCATTATCTTGGGGATGTCTATGGTAGAAACAGTGCGAATGTCCTACCCTTTTATACTTGCTAAAAGTCCAGCGTCTTTCCGTTTCTCAATAATTCGGTCACGTTGAACTGGCCTATACACATGTCCCCTAACCCGTCAACAATCACATCATTTAGCTTGGCTTCAATCCGAGAGACACATCTCTCTCGTCTGCTCTCGGTGACTCCGGAACTCAAAACTCTACGATGGGTGTTCAACTACAGCGAAGAAGCCAAACATGCGCCAAATACATCCCTGGTTGAACTTGATAAGGTTGGGACCTCTCTATTTCACGTTCGCAATACGTTAACAGAGTTGACTATTTCCACGCAATGTGACAGTTGGAGGTACCTTTACCCTCCACTTCTGAACACAAAGGGATCTTTAAATGCTCTCGTTGGTTTCTGTCAACTAGAAAGGCTTGAGATCCCATTGCAGTTCTTGGCAGCTAGTTTCATACCGGCCACCGCGGTCCAGCTCAAAGACGTGGCTCCTAGGCATATTCAGTCCTTGATTATCGCCGCCGACAACTTAGAAGAGCAAGAAGAGAATGAATAAGATGATACGGCGCTTTACAACATCATCGCACTATGACTGGAAGACTGGAGTGCCCTTAAACCTGATCTGCGCACTATTTCGCTTTTGTTAGAGCTAACGGATGCGGACTGGCCCCGGTATGAGACACGCACTTACATAATTGTGGGATTAATGCGGATTCGAGGCTAGGACCATCAAGATATTGAAGGATATATAATTGAAACCTTTATACGGAGCTTCGCGACGTCTGCTGATGTCTCGCAGGCGGGCATCGGGGTCAGAGATTCGGAGCGACCCGTGTCCAACTGCTGTTCACACGGAACCTTTCCCCACTTCAGTCTTCAACGTTCTCAGTTGAATATTTGCTACTACCACCAAAAATATCTGATCAGAGTTATAGACAGTCAGGAACTTGGTAAATCTCAACCTTGAACACATACTCTGTCCACTTCTTCTATAGATAGCCGACTCCCCTCTTAGTCGCGTCTGTGATAGAGTATAATGCTGGGGTTAGGTCGTCCGTATAGAGCGATTCACAATACGCAGAGTCTCGTGGTGTATCCTTTTTGGCGTAGCGGTGCGACTTGTGTGCCCTTCTCATTAGGATAGTCCCGGCGTCAGAAACCTCCGTTTTTGGAGGCAATTTTGGTAGCACACAACGATATTCCATAAAAGGAAAAAGGAAACTTCCGGTTGAAGGAACGGTGGGTAGTTATTAGGAAATGCTTTGCTAGACAACCTACTATTGTTGTCGAAGTAGGTATGGAGGTTGGCTACCGTATCTACGCCGTACTCAATGATAGCTTCGCCAGGCCACGTTGATCAGAAGATGCTGGGTTAATATACAACCAAAGCTGGAATGTGAAGTAACATTTGCATTATTAGAGAAGAAGACAGCTACTCAGCCTCCCTATTGATCTGTATCATCTTATCCTCTCCACCACTCACGATCCCAATATCCCTATCCCACGCCATTCCAAGCACCTTCACCCCCTCGCCCGCCACCTTCCGCGGCTTCCCCTTCATACTCTCTCTCGGTAGCGTAAAGACACTCTCAACCACCAACCCCTTCCCCTCATCGCCCTGAGAATCCCCACCCTGCACTGCGATACTTCCCCCCCTCACATCCCAAACCCTCACCTCCCCATCATGACTCGCACTGGCCAACCCATACTCGCTCACCGGGCTCTGCGCTAACGCCACCACCGAATTCGCATGCCCTTTCAACGTCTTCGCCACCACCCTCGCCGCCCCCTCCCGCGGATCTATCAATACCACCGACCGCGCGCTCGTCCCCGCCGCCACCAGGCTCAACCCCGGCATCACGCACACCGACAGCAGCGGATGCGCCACCATCCGCGACGACACCTCCGCTGTATTCGGCGCGTCCGGCACCGCTAGCAGATCCCATGTGCGCAGCGTGTGGTCCTGCGAGACCGAGTACGCGACGTTGGGCGCGGTGGGCGAGAACGCGACGCCTGTGACCGGAGCGGCGTGGCCGGCGAGCAGTGCGAGCGGACCGCGCTGGGGGACGGTGGGGCCGGCGCGGGAGAGTTTGCGGCGCTTGGAGCTGGGGAGGGAGGAGGGGAGGAGGTCAGTAGGGGCTTCCGGGGCGGAGGACTTGTGGGCGGTCCAGACGCCGACGGTGTGGTCGGAGGAGGCGGAGAGGATGCGGCCGGAGGGGCCGTGGACGGCGATACTGTCGACGCTGGATTGGTGGCCATAGAGCTCGAAGGCGGGGTCGATGGTCGCGGTGGCGGGAGAGGTGGTGGATTCTTTGTAGCTCCATATCCGGATGGTGCGGTCGAGGGAGGCGGAGACGAGCTTTGTGGGGGATAGGAACTTGACGGACTTGACCCCGCCGGTATGTCCTCCATTTCCGAGCGATGGAGACGTGGCGACGAGCTCGGAGGACGTGTTCCACACCCGGACGAGCCCGTCGTAACTGCCGGAAAGGATGCGCTGTCGGCTGCCGTCGATGTGGGCGTCTCTCGTCCATCGTGCCGCGGGAGATGTTGCAGAGAGGACATCCACCGAGCTCACCCAGTCATCGTGAGGGAACGTCGCTGTCTGCGTCGGCGGCAGCAGCGCACGAACATATTCGACCGATAATGTGGTTTCCGCCGATATGCCGTTCGCGGTGAGAAACTCATCTAGGGTGGTCCGCAGAAATTGACCGTTGATGAGGAATTCGAACGGCACGGGCTTCTCCGACTCGAGGAGCGAGTTGACCAGTGTTGAAAGAGCATATCTTTTGAGGTCTGCCGATCTTGTCAGTCTGCAGTTCGAGATCGCAATGTTGCCCAGGTGGTTTTACATGGTACTAACTTGTCGAGACGAGAATGGTCTGGCTGTCCTCGGGCAGCTGAAGATCGTCATGGCGAGTGGAGAGCCGTACTCTCACTTGGTAGGACGGGCCGGTGGGTTGATCGTCCATGACTGCGTTCTAGAAGTTTGTGTTTGGGAAGTTCGAATCTCAATGAGCGGAATTGTTGAACGTCAAAAAAAATCCGGTGGAAGAATTAATTACAGCGCCAAGACTTCAGAATTCAGAATTCGGGATGCAGGGATGTGCGGCGAGACCCTGATGCTGGTTGCTGAATGGGATCCCCCTGATATTTATATCTGCTAATTATTTGCCATAGGATTGACCGTAGGATTGTTTGTAGTTTAATACTTGATCGGTAGGGTATCTATGCAGTCGCCGTTCTTCTAATCTGCGCAATGGCCTTCCTCCTATGCTCCGACTCCGCAAACAACGCCTGGATCAAATCCGCCACCTCCTCCGCCTCAAACTCCTCCCGCAATCCCGCCTCCGTCCACGCGAACTTGATATCTGCCAACGAACTCTCTAGAATCTCCATCAGATACCGAAACTTGAACCAATTCGGCGTATACACTCCCGTCATATCCCGCTCCTCCCCCGCGTCGTCTCGCTGCACGAATAGCTCCCCAACTCCTGTCACCACCCCGCACAGCGCGCTCAGCGTCTTCGATTCCTCCTCGGAGATATCCGCCATGTCTTCGATATCGAGGATCATCTTACCGATGACCGTTGCAGCCAGCGACCCGACCGACTGCAGCAGCGCCGAGTGCGAGAGGATCGGCCGCCACTCCGCGTGCACCTCCCGGATGCGGTCGACAGTGAAGCGCACCGCGCTGTCGCATTCGGCGGCGAAGGGCGGCTCGGTGCAGTGGGCGAAGCCTTGGGCACCTGCCAGGAGGTCGCTGAGGATGGTGCGCTGGGAGTCCATTTCGCGGCCATAGGCGCGCTTCCCGAAGCTGGAGAGGGATTGGAGGTCGGGGGTGAGGCGGAGTCGTTGGGAGGGGCGGGACTTGGGGGGGAGAGGGGAGGTTTCGTCGCGTTGGGCGAGGGAGGAGAGGTAGTTGTGGAGTTGGTCGGCAAGACGGGTGCAGTCGTTGTAGACGAGGATATTCCCTGCGTTGTCTTTGCTGTAGTACGTGATGGCGGTGGCTCGGTACATGGCCAAGGCTAATGTAGGTATTGAGTAGAGACCCATGGCAGCTCCTGCAATGGGTGAGTCGGCATATCTGTAATATAGTTAGCCGTTGTTGCTCAGAAGAAATGGAGGATGTACCTCTCCTGCGAAAGTGTTTCCGCATCTGAAACCACTTCCTGAATGAGCTGGAGTATTTCGTCTGGAATGGCAGTGACTGTGTATGTCTCTCGCAGTGTGATTTCTTCGGCCTTGTTCTCATGCACCGCTTCCTTGCCGTGTACATGGCCTGCTGGTGGTTTGCTTGCAGCAGGCTTTGCAGGTGCCGACTCCTTGACAGTCGTTGCATCTTCAGCATCATCTTCTCCCCATCCCCAGGCATCAGCCTCATCTCCGCCTTCGTCATCATTTTCCGTTTTCTCATCCTCGTCGGGTTTCTGCTCCACCTGGTCCTGGCCTTCCTCTTCCAAACCCCAAGCACTCGCATCCATATCTTCTTCCTCTACCGTCGGCTCAGACGCTGGCTGCTGATCCGCATCCGCGCCATCGTTGTCCCATTCTGCGTCCCAGTCGTTACTCTGATCAGGTGGCGGGCCCATGAGGTCTTCATGGGAGATCAGTTGAGTCTCCACTCGCTCCACGGTTTTTCTCGTTCGAACTCCCCGATAGCAGCTCGTCCGAACCGCCGCGAGCATCGCCTCCTTCCGTTTCGAAAGCCAGGAGCGAGGCGCGGTTTCCACCCAGTTGATCAGCTCCTCATTTCCGCTCCAGCCTAGACCTTCTAGGTGTTCAGCAAGGGAGAGCACTTGGTCCAGTAGCTGTTGGAACTCATTCATTTCGTCCAAGGAGATGGGGATGGCTTCTTGAAGCCACGTGGAGACAAGATGGGATGTCAGCGACGCCACGAGTTTCTGGGAGAGGGAGAGCGACAGTTGGGTTGGCAGCTCCGAGCTGAGGAATCGGGTGAGCTTTTTGATGTCTTCGATAGCGGCGAGCGCGCCTCCAGCACCTCCGTCCGTAGATACGCTGAGTGTGTTGTCGTCAACGCTCAAAACGGCCGAGTCATCGGCGTTTTCAGGACCGAATCGCGCAGCTATGATCGATCGTTCTAGTCCATGCTGTAGTTTCGACACCAGATCATCGTAAATGTCGAGCTGTTCCGCAAACCTCACAGTATCTTCCGCCAGGATCTCAGATTTCCCTAGCAGAGGTCAGCAGCAATCCCCATAGTCCATAACTGTACCACGAACTCGTTATCGATTTCTTGACCACCAATGCCCGCTTCTCTTGGTTGACATGCACGATATCCCACCAGTAACCCGTCACCGTCTCAACCATATCATCCCGCACCCGCTTCGCCCTATCCCTTAACAACCCCACAAAATGCGCTCCCTCAAACGCCTCCAGATCCCCCATCCCCTTTACCGCCCTCCCCATCCCCCCCAACGCACCCCCCACATCATCCCCCCTTACCGCCTCCCAACACCCGTCCAAGTCCCCCGACACTCGCTGGATGCACCCTAGCGTATCCACCAGCGCATCATTGAACGCCAGCTCCGTCTTCAGGAACCCCACCTTCGCGCCAGCATCGTTCGCCCGCCCTTTCAACCCCTGCACCTCGTTCGTCGCATGGTCGATCTGCCGCGTCTCCTCGCGGATGTCGTCGATGTCCTGCTGTAGGTGGCGCGCTTGGGCGATCCAGGCGTCGATATCGGTGGTGGAGGTACGGCTGATGTGCCGGATTTCGGCCTGTGAGGATAAGTATTAGGGACGGGAATGGAGCGAGATAGGGTGGGATGATTAGTATACCTTTAGTTTCGCACGCGATTGCTCGATGCCATCGAGGAGCGTAGGGAACGTGGAAGGTGGGAGCTCGGCGGAGACGACGGCTTCGGAGTCGGGGTATTGGCTGGCTTCGACGGACTGGAGGATGGCGTCGGCCAGCTGGTCGTCAGTTGGCATGATTGTTGGTAGGTCTAGGCCATAGTCGTTGTGAGTTGGGAATTGTTTTGTGAGGGAAAGTTGCCAGCTTGGAGTTGAGGTTGAAGCTTGCGGGACCCCTGTTAGGACCAGGTCATTTTCATATCTGATTGGGCTTTATGGGAACCAATATGTCAATGTAAATACACGTTTCTGGCATACAATTTCAGCAGGGTACTTTGGGTCGGACGGTTGGTTTCATAAATTTCGAAGCAATGCATTTTAGCAGTGTCGCCGAACGTGCGCTATCAAGCATAGACTAATACTACATGAAGGAAAAGCAATATCAATCGTCTGGCTATCATGCTTCCTTTCAAGCCGTGCGAATTCCATACTCCGTCTATTGCACTGGTTGCTTGAAGCATGCGATGCCGTCGCATATCAAACGTGATATCCCTCTTTTGTTTTGACCCCCGCTCACCTCTCACATGAAATCGCCGCTGCCTAGGTTAGCGACAGTACACCTGTCAATGATGTTCGAAACTTACTCATCAAGACCATCGTCATCGTAGAGCGTGGTATCTGCCCTGGTCGAGATATCTCTGCCAGCAGACAAGGTGGCCTTTGCCTTGACTTTTGTCTTCTTCCCACCCTTGTCGGCCGCCTTCTCTTGCTTCAACTTCTCGTTCGACAGGGTAGATAGCGCGCTCGCCGCCTTCTTGATTTGATCGCTCGACATGTCTTTACAGATCCCCTTCACAAACTCCGGCATGAACAGCGGGTATTGAGGCTTCTTCGAGTTCGCGGAGACGAGGGGAACCAGCGCTTCGCGCATCTTGGCGAACTGGTCCTTGGTGTGTGGGTTGAAGAGAGGCATGGAGGAGAGATCGATGCTGTTCGTTGGGTTGCTGGCGTCTGGTACCGTGATGTGTTTCCCACCCCGGTTACTTGAAACTGCGACGTCGGCGAAGAGGTCCTGTGCATTGCGCAGATCGGCATCTATCTGCGCCTGCTTCAGCCGTGCTCTCCGGTCCAGCTCATCTTCATCCGAATCTGAGGTCTCCTCTTCGAGTTCGCGTTGTCGCTGCTTTTCCCTCTGTCGCTCCTCGATCCGCTGGGTCTTGGACTTGTGCTTCGCCTTGGCTTCGGCGTCGGCTTTCGCTTTGAGTTCGGCGGCTTTCTTTTCCTTCTCTCGCTCCACCTCGGAGTCCTCTGCGGCGCTCCATGACTCTAGCACCTATCTGACGTGTCAGTTGCGACATCGGGCCGAACAAAGGGTGGGGTGCTCACGTCGGAGTCTTCTTCCTCATCGTCGAATTTGCTGCGGCGGGCGATCGGGGGAGGAGAGGTGGGAGGAGTGCTTTCCTCATCTTCGTCGTCTAGAAAGCCGGTCAGTATTGAGGGATGGGGGATCTGCAGCGATTTGACACGCTGCCATGAGGGGAAGGGAAGTTGGCGTTGGGTATGACGCACCCCACTTTGATGGTGGCATGTTGATGGTTCTTGGTCGTGAAATGGCCTTTGATGCGGGAATGTTCTGAGTTGAACGATGAAAGTCAGGATTCTTACGCGATCAGTCTGGAGGCGACTGGAAGGATGTATATGGGGTGTGGTGGTGGGATGTTTATTGCGTGACGCAGAAGGGGAATTTGATGAGATTTGAGACGATGGTGGGAGGGAAGGCGCGATGGAGGAGATTAAGGCTGGGAAAGTGCGGGTTCCTGTTGGGCACCCGAAAAACGAAAGTCCGCTTTCACCCATCGTTCCTGCCCGATAAAACATGGAACTAATATTTCCTCCTTTGATAATTGGTGCCCTACTGCCTGAGGCTGCATTGAGCCTCAGACACGTGACTCGACTCGACCCCCACGTGATTCGATGACCACATGCTTTGTGTTGGCAATTGCTCCGTGCAGCCACAGGGGCCAACCTCGCAACTCGTGAAAGTTCCACGTCGTGTTCAGCGGTCCAAGCCTCCAACTACCAAACGAACCAACTCCTGAGCTTCTGTAAGATCTCCCATTACTTCAACCCTTCAACTTCTATCATCACCCACACAACTCTCCCACCCTTAAATTCAACTATTTCCGTTTCTCCTTCTTCATTTGCACGTCCCTTGATTTCCATTTTCTCTCCGGTTGCTTTAATCGCCTTCTCCCGTTGATGAGGTGCGCCATCCTCATTGACCGTTGAGCACCATGGCCCCGTTACCCATAAAGTTCACGGAGCTTCTCCAGGTACGCGAATTTCTCCCCGATGCTGATGTGGATCCTTACTGACATTGTGTAGTTAACGCAGATTGATGTCCTTGTGAGTAGCGCGCCAGTTCCATGTGGTCCGTAGCGTCCGGTGAAGGGAGTGCTCACAGAACTGTAGCCTCAATCGATCGGGTTCAACACTTGTGTAAGTCTATCCCGATGGCATTATTGGGAGTGAACTTAACGTTGGGCGCTTCAGACCTTAGAATCCGACCACTACATCTGTATCCGGCAAAAGGTGGACGATAATGCGTCGCCGGAAGTCATCATCATCGACCTCAAGAATAACAACAATGTTATTCGACGCCCGATCAAGGCCGACAGTGCTATCATGCACTTCAACAAACAAATCATAGCACTGAAGGCACAAGGTCGGACCCTACAAATCTTCAATCTCGAGCAGAAGAGCAAGATGGGTGCTGCGACGATGAACGAAGATGTCCAGTTCTGGAAATGGTTCGATGATCGCACCCTTGGTCTTGTCACCGACACGGCCGTTTATCATTGGGACGTCTTCGATCCCACTACCGCTTCACCAGGCAAGGTGTTTGAGCGAAATGCCAACCTATCGGTATGTTACCGGCCATGGTTGCTTCGGTCTCGACTAATGTGATGTCTAGGGCTGTCAAATCATCAACTACCGAGTGAGCGACGATGCCCAGTGGTCCGTGGTTGTAGGCATTTCACAACAACAAGGCCGTGTCGTCGGTGCGATGCAACTGTACTCAAAAGCTCGTGGCATCAGCCAGTCGATCGAAGGGCACGCTGCCGCCTTCGGCACCGTCCGATTGGAGGGAGCACCAGCAGACTCCAAGCTGTTCACATTCGCCGTTCGCACCGCTACCGGGGCCAAACTGCACGTGGTTGAGATCGATCATCAAGCCGGAAACCCCCAATTCCAGAAGAAGAATGTCGACGTCTACTTCCCTCCCGAAGCCACCAACGACTTCCCAGTGGCGATGCAGGTATCCAAGAAGTACGGCATCATCTACCTCGTCACCAAGTACGGCTTCATTCACCTGTATGATCTCGAAACCGGGACTTGCATTTTCATGAACCGCATTTCGAGCGAGACGATCTTCGTCACATCTCCCGATTCTGAGTCGTCAGGTATCGTCGGTGTCAACCGGAAAGGCCAAGTCCTCTCAGTCAGCGTGGACGAGGAAGCCGTCGTTCCCTACCTTCTTCAGAACCCCGCAAACGCCGAGTTGGCCTACAAACTGGCCTCGAGGGGTGGGTTACCGGGTGCGGACAACCTCTACCAACAACGATTCGAGCAATTGTTGAATGCCAATCAATTCGCCGATGCCGCCAAAACCGCCGCGAACTCTCCACGTGGTTTCCTGCGAACCCCTGCGACCATCGACCGCCTCAAACAAGTCCCTGCGCAATCTGGACAGCTCTCCGTCATCCTCCAATATTTCGGAATCCTGTTAGACAAAGGTGGGTTGAATCAGTATGAAACCATTGAGCTGGTGCGGCCGGTTCTCTCCCAGAATCGGAAGCATTTGCTGGAGAAGTGGCTTCAAGAAGGCAAGCTGGACTGCTCAGAGGAACTGGGTGACATCGTTCGACCTCATGATCTCGGACTTGCGCTTCAGATCTATGAGCGAGCCAATGCTGCCCAGAAGGTCGTGGCGTCTTACGCTGAACTGGGACGATTCGACGAGATTGTGCCCTATGCGCAAAAGGCTGGCTATCGACCCGATTACACGGTGCTCCTGCAGCATATTGTCCGAGTGAACCCCAACCAATCCACCGAATTTGCGATCAGCCTGGCGAAGCAGCCCGAGGGACCCTTGGTCGATCTCGACCGAGTCGTGGATATCTTCCAATCCCAAGGAAACCTCCAGGGCGCGACAGCTTTCCTTCTGGACGTTCTGGCGCCCAATCTTCCCGAGCACGCTCATCTACAGACCAAGCTCTTGGAAATGAACCTGCTAAATGCTCCTCAAGTTGCTGATGCGATCCTTGGAAACGAAATGTTCTCCCACTATGACAAGGCACGTATCGCGCAATTGTGCGAAGGTGCCGGGCTTTACACTCGCGCTCTTGAGCACACCGAGGACCACGCCGTCATCAAGCGAATCATTGTCCATACCGACAAGCTTCCCGAGGAGTGGCTGATCAACTACTTTGGCCATTTGACAGTCGATCTCTCATTCGATTGCCTGAACGAGATGCTTCGCGTGAACATTCGCCAGAATCTCCAGTCGGTCATCCGCATCGCACAAAAGTACTCGGATCTCCTTGGACCCACACGGATCATTGACCTGTTCGAGAAATATCGAACGGCGGAGGGTCTTTACTACTACCTTGGTGGCATCGTCAATGTGAGCGAAGACAAGGACGTCAATTTCAAGTACATCGAGGCCGCGACGAGAATGCAGCAGTTTAATGAAGTGGAGCGTGTCTGCAGGGAAAGCAACTTCTACGATCCGGAGAAGGTCAAGAACTTCCTCAAAGAGGCGAATCTCACCAACCAACTCCCGCTGATGATCGTTTGCGACCGATTCAACTTCGTTCACGACCTGGTGCTATATCTCTACAAGAACCAGCATTTCAAGTCGATCGAGGCGTATGTCCAGCGCATCAACCCTGGGCGTACTCCGGCCGTAATTGGGGGTCTCCTGGACGTTGACTGTGATGAAGGTGTTATCACGGGATTGCTTGCGTCCGTCAATCCCTCGTCTGTCCCGATCGATGAGCTTGTGGCTGAAGTCGAAACGCGAAACCGACTCAAGCTGTTGCTTCCCTTCCTCGAGCAAACCCTCGAGGCTGGCAACCAACAGCAAGCCGTTTACAACGCTCTCGCCAAGATCTACATCGACAGCAACAGCAACCCTGAGAAGTTCCTGAAAGAGAATGACATGTACGACACGGTTGTTGTCGGCAAGTACTGTGAGAAGCGCGATCCCAACCTCGCGTACATTGCGTACCAGAAGGGCCAGAATGACCTGGAGTTGATCAGCATCACCAATGAGAACTCCATGTTCAAGGCACAAGCCCGATACCTCCTCGACCGCGGTGATGCCGAAGTCTGGGGTTTCGTGCTGAGCGCCAACAATATGCACCGAAGGTCTTTGGTTGACCAGGTCATCTCCACCGCGGTTCCCGAATCAACCGACCCGACCAAGGTCTCGGTCGCGGTCAAGTCTTTCATGATGAACGACATGCCGTCCGATTTGATCGAGCTCCTGGAGAAGATCGTCCTTGAGCCATCGCCGTTCAACGAGGACAAGGTGCTGCAGAACTTGCTCATCATCACTGCCTGCAAAGCAGACAAGGCGCGAGTCATGGGCTATGTCCGGGACCTCAATGCCTACGAACCAGATGCAATTGCACAGGAGTGTATCGGACAAGGAATGTACGAGGAAGCATTCGAGATCTACAACAAGAATAACAACTACACGGCGGCCACCAATGTTCTCGTCGAACATGTCGTCAGCATCGATCGTGCTCAGGAATATGCCGATCGTGTTGATACTCCCGAAGTGTGGAGCTTGGTTGCGAAGGCTCAGTTGGATGGCGTTCGGGTCACCGATTCGATCGAGTCATACATCCGCGCCGGCGATCCTTCTAATTACAACGAGGTCATTGAGGTTGCAACCCGCGCCGGCAAGGACGAAGACCTCGTGAAATATTTGCGGATGGCTCGAAAGACCCTCCGCGAACCTCCGATCGACACTGGCCTAGCTTTCTGCTACGCTCGCCTCGACCAGCTTCCGGAACTCGAGGACTTCCTTCGCTCAACGAACGTCGCGGACGTGGAAGCGTCAGGTGACAAGGCTTATGAGGAGGGATACTTCGAGGCCGCCAAGATCTTCTACTCGTCCATCTCGAACTGGGCGAAGCTTGCCACGACTCATGTCCACCTCAACGACTACCAGGCTGCGGTCGAGTCGGCCCGCAAGGCCAATAGCACCAAGGTGTGGAAGGAGGTCAACGACGCGTGTATTGAGAAGGGGGAGTTCCGTCTCGCTCAGATCTGCGGTCTCAACCTGATTGTCCATGCCGACGAGCTCCAGCACATTGTTCGCCAATATGAGCGCGGCGGCTACTTCGATCAGCTCATTGACCTGCTCAGCAACGGACTCAGCTTGGAACGTGCCCACATGGGCATGTTCACCGAGTTGGGCATTGCGCTCTCGAAATATCACCCCGATCGTGTCATGGAGCACCTGCGTCTCTTCTGGTCTCGTATCAACATCCCCAAGATGCTGAAGGCGTGCGAAGACGCCCACCTCTGGCCGGAACTGGTATTCCTGTACTGCCACTATGACGAGTGGGACAATGCTGCACTAGCCATGATGGAGCGAGCGTCCGACGCGTGGGAACATCATTCCTTCAAAGACACCATCGTCAAGGTAGCGAACTTGGAAATCTACTACCGCGCCGTCAACTTCTACCTCGAGCAACAACCGCCGCTCCTCACAGACCTCCTCCAAGTCCTGACGCCGCGCATTGACGTCAACCGCGTCGTCCGCATGTTCGAGAAATCCGACAACATTCCGCTCATCAAGCCGTTCCTGATGAGCGTGCAGTCGCAGAACAAGAAGGCGGTCAACCACGCGATCCACGACCTGCTGATCGAGGAGGAGGACTACAAGACGCTGCGCGACTCGGTCGAGAACTTCGACAACTATGACTCGACGGAGCTGGCGCAGCGGCTCGAGAAGCACGACCTCGTCTTCTTCCGACAGATCGCGGCGACCATCTGGCGCAAGAACAGGCGGTGGGACAAGAGCATCGCGCTGTCGAAGCAGGACAAGCTGTTCAAGGACGCGATCGAGACGGCCGCCATGTCCGGGAAGCCGCCGGTGGTGGAAGAGCTGTTGAGGTACTTTGTCGATATTGGCAGCCGCGAGTGCTATGTTGGTATGCTGTACGCGTGCTACGAGCTCATCCGACCGGATGTGATCCTCGAGATCTCCTGGAGGAGCGGTCTCCACGACTACACTATGGTAAGTTCTCCCCCCTTCCCTCTTCTCCACGCACACCTACTAACCCCCCACCTAGCCCTTCATGATCAACATGCTCGCCCAACAAACCGCCACCATCTCCCTCCTCCAAAAAGACAACGAAGAGCGCAAAGCCCGCGAGGCTACGCAGAAGCAAGACGAGGACGAAACCCCGATCCTAGGCGGCAGTCGGCTGCTCCTGACCCAGGGATCCGTCCCGCAGCAGGCGTCCAGCCCCGCGCCGATGAGCGGCGGGTTCGTCCAGCCGAACGGCGTCATGCCGCAGGCGACGGGCCTGAGGGGATTCTAAAATGGAGAGCTTGGAGGGAGTAAGATGGATCATACGAGTGGAGGTGCGGTGGTGCATTTCGGCACATTGGGAACCCAATCACGTAACGACGACGAAAGACCCCATCCAAAGAGGATGGATGGATGGATGGATAGAGGTGAAAGCGACGCGATTGCGATTGCGATTTGCAAACCCCCGCATCCGCGCCCACTTTTCGTTTTCAGTTTTCCAGGCTGAATACCCAACACCGGGGATCGCGGTAATCTTCTCGATTTGACTTTTCTGTTTGTTTGTTCCACTTTCTACCGTTGTTTGTTCGCGTTATGGGAAAAATCTCGAGTTCAAGGCCCGCGGTTCGGAGGATGTGTAAATTACCTAGTTTGCCTTAGCACGAGAAGTGAAGAGTCGGTTGTCTGAATGTCTTTCCCTGGATCACGGTGCGCTTCGTTTGATGAGATTAATGGCTATCGGTAGGATCCGAACCCTCAGCCATGCATCGTCGTTGCCAACCATGCTCACCAAGTCGTCCATCTGGCGCATGAAGCGGGGATCGTAAACGGGTAAGTATATCGGGATTGAATCTCACGATGTAATACAGGACGATTTTCTGTGATCAAGGCAACGTCCACGCTCCAGACCACCTTCCATCCCCCCAGCGTGCATCTAAGCCAACCGTCCCGCAGCCACAATCAGCCATCCCTCCGTTTCCCCGTCGACGAGAGTAATATCCACAACCCGACATTAAGCGTTGCCGCCCGCATCTCAGGCGTCGATATCCCGGCGCGCGGCTTCACCACCTGCGGCCGTTCGGGTCATTAAGGAATCGCAGACTCATCTGGCCCCGGGATCACGAAAATGCAACATGCAGGAACGGAACGGGGGCAGGGGAGGGGTATATCCATGTCGGGATGCGTGAGATGCGGGACTCGGGAGGGGGAGGGAGATCTACGGCTTGCGGGGGGTAGGAGGTGAGATCTTGAGGCGGAGGAATGGATGGCTGTCTGGCTCTCGGATGTCGGAGTACTTTTTGCGAGAATCTACCTTATGGTGCCGGTTTCAGGCTCTTGTTAATTCAGTTGTCGTGCAAAAAAAGGACTACGTCATTACAGCATTTGATACATCCATCTCGTCATAGACTCATAGCCCGAGCAACCGAAGCAAGCGAGCTTCCTGAGCATCTTCAATGTTAATCATGAATTCAGCATGTGCGTGCGTCTGATCCACTATCCGTGCCCATCAGGGTACGTAAGTACCTCTACTTTATTCTTATTGCCGAGTAATTCCAGGCTGTTGGGGATGGTGGACACACAGAGGTTTGCGAGACGGATGGCGATGACCCGACAACTCCCGAGGCACCGACTCGGCTGGGGGATTTCGTAATGGAGAGATCGTGAAAATTGCCCTGAGTAGATGGATGCCAATGTGTGTGCCTTTCAGAACGGGAGCGGACGATGGCATTCGATTCCTGGGGATGCGATATGTTTCCGGTATCGCCCTTCCCTGCTGGTTGCTGGCTGCTGGTTGCTGGCTGCATCCGAGGCGAGGTGAAGGGATTCCAAGGCAATATTTAGGTTACTTACCGTACGGGAGCGGCATTGTAGGATAGGAAAGAAAGCCGGAAACTTGAGAACTTGTCGTTTTACATCTTCTATCCATCTGTGTCGTGAAAGTTTGCGGATTGTGAGATCGTGTTGGAACCGGCTCGGAAGATTGATTTGACTGCTGTATAAAAAGCTATCGCGAAGTTCCACCGCCTCAATCATCCACTCCAGCGAGAGTGCCTGAGCTGGATTCAAGGCTTAAGCGGATCAAGGAAACTCTCGGCCCAGATTGATATCGAGATCCGAATATTAACTAGCATCCTCCCCCCAGCATCCTTATTGATAATTCCGGGAGATCCAGCATCCCCCACCAGGCCACCACCAAAAACGAACTTCTCCCCGCTCCCTCCCTTCTCCGTCTCCGCCACCAAAAAAAGCCTCTCAAGCTCAGCTGCAGCTTGACCCGCAGCACACCTCCACCTCACTGCTATTTACTTTTTTTCTTTTCCAGCATCGTGACAGTTCTGGGATTTTCCTCCCCATCCTTTTTATACAGTCACCGGAAGTCTTGGAAAAGGCATAAGAAGGGATTGGATTTATCTGTCGGGTTCAATTGGCCGCCATCGATTTCCCTCTGTTCCATCTATTTCTACCCCGCCACCCGCCAGTATCACTAGCGAACCGTGGAACCGGAGAGCGTAAGCACGTGTGAACTGGTCTTTGCATTTTTCGAGTCCGGTGACGGAGACGATCAGAATCAAAGAATCGCTTCGGAGTTCAATTGAGCTCGAAAGTCAGGACGTAGCAGGAGCAATTCGTTGCAATTCGCAGGTTCTCGTATAGGTATGTGGGATTCCGTCAATAGCTTTACATCATCTCATCTCGTCTTATCTTTGTCGTTACTATTGTCTTACCATTGTCTCCGGTCTGCATCACTGCTCCGGTGTCGATCACCATTCTTTTGGCCTGCTGGCGATAGCTCTTCTTCGATGCGTCTAACAGTGTTTCTCAGAGCAGATATCTACATATATATACCTTCACATCCCTATCCCTCGATATACTGTTTGGATACTTACCGAGCTCGGTACGGAACTTGCTCGCGGCTTCCGCTCTTGAAAGCGACTGTCACACTCGGTGACTCGACGCTGCCATAACCCGCCATCATGTCGGCAATCATTGATGATGACAATGAGCATCATCCCTCCAACCAACCTGTCCACCACCGGATACGGGCCAATTCCACCATCATGGATCTGAAGAAGATCTTAGGTACGTCCATTGCGCCGTTCCTCCCTTCTTCCTGTCCTATGACGGCGTGTGTGGCGGTTCGTCCGCTTATCGCTGGCCTGGAGCTGCGATGACGCAAGCTTCACCGTCTCCGAGCATAGCCCGCCATCGGCAGATTCGTTTGTGGCTTCGTGGAGAGGTCAGTAATATTGACTGAGCTGCAGTCGCTAACCGCGGTGAAATCCCGATCCGTATCTTCCGAACGGCCCACGAGCTGTCCCTCCACACCGTCGCCGTCTTCTCCTATGAGGACCGCATGGGCATGCATCGCCAGAAGGCGGACGAGGCATACATGATCGGGAAGCGCGGCCAGTTTACTGCGATCGGCGCATATCTTGCTGGAGACGAGATCATCAAGATCGCGAAGGAGCATGGCGTCGATCTTATCCATCCAGGCTATGGCTTCTTGTCTGAGAATGCCGAGTTTGCGAAGAATGTGGAGAAGGCGGGCTTGATTGTAAGACTGCGATTTCCTTACTCCCGCTCAAATTATCCGTAATTTCTGGAGAGATAGGTCGCTTATAATGTTCACAGTTCGTCGGACCCACGCCTGAGGTCATCGAAGGTCTCGGTGACAAGGTTTCCGCTCGAACGGCCGCCCTCAAGTGTGACGTCCCGGTCGTTCCCGGTACCGATGGTCCGGTCGAACGGTTCGAAGACGTCAAGGAATTCACCGACAAGTTCGGCTTCCCCATCATCATCAAAGCGGCTTTCGGCGGTGGTGGCCGTGGCATGCGTGTCGTCCGTGAACAGGAAAGCCTGAAGGATTCCTTTGAGCGAGCCACATCAGAAGCCAAGGCCTCTTTCGGCAACGGAACAGTATTCGTGGAGCGTTTCCTTGACAAGCCCAAGCACATCGAGGTGCAATTGCTCGGAGACAACTATGGCAACGTGGTCCATCTGTACGAGCGTGACTGCAGTGTCCAGCGACGTCACCAAAAAGTCGTCGAAATCGCCCCGGCGAAGGACTTGCCACAAGAGACTCGTGACGGAATTTTGGAGAGCGCCGTGAGGCTCGCCAAATCCGTCAACTACCGTAACGCCGGTACCGCGGAGTTCTTGGTCGACCAGCAAAACCGCTACTACTTCATCGAAATCAACCCACGTATCCAGGTCGAGCACACCATCACGGAAGAAATCACCGGTATCGACATCGTCGCCGCTCAGATCCAAATCGCTGCCGGTGCCTCGCTGCAACAGCTCGGCCTCACCCAAGACCGCATCTCCACCCGGGGCTTCGCCATCCAGTGTCGTATCACCACCGAAGATCCCACCAAGAACTTCGCCCCCGACACCGGTAAGATTGAGGTGTACCGCTCCGCCGGTGGTAACGGCGTCCGTCTGGATGGTGGCAATGGCTACGCCGGCTCGATCATTACACCGCATTACGACTCCATGTTAGTCAAGTGCACCTGCCATGGCTCCACCTACGAGATCGCCCGACGCAAGGTGCTTCGTGCGCTCGTCGAGTTCCGCATCCGCGGCGTCAAGACCAACATCCCCTTCCTCGTCTCACTGCTGACCCACCCGACCTTCATCGAGGGTACCTGCTGGACGACGTTCATCGACGACACCCCCGCCCTGTTCAGCCTCATCAGCTCGCAGAACCGCGCGCAGAAACTGCTATCCTACCTCGGCGACCTCGCCGTCAACGGCTCCTCCATCAAGGGCCAGATCGGCGAGCCCAAGTTGAAGGATTTGATCAACATCCCGACCCTCACGACACGCGACGGCCAGAAGATCGACGTGTCGGAGCCGTGCAAGACGGGGTGGCGGAACATCATCGTGGAGGAGGGCCCGGAAGCGTTCGCCAAGGCGGTCCGCGCGAACAAGGGCTGTTTGATCATGGATACCACGTGGCGAGACGCACATCAGAGCTTGTTGGCGACGAGGGTCCGAACGGTAGATCTGCTGAACATCGCCACGGAGACGAGCCACGTGTTCAGCAACGCGTGGGCGCTCGAGTGCTGGGGTGGCGCGACGTTCGATGTGGCCATGCGGTTCTTGTATGAGGATCCGTGGGACCGGCTGAGGAAGATGAGAAAGGCGGTGCCGAATATTCCGTTCCAGATGCTGTTGCGTGGTGCGAACGGTGTGGCGTACTCTTCGTAAGTGAACTTCCTAGCTCAGAATTACTGAAGAATAGATGAACTGACATCTGCAGCCTCCCGGACAATGCCATCGAGCACTTCTGCGAGCAGGCTAAGAAGAACGGCGTCGACATCTTCCGTGTCTTCGACGCACTCAACGACGTCGAGCAGCTCGAAGTCGGCGTGAAGGCTGTCCTCAAGGCCGGCGGTGTCGCCGAAGGCACCATGTGCTACTCCGGCGACATGCTGAACCCCAAGAAGAAGTACAACTTCGAATACTACATGGAGCTTGCCGAGAAGATCGTCAAGATGGGCGCCCACGTCCTCGGAATCAAGGACATGGCTGGAGTCTTGAAGCCCCGTGCCGCTACCAAGCTCATCGGTGCACTCCGCGCGAAATACCCCGATCTCCCGATCCACGTCCACACTCACGACAGTGCCGGGACGGGTGTCGCCTCAATGGTCGCCTGCGCGGAAGCCGGTGCCGACGCCGTCGATGCTGCCATCGATAGCATGAGCGGGATGACCTCACAACCCAGCGTTGGCGCCATCCTCGCGTCTCTCGAAGGCGGTCCCTGCGACCCAGGTCTTGACCATCACACGATTGTGCAGCTGGACAACTACTGGGCGCAGCTGCGACTGTTGTACTCACCCTTCGAAGCCGGTCTGACCGGTCCCGACCCGGAGGTCTACGAGCACGAAATCCCCGGGGGGCAGCTCACGAACCTGATCTTCCAAGCCTCGCAGCAAGGACTCGGCGAGAAATGGGCGCTGACCAAGAAGGCGTACGAGCAGGCGAACGACCTCCTCGGCGACATCGTCAAGGTCACGCCCACCTCCAAGGTCGTCGGCGACCTCGCCCAGTTCATGGTCTCCAACAACCTCTCGTACGACGACGTGCTCACCAAGGCCGAGCAACTCGACTTCCCGTCCTCCGTCCTGGAGTTCTTCGAGGGTCTCATGGGTCAGCCCTACGGCGGGTTCCCGGAGCCGCTCCGCACGCAAGCGCTGCGCGAACGTCGCAAGATGGACAAGCGACCCGGGCTGTACCTCGAGCCGATCGATTTTGCGGCGACGAAGCAGACGCTCACGGAGAAATATGGCAAGGTCAGCGAGACGGACCTCGCGTCGTACATCATGTACCCGAAGGTGTTCGAGGACTACAAGAAGTTCACGGAGAAATACGGCGATATGAGCGTCCTCGCGACGCGCTACTTCCTCTCCCGCCCGGAGATCGGCGAGGAGTTCCACGTCGAGCTCGAGAAGGGCAAGGTGCTCATCCTCAAGCTGCTGGCCGTCGGCCCCCTGTCCGAGCAGACCGGCCAGCGCGAGGTATTCTACGAGATCAACGGCGAGGTGCGCGTCGTCACTATCGACGATCAGCACGCCGCAGTGGAGAATGTGCGCCGCCAGAAGGCCGATCCCACCGATGGGAGCCAGGTGGGCGCGCCGATGAGCGGCGTAGTGGTGGAGATTCGGGTGAACGATGGCGCGGAGGTTAAGAAGGGAGATCCGATCGCGGTGCTGAGCGCGATGAAGATGGTGAGTTCTTTTCCTTTTCCTTTTCCTATCCTTCGATGTGATTTGTGCCGCCTTGCTAACGTCACGCAGGAAATGGTCATCAGCGCACCCCATTCCGGGAAGGTCGCGTCCCTCGGCGTGAAGGAGGGCGACTCAGTCGACGGGCAGGATCTCATCTGCAAGATCACGAAATAAACCCCATTGACAGCACGCGCCTTCGGGCGGTGAGACTTGTCCGATCGATGCTACGAGGGTCCCGATAGGTGCGATGCAACTGCGACGAGTCCCCCCCACCCGGGCTGTTCAGGATGAAGGTTAGAAAGTGTTATTCGTTGGGGCGGAGATTTTGGTCCCCTCATGTTTGATGTGCCGCGAAAAACGCCAAAATGTCGGATTACGTTCTTTTTCATATTTTGCAGATAGGTTTTCATAGTCTGGTATTTGTTGAGGAGAATTCGAAATTTATGCTGTTTCTTCGAAGGGGTCCGGTGGGTCTTGTTAGGCGGGTACCATCTCTGATCCTCTTGTGCGATGGTAAGGCACGACAAACAGTCAACTGTGTCAGTCACACTTCATCAATTCCCTGGAGTCCCCCGCTTTCTCAACAACATCATCATCTTCTCGTTTGCTTCTCTTCGATTATTAGCATTTGAACATGACACCCTGGTTCAGAGCACCAGTATCAGATTCTACCCATTCCTGGAGAACCAATGCCATTTCCGCCAGAATCACTTGGCTATCGTCACGTTCGGCACATTTCTTACTCAACCAGAAGCTCTATATATCGCGGTCAAATCTTTTTCTTATAAGTCTACTAATATAATCAACGTATCGTACTATTTGTGTTTCTCCCACGTTCTTAAATTCACGGTTGGTTGCGGTTGCTGGTTTTGCATTTCATGAGGTCTGTCAACGATCTGAATACGGTTAAGATCGATCAAAGCTCTTCCACGCCTTTTCATTCCACTCTATTCCATCATATGCTTTTGATGAGAATACATTTAACTGGCCAGAGCAGGACTATAACGCGACTTTGTGAAAACTCTCCGTGCGGGTTATGAGCACACTAGAGCTGAGCTGGTCTGGGGTGTCTCGACGGGATCTCTCCACACTGATCGCGGTCCTTCCTTTATTCTCTGCCATATAGCAAGTACAGTGGTCATTATCGGCAGGGACTTCGTTATTTCGTGGTTAGACTGGGATATAGCTGGAGCAGGAACCACCCGTTGCGATTATTCCTCACTGCGAGTAGATGATGCTCAGGGGGTAAGATAGTTCAACGGTTTGTTGGATCAGAACGCTTCCACACGATAGAAACACCGCTAGTAAATACAAAGGATTAAACGGTGAATATTCCAGCTGTCGAAATGGTCCCAATTTAATTTCCATTATATAAGTCCGTAGTTGTGGTCGATACCTCCTTTCCCGCCCTTCATGCCGGATGATGAACTGACTATGCTGAGTGGCCTAGACTGCGACTTCCTCGGACTTAATTGCTACCCCAAACTCCTTAAGGTCGTTCTCCACAGCGGTCAACACAGCGGCACCCTGAATGTTCTCTACATACGAGGATCTGGACGATTCATCAAAGAAGCAGGAAGCTTTGCCATCGCCTTCGACTTCCCGGCCGTACCCGTCTCGCTGAACAACACGGATCCTTATGGATTTTTGAGCAGCAATGATCCGCAATGGAACGAACGCATCCGCATGCAGTATTACATTCTGTCCACCTTTGAAGGGATCGAGGTCCCGCGGCCAACGCCGGAACTGTATGGTTTCATGCAATGGGCGTTCGGGCGCGACGGGATCTCTTCATTGCAGATTATTGCGCGCGACTTCTCGTACGGAGGCCGGTTCTCGAGGACAGAGATGCTATTCTGTAGGTACACGTTCCCGGAGGATAGCATCTTGGCGGAAAGTGGCTTACCCTTGTATCGACCAGTTAGGGCGGAGGATACGGAGCTATGGGATTTGCGAGATGAAAATCGGGGAAATCTTGAGGCGTGTCCGGCGGAGGCTCTTCTGGACCACTGAAATGACTGAACAGTGTGGTTGATGGATCTTGGAGTGTGGCTTCGGTCAAGCTAGGTTCCTGTAATATTTGTCAAAGCGTAGTTTGTAGATATTAGAAATTCTGCATAGGAAAACAGAAAAATGTATTATAAATTCCACCGGCGGATAGTCTGCTCATCATCGCCGGATATAACTCTGCACTGCAGTCCGTGAAATGAGACGAACCCCAGACTGAACCAAACATTGAGCACAACTTAAAACATGTATTTACAAACTCTCCATGTTCCTACCGTACAGTATCTGCATTCATAAAATTAATGCTTTAGTAGCTAACGTTGTTCATACTATCAGAAACAACACTGCCGTTTGCGAATACAAAACGAGTCCACTGGGGATCCCTCTACCACTGATATATCAGTGCCGAACTACCCCCCAAGCTCTCTGACACCACTTAAGACGTCTGTAGGAATTGTGCTCACACTCTATCTTGAGGCTATGGAAAGTACAAATGATCTATGGTAGAGGGCTCCAGCCAAACGTTCGGTGAGTAGGCACACATTTAGCGGTACTGGGAACCAACCAAGCACCATACCGGTTCGCCTCGACCTTGGTACAATATATCCCCTGGACTTGGTAGAGTAGAGTCATCCGGACAATTACTGCAAGCCAAAAGAATTCATATAAAGGTTACGGTTCTATTGAAATTGTTAACCATAGAATTTATTTTCTCTCGTATTTCTATTCCTTCAGCCGTCTCCCTCTCGACATGTTCTTTGCACCGCAGTCTACAAGAATCACAATCCCGTAGCCCTTCTAGACAACAAGCCATACCAGTAACCACTAGCATCTTCTCGAATATGCCTCTAGCTCTTGAGGAACCTTTCCTATCTAGGTAAGTTAGAAATATTTGTGCTATATGCACCGTTAGTTGACATTCTGAAGCAGGACGGCCCAACCAAAGGCGGGAAAGGGGAAGACCTTCTTTGACCTTCCTTTGGAGATACGCATGAATATATATGAAGAGCTTGGCGCCTCAAAGATCCTCAAATTCGATGAATTTTGGCCAACGTTTCTCAGGAAAGGGACTCTAGGTGCCTACGAGTCGCCGGTTCAATGTCAGTCTTGAAGATCCTTTATCTATCCGGTTGGCAATGGCAGGTTGTGTCACTGACACACTACAGCGAGAGGCCGATACAACGGCCTCGATGTGTTGGCAACATGCAAAGCGATCAAGGAGGAAGCCATGCTCCCCTTACTGAGCAAGGTGACCTTTAGATGTGCGTCGTGCCTCGACTTTGTCGGCCTAATGATGCGGATGCCCGAAAATTACCGGCGCTGCATTCGACATGTAGTCATCGTGTTGGACGATTCCATGATCTCGAACGAATCATACCTGTGGCGGAATATGTTCCCGGTATTCCCAGGGTTGCGGCTTGATACGCTCGTTCTAATTGAGAAATTCCACAGAACCAAGACGTTCGGTTGGTATGGTACGAAGGAGTCCAATGTGGTAGGAGAGGAACGCCTCGTTTTCAAACAGCACCTTCTGGAGAATGGCAAAGGATGGAAGGATTTACGGATCTTTAGTCGGTACTATGGGTCGATCGACAGTACTCTGTCGGAGTTGCACCAATTCCGTCATGATGTGGATCCCAACGATGAACCCGAACCACCGTGGACTTCCCTTGCGAATTTCGGGAACCAGGTGTTGGCAACTCGGGACGGATCGCAAACTAAACCTCTCGCGAAGCTTTCCCTAATCACCGATTGCCCGTCTCACGACGATAGGCATTGGTCTGAGTTGGAGAATTTGCCGCTGTGTCATCGAGACCCCAATAACCAGCAAGTTGGATGGAACCCCCTTCGAATTATGCGAGACCAAGGCATTACCAGTGAAAGAATGTGGGCGCTACGATGTGGTACTCGGCCCGATAATCAGGGTGTCTGTTTCCACGCTCGTCGAGGAAGGGCAGCCAACTATGAAGAGGATGGAGCAGGTGTTGCCCCAGAGTTCAAGAAATATATCGAAAGAACAACCTATGGTGACTTTCTCGCCTACTGCACGAAGAAGGCGAGAGTTTCAACCATGGCGAGACATCGAACCACAGCGACATTTCCAGCCACGGCAACACTTCCAACAACGGCGACACTTCCAAGCGTACTGAGTGTCCCTAACGTGCCGAGTGTTCCCACTGTGCCGAATCTTCCAACCGTGCCGAGTGTTCCAACCGCACCCAGTGTTCTAGCCGCGCCGAGTCTTTCAACAGCAGCGAGTGTTCTACCCGCGCCAAGTCTTCCAGCCGCACCGAGCCTTCTAGCTATAGCGAGTCCTCCAGCCACGGCGAGTCCTCCAGCTACGGCGAGCCCTCCAGCCACGGCGAGTCTTCCAACCACCCCTGCTTGGACGGACGTTCAAAGGAGCTCACCCAAGACCCCAGAAACTAACTGGACAAAGGCTATGCTTATATCAGCCCTCATCGGTGGCAGCATCCTATTTGTCGTCCTCCTGGCGGTCTACGCGTAGACCTTGTGAGATGGGGGCGCATGATGTTAGGCATTACTATCCTTCGCGTAATAGATCGATATATTCGGAACAACGCAAATCCATAGTACTAATGAAGTAATATCCCTCAGGAAATCTTTTTTTTTGCGGAACATGGTCTGACAAAGAGGGTAAACTTCTATGGGATTTTGATTTGATCCCTTGCAAATGTGGAGTTATATCTCACTCTGCCCAGACAGTCGTTTACGGAACAGCAACTGCTTCGAGGTATCAGGCGTGCACTATTACGCGTTAGCAAGGTATATCCTGGTGAACTTCTGCTTCTAAACCTACCGCATCGCCATGGAACTTATTCGGATACCTCCCCACCGACTTGTCCGCCAGCTCGATATCATAATTCAGCAGGATATGCGCTACGATTAGCTTGATCTCAGCAACGGCAAAAAACCGGCCAGGACACGCGTGCTTTCCGTAGCCGAACGCCAAATTCTGCTTGTTCGCAGTGACCATTTGGTTCAAGTTGCCCTGAAGACCACCCTTTTGCCGTAGCCGATAGAAACGGTAGCCGTCGAACTCGTCAGGGTTCTCGAAGTGCGCTGGATCGTTGCCGACTGCTTCTGCTGGCGAGGCGACAAGAGTGCCTTTAGGGAGGAAGACGCCGTTTGACAATTGTACGTCTTCTTCGAGGATGCGTTTTCCGATGACTAGGAGGGTCAGTGCGTCTCCTCAGCAGAAGAGCCAAGAAGGGGTGGGACGGACCCATAGAGATGGGACTCATTCGTTGAGATTCCTTCATAAAGCTGTCAAGCAGTTTGCAACTATACAGGCTGTCTTTCGTGAAGTCACCGCCACTCTCCTGTAGAGCTTTTGCGATTTCGTCTCGGAGTGGCTGGAAATATTCGGGACGGGCGGCGAGATCGTATAACCTGCGGTATTCCTTCAGGAACAGTTCATCGAAATAAACGAGCCTACCTTTACGTACGCTTGAGTTGCAGTCGAAGTCGTACTATGGATCGACACCAGCCCGACTCCTAGCTGAACATATGCCATTTCTTCATCGTTCTCGATACCATATTCAGGGGCCTTATCCAGCATCCATTGCAGCATATCATCCGGCTTCTCATAGCCAGGGGTATTCGCCTTCTCTTTCCGTTCTCTAATGATTGGCACCATCATCCGACTGATCCCCGCTCGATGCCGATCCACCCGCTTGATCGCCGGGACGAACTTGGCCGCCAGTGGGCGCAGAAAGGACGGGAACAGCTTGAGAATGACGGCGCCGGTGACGACATCGATCGTGTATCCGACCGCGGACTGGATCCATTCTTCGCTGTGGCAGCTCTCGGGGCCGAGGAATGCGGAGCCGGCGGAAATGGCGACGATGCGGAGAAGCTTGTCGTAGATATTGTGGGCGGTCCACGAATCGGTAGCGGGAAGCTCGTTGTCAATGGTCCGGGCCACTTCGATGGCGACACGGGGAATGATTCGAACTGGTTCATACTAAGCATCATCGCTACTTGATGTATCTGGGGGCAATACCTAATCCCGGGGTAAGATCGGATCGGATGGTGTGCGGAACAATGGGCTCAGATGAAGCAAGCTTCGTGAGTTTGCATTCGAAGTCCTTCACTCATTAAAATAAATTTGCCGATCGACCCCGGCTGTTATCTACCTTTATGACGACCTTCTCAAAGTTGATTACCTCATCCGGCTTTTTCAGGAGTTCCACCATTGAGTCTCTCGACAGGAACACGCACTGACCCAGTGCGGTCTCGGTACGGTAGATGTGAAACTGAAACTTGTGTCAAAGGAAGAACGTTGCTGTCGAGGAAGCATTCTATACCTTCCTATAGCCATCTCGAAGCAGCTTCCGCGCATTCGTCATGAATGAAATCTTCTTCTGTATTGGCAAGCCGACATGTGTCCCAACATATGGTAGCTTTGAGATAGGACTTTGAGAGAACAGGTCCGGATAGAGATATCGAATGACAAGAGTAGCAATGGCAACAATACCAAAGAACGCCGGGAACGAGCCCTGCCTAAGCAAATGCTCAGTCGCCGCCATTGTGACGGAGATACGTTTGCGAACCCTAACGTTGACGATAGAAAAGCACTACAAAGGATGGAGAAACTGTAGGGAGCAGCGGATTGCAGCCGATGATGAGCGACCATGCCCGCATTATATAGCACATGTAAACTTCACGGGCACGACGGGGTTTCAGTTTCCGATCGAGTGTATATCATTGCCGTACTCAATTTAATCCCAGACTTACTTACAGTAATACCATGCCTCCCGGGTGTCAGGATGTGTGCAATATGCAGCATGCCAAAAAGCTTGGATTTGCCAAACGAGGTTGCCGGACTAGGGATATGTGAAACATGCTCGAGACGATCCGAACCTTTTCACAACTCTTGGTCGAGGAAATATATCCCCGTATGGCAAGCCGATGGCTCCGAGATGTGGGAGACATGCGTCCTGTCGCCATTGACCTGTTGAAGGTACTGGTGTGGTCGTATATTGTTCGGTGCCGAGCAATTTCGACGTCCACGGATGACCCTATCGTTTCGACCCCGGATTTATATCGATACATCTGGTCCACACGAGGTGGTGTGGGGAAATGACGGATGTGCTCAGCTTGAGATGAGGGCTACGGCGCGGGACGCCGTCGGCTTCTCATCTCCAACTCGCCGCCCGGCATCTACCAACATTCGTATCGACGATTGCGAAAGATAGAATTATGAACGGGAAGGAGATGATCGGACTCCAGAATCCAGGCTAAAAGATGAATAGATAACTTTCTCCACAGAATAGCTTATCCCTTATCTCGTTATTATTATTGAACACCGCATGTCGTGTTACGTGTAATCTCTAATGGTCCAATGACGTTGGAGGCTCTACGACATTTAACGACAATGACCCCCCAGAGGTCCCCAGACAATCAACGAACTTCCACGAATACTCCGTGCCCTTCCAATTCAAGAATATACTTTACATTGACGCAATATAAACTCAGCACTGAAGCACCGGGACTCCCTGTGCCATCATTCCAATCACAACTTCCACCAGCACCATGTCGGAACCTCTCCCTCCGAATGCTCACGTCTCCTCCCATCCATGCCTCCAAGCGAAGCTCTCCCAGCTCCGTTCACAAAGCACAAGTGCCAAGGACACGAAGACCTTGATCCACGAGATTGCCGTCATCGTAGGATGCGAGGCTCTCGCCCACGGGCTGTCGACCAAGGAGACAGGGACTGTATGTGCTTCTGTCACCAATTCCCCTTCCCTCAACTACACCCCGCCATCCATGTGCCTGCCGCTGACGATCAATCCAGGATACCTCCGCCTTGGGTTACGAATACACAACCCAGACCATCTCCCCCTCGCACATCTCCCTGGTTCCTATCCTCCGCTCCGGGCTCGGCATGGTCGACGCGCTGGAATCCCTCCTGCCCAACCCCGTGCCCGTCCACCACCTCGGCCTCTACCGCGAGAAAGCCACGTTGCAGCCGGTGGAGTACTACAACAACCTGCCGTATCACCGCCCGTCGACGACGAAGCCCGGCCCGTCCGAGCTGGCGATCGTGATCGATCCAGTCATCGCGACCGGGCAGACCATGTGTGCGGCCATCGACACGTTGCAGGAGTGGGGGGTGAAGAGGATTATTGCGATTGGGGTGTTGGCGAGTGAGGGAGGGTTGAGGAAGGCGGCGACGAGGTGGAGTGAGGGGGTGGAGGTGTGGGTTGGGGGGTGTGATGCGGAGACGGATGGGAAGGGGTTTATTAAGCCGGGCTTGGGGGACGTGGGTGATCGGTTGTTTAGCACGATTGGGAAATGAGTTGAAGTAGACAGCGATGGTCTGTGAAAGAGAAGAACATATTAGAAGGCGGATCTGGAGTTTCTAAGGCAACCCATGGTCTGTATACCCAAGCTAGATTTATTGACCATATGATAATTAAAACTTATAGGTCCGTGTCACACTCAGATGGCCTGGTTGAATTTTTGACCGTTAGAGGATGGATTGAATGAATCCCTCTGTTACTGATGATATCCGTTCTCGATGCTCACTCCGGCCTTCTTGGGTTTGATATATATCCTCTTCGCTCAACCGTCGAATACTTTCTCAATAACATAGTCATGCTTCATCCCCAAGACATAGAGCTACATCTGTCCGATAGGATCTCTGTGGCCTTATAACCCCGTACCGGATTGCTCCTAGAGCAGCATTCGCCTGGACTGTTTCATTCCCCCACGGGTCCGCAGCTCGGCCAAAGCCTAGACCTTTCGCTCCGACTTCTCCAACTCCCTTCTCGCCAGCTCCAAATTCTGCTCCAACACCCTCTCCTCCGCCTCAAACTCCGCTTCCCTTCTCACCAGCGCCCGCAACTTCTTCTCCAGCCCCTTCTGCTCGTTCTTCACCCAGTCGATTTCCCACCTGAGCGTGTCTTTAATGCTCTTGCAATCGTCGTCCAGCAACTCCTGGCCCTTGATAACCATGCCACTGAGGAGGTTGGCGCGGTATTCTTCAGTTGCGGGGCTTTCGGGGTGGTTGGCGGGGGCAACTTGCCAGCGGATGCTGGCGAGGAGGGCGTCGTTGAAGCCGCGGTAGCGGGCTTGGGCTTTGGAGGTGAATTGTGGTGGACCCTCGGGGTGAAGGTTGTGGTCGTCAGAGTCGCTACGGAGTGATTTGGCGAAAATTTCCTGCCATTCCCGCGCGGGACCTTCGGGGTTGGTAGGTTTGGCAAAAGCCAGGCCGGAACTCGCGGCGTCGTTCCGTCCATCAACATGTGGAGCATGCTCTATGTCGTGTTTGTGGGTGTCTGACATTGTCGCTTCTCGCCCTTGAGCACTGAAGCAGTTCAGATGGAGGCCGTGGTGATGGAAAAGATCTGGATTACGGAAGACGATTCGGGGGCACATCTTTTGTAGTCCACCAGCAGTGGATTGTCGAATTTGCTATTTCTTTCAGACTTGGAGAGTGTTGATGGAAGTGTGATTTTCGCAAGTGATTTGCGGGTCAGGAGGATATGATAACGAGTACTCTGTGTTGAACGTCTTAGGACTGAAGATGCATGTATAAAGAGCTGAGCATGTGCAGATGAAAGGTGATATATGCATATTTTTTACCTTCACATGGTCATTTCTAGCCATTATAACGCTAATCATAACGCTAATCTGCAGAATGCCACTGATTGCCGCCCTCTGTTTGACTCACGGCAGTTCATCCACATGGTTTGCGTTTGCACCCGTCCCGTTGACCTCCTTACCCCATCCTTCCGGCGCCTCAACCTTCTCACACCAGCTGAACGTGTCGTCAACCTTGCCCAATTGGATCCCCTTGAGTGTGGTCAGTAGCCTGATACAGGCTGGACCTGGACCAGCGTCTTTTGGTAGGTACTCGAACTTGTCGCCCTTCGATTTCATGGTGATCGATCGGATAGGAACAAGAGCGGCTGCTGTGCCGGCGGCCAAAACTTCTGAGAAGCTGGGGAGTTCTTCGTAGAGGATCTGGTGTAAAAATGGTTAGCCTTATGGTCTCTCCGATCGCGGTAGGAAACCCTACCTCGCGCTTCTCCACCGTCCATCCAAAACTCTTAGCCATATCGCACACGCTCGCACTCGTCACACTATCAATTACGTTCTTCGAGTCCGGAACGACTATCGTGACCTTCTCCGCCTCGCCCTCACCCGTTCTCTTTACTCCAATGAATCCACTCGTACTAAACTCATCGACCGCCCTCCTCTCCTTACTATCCAAATGCAACGTGATCCCAAACCCCTCCTTATACGCCTTCTCACTCCACCGCAACACCGGCGCATAGTTCCCGCCCACTTTCGCGCTCCCCGTCCCCTCCGGCGCCGCCCGGTCATAGTCCTCCAGCACCAGACAATCCACCGGATTCGTCCCATGATACACTCCAGTTGGCAGTACGTAGACGCAGAACAGGTACTCATCCCCAGGATTCAAACCCAGCTGCGCGCTCGAACCGAATAGCAACGGCCGAATATACATCGCGGCGCCAGTCTCATGCGGCGGGACGAACGCGGCGTTCTGCGCGACGGCGGCGTGCACACATTTCAAGAAATGCGCCTCGGGGACGGTAGGGATGGAGATGAACGAAGCCGAATGGGCCATGCGGGTGGCATTCTTGGCGGGCCGGAAAATGCGGATGTCGCCGTCGGGGTGGCGGAAGGCTTTGAGGCCCTCATAGCATTGTTGGCCGTAGTTGAGGCCTGGGGCGAGGCCGTGGATGCGGAGGAAGGGGTCGGTGACGAAGGTTGGGGGGGACCATTGGCCGGTGGAGGTGGAGTAGTGGGATTCGATGTGGCCGTTCACTGGAGGGGAGATTAGTGGTGGTGGAGGAGGAGGAGCGGAAGGGGGACAGGACGAACCTTCGCGGACGCGGAAGCCGACATTGGACCAATCTGTTTAGGGCGTCAGTATGGTTGGTCTTGATAATGACATTGCGATTTGCGACTTACCGATGGTATCGACTGGCGGGGGAGGGAATTGAGGAGCCATTGCGTCTTAAATCTTCTATCGTAGCACTCACAAGGATTCTTTGGAGATTCTCAAGAGCTGATATACTAGAGTAGGACTCGAAGGCGTTCATATACGATGGTCCAACTTCCGTTACTCATCATTTCACTCCCCGCCAAAAGTTAACCGACATCGGCCAGGCCAGATTTTTGGGGGCGGGGCGGGGCGGCATCTTACGCCTATTCCTGGCGGCGATGGTGAGCTGCAGGGGCGAGCTGGGATATCGTGAATTTAGCCAATGATATAACGCTCATTAAGAGCTTCGGAAATCCCCAATCCTGTGTCGATCATCAGGAGATATATACCCGAAGTCTGCGGTGTTGCATCCTGTCAGATTGTCATCCGTATTGGAGGAAGAGAAGGAGTTCTTAACTTAGAGTACCGTATGCTCTTTGTTCCCTGACTGTGTGCAGCTGCCCTCCAAAGTTTGGTGTACCAGTGGAGACAATCCCATATCGAATCTGTTGTTCAATAAGCACAGCTGTCCAGATAATCTTTGAAAGCATTTCTCATCGTGCTCCCTCATCACGATCCAAGACCGATACCTGGGCCGTCGCACAAGCTCCTTGTATCCACGGCGCCTCCCGGGTATCGACATACATGTTATACTGGTACACACCGTCCCAGACTCCAACAACCCACCACAATGCCGAGCGGCGTCGCCCGCCGCTTCCTCTTCCTCGTTGTCTTCGTTGTCTTCTTCCTCGCCATCCTCCTCTTCACCTCACAACATCCACGAGCCGAACAACTACGGGAACCGTTGAAAATCCGACCGGCAAAGGATGGGGAACATGGATCGCCAGGTGGCAGCGCGGATAGAGGCCTGCTGACGGGACATGCAATCGCACCGAAATTGGGGAACGAGACGGTGAAGGCCGAGCTGGGGCGCGCGGCATGGCGCGTTCTGCACACGACGTTTGCGAGGTTTCCGGAGAAGCCGACGAAAGAGGAGAGTCAGGCGTTGAAGACGTATATCCATTTGTTTCAACGGGTATATCCATGGTAGGTTCTATCTACAGATCGTGCCTGGCTTTAAGATTTTGCGACCTGTGCTAATGCTCCATCTCTACAGCGGCGACTGTGCCGAACATTTCGGCAAACTCCTCCAGAAATTCCCCCCGCAAGTCTCCTCCCGCAACGCCGTCGCTGGCTGGGGTTGCCACATCCACAATCAGGTAAACGATCGATTACAAAAGCCGATGTTCGACTGCAACAATATCGGCGACTTCTACGATTGCGGCTGCGCGGAGGACGAGAAGAAGAGCGGGGAACAGGCGAAGACGGAGATGAGTGCCGAGCGGAGGGAGAAGATCACGGGTGAGAGTGGACGGGAGCTTGACGCGGATCGATTTGTGAAGGCGGCTATTGACGGGCAAGTTTGACCTTGATTTGGTGGAGTACGCATTATATTGAAGCGGTGTTGAAGATTGAGAGTTCCGACGGTTTAGTCTCCTACATGGTGGGCGATGAGGGCGGTCTTCAGGTCGATGTTCGACAAGACGTAAGAATCAGTCGTGCCTCGACATCCATAGGAGCAACATGGAAGATCAAAGTGTTGAAGGATGTTACCCGGCACGTCGCTTCGTCAGCTACCTTAGTGCATAGCGAATGGCGTCTACGGCGGGGACAGGGCTAGATGGTTTCCCCTGTTGTAAATATATGTATTTTCATGTCATTGTACCCAATGTTATTGTACCTGTATTGATGGTCAAAAGAGCATTTGATTGCATATATACACAGCGAGTCATGTCATGGGCCCTCAATATGTTTACACTTGCACTTCAGCACGAGTCATGCGCTGCGCATCAACTCCAGCTTAGTCCATCTTCCCATCCTGTGTCTCGACATGCTATTTTCATCCGCCACGACAATGACTACAGTGCGTGGAGCAGCATGGAGAGCCGCGCCACTGTGACCAGCCCGCCCGAGTCTGATACGCCAACATCGAGAATCGCGTCCATATCTCAACTCGTTTTCCGTGAAGCCTCCATACTTCTCCATATAGACGAGTCTTATCCTTCCACTCCCTATCCTGGTGGCCAACGTCATGGGCTCTCTTGATCGTTTGGAACCGGCGGAAAAAATTGAAGAATCATCCACAGAAACGAACGTGATCAGGCGCCAAGGAACCCGGGAGGACCGCCAGTTACGTGGTTGGATTACTGTTATTCTGCTATTAATAGGTCCTCCTACAGCGCTCATCACTTGTCTAATCCTCCTCGCAAACCGGAAGCACTCCGATCCAGCACAATGCGCGAACAGGAGCCTCGACGTCGGTTTCCAGGGGACCCGGATTCTTATGGGTTGGGCATTCGAATCGGTCTTTACCTCCACTAGCTGTGTTCGATCGTTGCATCCGCCTTGCCAACTGAACGGCGCTACCTCTCGGTGACATATGCTGCATTCACCGTGGCTCTCCTGGCCGCTTTACTCGGTCTCATCTTTGGGGATGGGTGCACATACACTGCGGAAGTAATCATCCTACTTCCTTTACTTTTTGGAGGATTCAACATCGTCATTTTTAGCGACTCAAATCTTTTGCTAGCAACTGATGACAAGGTTAGGGGCGTGCATTTCGCTCAATTGGTTCACTATTTATTTATCATCCCCCTCGTACTATGGTTTTCGTTCCGCCTAGCAACGACTGGCGACGTGGACTTCAATGCTACTCCTTCAGGCACATCATTTTTTTCCTTTACTCGAATTGGACCCGGCAATTTTCATACCGGCAGTGCTGCGATGCTGGCTCTGACGTTCTGGCTTATATCCCACCCTGCCCTTGCTTTTGTTTTTGCATTGATGAAGGAACCGCACGGTCGAGTTTATCGGGCGCTTAATGCGGCTATGTTGTTTACACGTATCGCACTTATTATTTTCGTGAGCTACATCATCGCCGGCATCGCCCGGGGGCTGATGGCCTTGTTCAGGAGTAGGGACGAAGAGTCGAAGGAAGCCGAAGAGTCCTGGGGCAAAGCCGTAAGACCTGCACTTGTAATCTTTAGCTCCGCATTTGGCTGATCTGAACTATCAGGGGTATGATTATCAACGGCTTCCTCACTGCCGTTTCCACGATACTCTTCGTGGAGCTCGCGTTGAAATGGAACAATGTGACTGGTGTATTCGAGATAAAGACAACCGGGCAGTTGATCCCATTTACTACTGGGGTGCTTCTGGTGGTCAATGTTCTTTAGAAGCTAAGAAAGAGATATGCAGTGGGTGGATCATGGTCGTTAGCAGGAGACTTTACTAATCTGTGTAGGCACGGAAGGACGAGAAGGGTAATGCCTTAGTTCAGCAAAATATAGATATGCCAGAAGCCCATATCGCGTTCCAGCGACCAGATAGCTCTTCGGTTTGAGCATGCGTATTTGATTATATTTGATTATATTTGGTGGAGGGGGCTTAACATGCTTGTATCATAATAGACTTCGGTGAGCCATGGGATTATAAGTCCGTCGTGGTGACATGGAATGAAATCTACTTATCCTCTGTGGCATCCTGATCCATGCTTTTCCCAATGCTCTATTTCAGGGTCCTCTCCCCAGACCCTTTCGATCCGATATCGAACCTCGAGTGGCTCAAGGAACTGTTCCACTGCACTAATCCCTAAGCGGTTAGATGCATGGAGAAATCGCCAATTAGGAGCGGCTTAATTTGACCTCCTTCATCCTTGTTTCCATTTCGTCATATTTCAAGGGAACTGAACAACATACATCATGACCCCTAAATTCACGCATCTCGACTGGTTGATTTGTGTCCCTTAACCAGAAACCTGTCAGTACACAGGCCAGGAATAAAGTCCGATTGGTAGTCTCTAATCATCAGGTGAGAGAATACTAGCATGATGACCGAGAGCCCAGGGATTCGCCAACGTTTAGACCACCCCCAATAAATTGGCCACGATCTCGGATCATATATGGTATAGGTCTCGCTGCATCATTCCTTCGTTCACTAATATTCCTATCACATTTGACAATACTGAATAATCAAACACATCATGTCTTCCTGGTTTCAAAGCTCACCGCACACAAACAGCAAAAAGGGCTTTTCGGCCGACAAATTCAAGGAGGCGCTCAACCCAACGAGCGATACCAATGTCAACATGCTGAAGCAAGAAGCCGACCATACCAGCCAGCTGTCCGGCCAGCAGTTCAATCCGGGTAGCGGTAGCGGCACAGGGGAGGGACGCAGAGTGAGCACCTTACGCTGTAGCCCAGTCTGGGCTTTGTCGTGAATCCAAAATTAACAACCTATTCCCGCAGTCCTCCGGAGCCACCGGATTCGGCGGCATGGTTCCGTTCGCCAGCCTCCAAGCCGAGAAGCGGGACCCCAACAATATGAACGCTGCCCAGCGACGAGCGAGTATCGAAGATCAAAGGACGAGGCGGGGATCGATTGGGAAGATGTGGGATAAGTGAGTAGACAACCGATGTGGGTTATGTCCCGGTAAATACATGTCGCTGACAGGTATTAGTTTCACTAAGGGGCCGGTTTCTGGCGGCGAGAAGAGTGGAGGAACCTCTGGGATGAAGTAATGGATAGCCAAGTTGCTGAGGACTAGGAGATGTGTTGCTCGGACGGAAGTAGAATTTTATAATGGATAAGATATGTACAGTATCTTTCAGTGGTGTCCCAAGTCAGTGCGAACCGTCCTGACGGCTTTGTTCCACCGATGGTGCTTCGCTGTGTCGCCCGGGGTGATGTGAGAGATATGCCCATTTTCTTGAGTCCGTTCTCGAACATCGCACGAAGGCAGGGGATACACGCGGCCATGATGCCGATATATGATTCGGCGGAAGCCCACAATCCCATCTCGACCGCGTCCCATGCCATATCCTGCTGGGGTTGGACAACCGAGATGAAGAACAACTTCCGGATACCAGCAACTGCACAGAGTAGCCCCAGACCCATGAGAAAGGCGAGAACTAACTTGTCTCGTAGAGGGCGGTTGAGTAAAAAGATGAAGGTGAGAGGGAGGAGCGAAAATAGGACGTCGGAAAATATGATGGCAATCGACGTCGCCAAGATCGCCTTCCAGACGTCGTGTCGAGACCGGCAAGTTCCTTGGATGATCGATTTGTTCCAATAGAACTCAAGTGGTTTGCACTCAGTCAACTGTAAGGACATCGTGACGACGGCAAATACGACGAGGTATACTATGCATGCACTCATGCCAATTCTCCAGACAGTAGCCCTTTGAATCCGAAGAAGCATTGCTGCAACGGAGAGCTTGATGAAAGTCAATCCCCATTGCCAAAGGACCTGAGTGACCCAAATCATCTTGACGTACTGGGTCCCATCAGTGATTAATTCGAAACGTCGTCCATAGCCAAGCGTAATGGTGTATATCATGATCGAATAGCTTATTAGAACCAGGACCTTTAGACATAGTCCTATTTCTGCAACATACTGTGTCCAAACTGAAGCTTACCATCGCAATGGTGATCAGATAATCATCCCAGTGGAGGTTGAAAGTTGGTCGCGACCTGGAGACCATGCGGCAGATGTACAAAATAAGCGCGATAACCAGCAGGCTAGTGTGGACCGCTACGATAATGGGAGCTTTTGTCTCATGTTCTCGATTCGTTGCTCGCGGATCAAAAGAGTTGAAGAAATCATCGGACATATTGACATTTGACAGTGACGTGTCAGTCACAGATCATTGATCGTGGACGACCAACGATCAATTGATCATGCAAAATGTAATATAACTAGAGAAATGCGCATTAAGGTTAGAAGATCGGACCGCTTGGGAAGATAGCCTATATCAAGAAGTCGAATTAACTCTCCAATTATTTCCTGAAAGTTGAGCACGCCTGACACCATGTCTGTCCCTAGTCCCTAAGTACGTAGTAAGCAGTAGCCCGTAATCGTATGCATGCCATTTTGGCCCGGACGTCCTGACTCTTGTCCCCTTCCTTGACCCATGTTTCCCATGTGGCGTTGCCCTGGATCACCGACCTCCAAAGCCTCCTTTTTAAGAGACCAACCACTGATCTGTTTCGATCACGACTACTATGCAACGAAGATTATTCCTCCTCGGCCTTATGCTTCAGTTCGAATCGTCAACAAAATATGGATGTTACACTCGCTTTTTTCCGAGGAGCGCAGCATCAATGGTATAAACCGATGATTGGATTTAAACAACAGGGACCTGGGAAGAGAGTCGAAAAGACTGTCTCCGCCGCTCAGGGGCTATCTGGAGGTAATGTGGCTCTAAGCAATCTCAACAGGCACATTCTGGTGAAGGTATGATCCATAATCCGCGTAAGTCGTAAGTACCATTTCTAAATGCTAACCGTAGAGGTAGTCGCCGACACTCTAAACGATAATGCGGTCCAAACGATAACTTAATGTAGTTCCCAATCTCCGTAAGCCCGTTTATTCTCCGCCATTATGCTGAAATATAATGAAGCTATTTAATCTAGAATCCAGAGAGCCTTCTAATCCCCTCTACAGTCTGCCTAGCAACCTCCGTCGTTAGAAGAATTCTTTGCTGGCATCGAGCGTCGACGGCTTCAGCCTATTCTGCATAACTGTAGTGACTTCGGCACAGGGTCCAATTTTTTGACAGAGGTGGGGCAGGAAAGGGGCTCGATAGAACTGATTGAAGCATGAAATATGGCTCTCGCTACAAGCGGAGTGTATGCTTCCTGCTCTCCAACAATGGCATAGAATTATCACTTTGGAGATATGGAAGCCTTCTACGATGAAATATTTGCACAAGTCAGTACTCGAAATCCCTTTTTTGAGTCTCAGGATGTGCGCAGAGAGCGTCCTAAGTGTGCTATAGCAGAGACGGTTTCACACGCTTGGAAAGGACTTAGCTCTCGCAAGGTCTTAAAAGGAGCTTCCGCAAACCGCAAACTCCCGGGGTTGAAAGCAGATATCCACCACCAGTTCAGTCTCGTTTGCAGAGATACTGGCCGTGGTCAAGATCCACCAGCCTGGATGGCTATTCTAAGGGTAAAAAATCACATCCACCGGTCCCCATTTTTCTTCCCCTATCCTAAACTAGAGGGAAGGAACCAAGGCATGCGGGCTTCTGCTCTGCATGTGGTTGCGCCTATTGAAGGCCTCCGTTCGGAAGAGCCAGATTGGTCCAGGGTCCACGATAATGCCCAATCCCAAGATTCGGACGCACTTCGTGACCACTCCACTCCTCATCAGACTCGAATTGTCACTGGTCCCCGATTATCGTCAAGATTTCACTTGGGGACGGCGTTGGCGCCGTTGGTAGCCAGATGTGAGCGTTTTGAACCACTGATACTGGTAGCGATTGCGATCGCTGACACGGAGGCTGAGCGTCTGCGGAGCCAGGTTGTTGCCCACATCTGATCTGGTTGATCGTCGCCTTGGCGACTTGTCAGGGCCTTTGCCCTTGTGTGTGTCAATTGGGGTGGTCGGGGGTTTTATGAGTCCGGCTAGCGGTCTCGAAGGACCAGTCGCGAGCCCACCCAGTCGGCATCTTGGCTTTGAAGTTCGGATTGCAGTTGGGTAAAACTCAGTGTTGGGAGTGCTCTGAAGTATTAAAGACCACCTTGACGCCTGGTCGGTACTTATGTTGCGCGAGACTTGTGGTCCGGGTTAAAGAGCTGGAACTGTAGGCGTAACAATATAGGACTATGGACAATGGGTGGGAGCGGTCTCCTCGAACCGAGGATTGAGCACTGAAAGAATATTAGGACAATGATATTGTGAGACCCAACTGAATGGACAAAAAATCATCTGTCAACAAAGGATTTTAACGGATAAAGGGTGCCATACCTCGAAATGTTTGCCCCTTTATCCCCATTCAATGCTTTACCGGTCTATTCTGACTCAAAATAACGGGCCATGCCACAGTCTTTACCAACGATATTTCACGTCTCCCATGGCTTCTTCATCTTGCATGGCAAGTTATTTTTGACCCATTTGTTGATTTTATCGACCCGCCACTCACTCGTCCAGCGCTTTTCGCCTTCCGGATCTTTGCGTGTGCCCATTCGGATCCTGTCGTGAAGTCTGCATAGCTCGCCATTGAAGTGAAACTGGAAACAATCGTCTGCGTCATGACATGCCGCGCGGCATGCTTCAAGTGTATCGGTCGTAAATTCTTTGTTTTCTGATAGATTGTCCCAATCTTCGCGTGATGAGATTATAACCGGAAACTCTAAATCAGTGAATAGCTCCGAAAAACTGAGGGGCTTCTATTTAAGTTTGTGTTATTGTCCATGCGAGTAGGATGGGTGCGATGATACGCACCTTATAGTGAGCTCTATGCCGCTCAAAATCATAGAGTTTCCTTGCCTCGGTTGGTTGAACGTGATGCATCGTGACTACCGGCTTACACCAGTAGTCTGGTCCGAAAGGTATGGTATCTAAGCTTTCTCCTTGGATGATGGGCCAGACGCTCTTCAGCTCGATACCCACATCCGCGAATGCTCGAGATGCTGTAAAGTCTCCACAACATTCGTCGGACAGCTTCTGATCCCATTCGGCGGCAGCTCCGGGGTGGTCGACTGTTAAGTTGCTAATGGTCGGTTTGGAAAAGAAGTATCCGCTACCGCCGTGTGCAAAACCAAGGTCATTGATTAGCGACAGTGATCCGAAGTAGGTGGTTTTCGTCGCGTCCAGAGTGGATAGATAGGCCAGGAGATTCGCCCAGACCAAGTATGTATCGGCCTCAAGGAAGACATACCAATCCATATCAGGATATAATTCCCATGTTCGTTGGATCGTGTGTAGATGTTTATATTTGTCCAATATCCAGGCAGCCGATTTATCTCCCTCCTTCATATCCCGAAGCGAAGGAATCTCATGCATCCGATTCTGGCGTTTGAGCTCCTGTTGCTTCCTATAGAGCTCGAACTCCGGGCGGCTGTCTCTAATCGACGGTGCAACTCGTTCTAATGCATCGTGGACGTGCTGTCCCATGATCCACTGCTCCATGTCGGAGAACAGAATGACATGTTTGGCGCACTGGAGATAGGTCGTAAGAATGGTCGGCAGCTTATCCATAGCCTCCGTAGCGCCCGTCCGGACTGATATCACCACATTTCCTGGATCTGGGAATCGATCGCAGTAGTCATCTTTCGGCGGATTTGGTGGACGTGGCTGGCTTTTCTGCCCACTAGCACCGAGTAAAGGGTCGGTCGATTTCGCTACCCCCGACCAATGGGTTCCTGAGGTAGAGAAGAGATAGACGGTCGCCAGCAACGGGAAGATAAGACAGAGGCTCCATATTCTGGTTGGTGAAACAAATTGCAATCGCCCATACATGGCTCAGATGGGATGGATGAACTTGAAGAATACCGGCAATGAAGAGGAAGCTGCGCAGGGGTAAAAGTTCCGCATCTTCAAAGAACAATATAACGAAGGTATACAAGAATATCGTAGATTCGTAGTATTGTAGTGTCATTGACAAATCATGAACGCATCTAGCCGTATGCTTATGTGGTACGGTAGTAAGAGTGGACCGATGACACAAATGACAAGCAACGGGAGGAAAGCTGCCGAAAAGACCAAAGAAGAATTCAGAGAGGTTACATTTACTTGTATACCTAGGCATTTACATGGTCTCGTATCCATCTCGTCATTTGACTTTGCTAAGGCTGGGCACAGCCGTGGCCATGTTCTGGATTCGTGGAATCCGGAGGACGAGGGGGAGGGCACCTGTCCGCATCGTAGAGTGATCGCCAATGAGTGTAAGGGAGATAGAAACAAAGATATTAATAGCGAAGCCCAAGTTGACTGTCGAATGGCATTCGGGGCATTCCCTCTGTCCCTCGCATGAATACGATAGATAGTGGCGACATTCACAGGTGATGTTCGAGATTGGGAACTGTCCGGGAGGAATTGGAATCCAACCGGTTCGCAAACCTCGGCCACATCCAGGCCCCTGCTGGAATTTAGAGTACTATGAAAAGGATGTAGAATACGTGGTTGATATTGTAGAGAAATCAATTTCATAAGTTGTATAGAATAGGTATCAAGCACGCCTGTCACTCTACCCGGCTCGCTATGGATGGGGTGTTGATTTGATATGCGACCTTTTTGAGACTAGGTCGACAAATAATCGATGGAACTTTAAAACTCAATCCTACAGCGACAATGGATACTGTTCTCGTAGGTACGGCCCGTATTTTCGGAAGATGACGGGCACAGGCACAAGTATCAACGCCATAAATCCAAGCAACGAGTTGCCCCAACCCAGCTCTAATGCATCGTACATCTGTAGTGCACACAGACGAAGCAAGGTGGCTGCAATGGAACGGACGATGTTGCTCGCCCAGATGGCACTTGCGGCATGCAAAGTGAACGCATCGACAAGGTAGACTTGGAGAGGGATCTAATGGAAGGTGACGTTAGCTGGATGTTGCTCGAAGTTGAACATACAAATAATGTGAATAGAAAAATCGGATCACACTGACAAAGGCCGTCATAATCCCTACGCCCGTAATTGCTGTACCAAGCATTGGGACGATCCAATGCACTTGATGTTGGACTGTCCATCCATATATGAATAGCCCAGCAGGAATCGCCGGGGAGCCGGGGAGGGTATGGGAGAAGGGTATTCGGTGCTCCGGTATGAGTGTGTCCCCATTTTCTTGGTGAAGGTGGTATAGAGGATATACAAGATGCCGTAGACGGCCATAACCGACATAACGGGCCTGAATAAGAATATCTTCGTGGGCAGTAAAATGCTGCGCTTCACGAGATCGGCGCGTGACAGTCCAGTATCAAGGCGGGACCGCTGAGCAGGATTGCCGGTTTACTTTCGGAGTCTCTTTGCTTTCTTTCCCTGGAGGATCGGTGCATATGTTTCTCTCAGAACAAACAATACAACCAATCCGAGCGCGCCAGTGACGATTGTCAGGAGCCAGAACACCCACCGCCAACCCTTAGCCTCTGAAAGAAACCCTCCAACAACTGGGCCGATGACTGGCTCTATGATAGGGCCCGTGATCCAGATTGCTAGAGCACCTCCACGCTTTTCCGTGGGCATGACGTCCATAATGGATCCCGCTCCGATGGTCAAGGGTACACCTCCGCAACAGCCCATGAGAAAGTGGAAAACGATCAGCATGCCCATGTTCGTGCTCAACGCATAAGCGACGGAGAACACAACGAACAACACGCTGCTAACTCGGTATGCCGGCAGTCTGCCACATATCTCGTTTAGCGGCGCCGCAACGACCGGCCCAAATGCAAAGCCAAGGACGTATACTGACACCACGAATATTGCTAGGCTTGGTTAGGGGAGCGGAATTCTATCATTACTTCAGGGACACAGGGGGCGAATATAGAGGAGGCGAGAGGGGTGATGAAGGGCATGACGGAAATGATGCCGACGTTGGTTCATTTCACCCCTATTGGCTAGTACATCGGGTTCGCAGGTCTAGATCGGCCGGCTCGTCCCACCATATCTCATTCGGGTCGGTGATGGTGGTTGTGGCGATATTCGCGGCATGTTTCTCAAGATCTTCCTCAGCACCGGTATGAAACGAAGCCGACTTTGAGGAGGGACATCCTCGGTTGATGTCTGATGATTCGGTTTTCGATCCATCTCGGAAGATAAGTTCTGACTAAAATGCCCTCATCTTGAACGTTTATTCTGCCGGGTCCCGTCTTTCTGTCGCTGTCCTTGATGATTCTGCTGAAGGTCTGCTTCCTCTCCTCAATATGGATTGGTAACTCAGTCACTCCTTCGTTTGTGGGTCTATCAGCCTCGTGACCATCTTGAAAGTGTGAATGGACTCGTTCATATCGGATATTCTGTGACTGGAAGCCCGGTGATGAAGGTCCGCTGGTGTATACATGGTTCGCTTTCAGCAAATAGCGTTTGCGGATGTGCTTAGGGGAGGACTACTGGTATGACTGAAACTCAAGGCGAATCTGGACATGCTGGGACCTTGCGGTTTTGAAAAAGCAGCTGTATCGGACCGTAGCAAACCGAACCGGACAGTACAACCTAGAGTAGACAATGACAAGCCAATTGGAGATATATGAGATGCCAATATGAACAAGGTGGTGCACTCTATAAGAAGGTAGACTTGAGAGAAAGAAGGAATGGGTTATCAGGTCATTGAAGCTAAAGGGGAAGTTGAATGAATGGGAGCCTGGAGGATCGCGAACCGCCGTCAAACTTGCTGAATAAAAGCTGACTGCGTATCTAGTAGTAAGAGTTATGCCAGGCTAAAGATGAAAAAGGGCCCAAGTCTAATACACAAGATTGTCTTGGCCTGGGTTTGTTTTAACACAACATGTTAATTAATTGAGTAATTCGAAATCGTGCCAGAAGGGTAAGTGACACTAAGAATTAAGACCAAAACCGTCTTAAGTTATGTGAGCACCGAAGGAGACAAAGCCAAGCAGTGCCGTCTGGACTTTGGAGTGTATTAGATAAGTACTATTAGATAAGGAGATCTTGATTCTTGACTGTTTATCTCAATGGATTGACATATGAAATTTACCTCTAGTCTCAATCCCTTAATAATAGAGCTGACTATATCAGATATCATCGTCAAAATTTTCCGATGGCCGATGAAGCTTGTTAGTATCCGCTGTTGTGCCGCAGTGTACGCGGGAGGCAGTGTCGAAAACAATGCATGCCGACGAGGACTGGGGAATGTCATTGTCTCATTGACCTGAAATGTGCAATGGATTTTCACCCCAATAGTTCAAATGCTATTCTCGGAGCTGATAACACAGAATTGAGCTCGAAGGTTGAAAAGTTGTTTACTCGGCGACGGCCAAATCCTGGAGAATGAACCAATCATATCGCCGGATTCCCCTACCTTTGACCTCAACTCAGCAGAAACCTGATGACGTGAAAATTTCATGATATGTGACAAACAAACGGTGGCAATAACCACTCCAAGTCTAAGTGATCCCATTCAAGTGTGAAGGTACCCTTTTGTTAATAGAGACACCTGGAAGGTCACGGTGGATGATATTCGTCATTGGATCGCAATTTACACCAGGACATCTCACCATCACTCATTTGCGATTGCCGTCTTCAGTGCTGGAGAAGCCCGATATCGCTCCACAGAAAAAATGGACAATCTCCCAAGAGTAGGATTATTAGGAGGAGGCCAACTGGGGCGGATGCTCATCGAAGAGTCAAACCGGCTCAATATCCCGATCAGCGTGCTCGACGCCGATCAAGCACCCGCAAAGCAAATCCACGCGCACCCTAAAGCACTGCACGTGAATGGATCGTTCGCGGAATCGGAAGCGGTGCGGAAGCTTGCGAGTAACTGCGATATCCTCACGGTTGAGATTGAGCATGTCGACACGACGATTCTGGAAGAGGCGGCCAATGCGGGCGTGAGGGTCGAGCCCAGCTGGAAGACGATCCGAACGATCCAGGACAAGTACGTGCAAAAGCAGTATCTGGAGAGCCATTTTATCAAGACGGCAGCAGCGAGCCAGGTCGATTTCATTGCGGATTTGGAGGCTGCGGGGGTGGAGCTGGGGTATCCGATGATGCTCAAAGCAAGGAAGCAAGCGTACGATGGGAAGGGGAATTATGTGGTCGAGTCAAGAGATGACGTTCATAATGCCTTTGAGGCATTAGGGAAGGTTAAAGGGGGCATGTATGCTGAGAAATGGGCGGATTTTAAGACGGAGCTCGCAGTCATGGTCCTGAAGACAAAAGATGGTGTCTTTGCGTATCCGACAGTGGAGCTGATATCACAAGACAGCGTATGCAAGCTCGTCTACGCCCCTGTTAGAGGCGTGTCAACGAAAGTTAAAGAGGCGGCTCAGAAACTTGCGAAAGAGGCCGTGGCGCCATTCGAGGGAAAGGGGGTGTTTGGAGTCGAACTGTTCCTCCTCCAAGATGACTCCCTCCTCGTGAACGAAATTGCTCCTCGACCACATAATACCGGCCATTACACGATCGAGGCATGTCCTAACTCCCAATTCGCGGGCCACCTGCGAGCAATCCTCGACCTACCCATCCCTCCCGACAGCCTCAAGCAGACCCGACCGGCCATCATGCTAAACATCCTCGGTGGAAAACACCCCGACAGCCACCAGCCGCTCCTTCTCAAGGCCCTCGCGATCCCGAACGCAACGATCCACATGTACGGCAAAGGCGCGTCCAAACCCGGCCGCAAAATCGGCCACGTCACCGTCACCGCGTCCACAATGCGCGAAGCCGAATCCGCCATGGCCCCTCTCCTCGCCGAATTCGACACCTTGCGCGCCGAGCGCTTCAACCTCCCCCCTCCCACCACCGCTCCCCCCGCTCCGTCACGCCACCCCGTCGTCAGTGTCACGGCAGGCTCGATTTCCGACCAGACGGTGCTGGCAAACGTCTACACCGTGCTCGAGAAGCTCGGGATCGCGTACGAAAAGAAGATTACCTCGGCGCACCGCACACCGGAATACATGGCGACCTACGCGAAAGAGGCGTCGGCGCGGGGCGTCCGGGTGATCATCGCGGCGGCGGGCGGAGCGGCGCACCTGCCGGGGATGGTGGCGGCGTTCAACAAGAGCATTCCGGTGATCGGGTTGCCGGTGAAGCCGAGCAAGAGCGATGGGATGGATAGCTTGGTGAGCATGACGAACATGCCGCGGGGGGTGCCGGTGTTGACGGTGGGGATTGATAATGGGGTGAATGCGGCGCTGGGGGCGGGGAGGATCGTGGGGTGTTGGGATGAGGGAGTGAGGGAGCGGGTGGAGCGGTATGCGGAAGAGGCGGCGGAGGAGAGCTTGGAGAATGATCGGAGGATGGAGGGGGAGAATGAGAAGAGGAATGCGTTATAGGGGGTGGTATGGTGGACTAGTAGTTGTGACCTCGCTCAGGGGAATCCGAAACTTAAGAAGTACCAATTGCTTGGTGATTACGCAAAGCCTACTATACTGTCTAGGTGTCTCTCGAGACTTTAAAAAAACCTGTAAATTATCTCGAATCATACTGAATAGATACCAATATCTTGAATGCTTTTCACCTGTCAGTAGGAGTCGAATCCCCGTCCCATTCACCTTGACTTGCTTGCATCCGTGATCATCCAAACCTAAGGAAGCTGACACTGGAGATCCTCTCTCAATCACACTTCACTTCTTCGTTCTTTTCTCAAATCACTTGAGATAAATACTTCTCCCGCCGGTAGACATACTCTTCTCGCCTCGACTTGACATCCTTCTCTTTGTGATAGGACCATCTACTCTCCAATCTTAATGGTCAACACCCTGCAGACGGCCCGACCCGCTTTATCACAACTTCATCTCGCCAGACGCGGGCCTGCCCCGATTCGTAAACAGTTCATCCATTCGCCCTGGATGCCGTCCGAACACGATATCTAACCACCGACGGACATTCGAAGTCCACATCTCCAAGATCTCTCGAATCACGCACTAAGCGCCCTCCATCCCCAGCTCACACACCATGGCGCCCCCCAAATCCACCAGCTCCTCTTTCGCGACCTTCCTAATAATCGGTCGTATGTCCCCCTTATCTCCAATCCAACTCTACAAATAACTAACCCACCCCCAAGCAACCTGTTTTTTCCTCGGCATCCTCTTCTCCCTCTTCCCCTATGACTACCACGTCCTCTGGGCCACCCCCCGCGCCACCTCCGCCCTCTCCTCCGCCGACTACTTCGACATCCTCGAAACGCACTTGAAATTCATCCACGCGTCGCCGCCGGTCATTGCGCGCATCATGCACATCGCCATCGCCACGGGGCTGCTCGGCTTCCTGACCAAGCTGTACAAGCCGTCGGAAAGCAACATGCTGTTCGACGGCGCGAGCCTGGTGCTGTACATGGTAGGCGTGATGGTGTATCTGTCGAACACGGTGAAGGGGCTGCGGATCGTGACGGCGGGGGTGTATGGGGTGGGGGAGGAGCCGGTGGGGCCGGACGGACAGGAGGTGGTGGGAAGGGAGGATTCGTTGAGGGTGATGGCGGCGACGAATACGATTTTGGCACTGGTGTTGGTGGGGGTGTTGGTGTTGCAGGCGGGACAGTGGTATGCGGCGCGGAAAGAGGAGACGGAGATGGCGGAGATGGAGAGGGTGGAGAGGGTGGAGAAGGAGGGGAAAGGGGGGAAGGCCGGGAGGGAGGAGGGGAGGAAGGGGAGGAGTGGGAAGAAGAGGCAGTGAGGTGGAGGGTTTTTTGGGGGGATATCGTGTCCTCTGAGCGCATTATTTGGCGACCCGCGACACCGTATCATACATCGAGAACGAAGGTATACTGCGGGTTGTAGGGATGAAGATGGGCGATCGACCGAGTTCATAGATCAAGGAATTCTCAGCTGCAAATATAGATAACCGACAGCAGAAACAACGGGAACGAGAAAACACTGACCTATTAGCTTCGTTCATAATTAATGAAACACTTTCATAGCCTATTCTTGCGATCCAGAGGTGCCATCTCGAAAATCTACCGCAGAACCATCGCTAAATATACAGAGAAGCTCGCGCCGATATTAGGTCAAAATAAGAGGAGAAAAGACAGATGCGGGAGCATGCCTTGACGGATACCGAGACAGTCCCTCCGACCGTTCCGCGCAATGCCCCTTTTTATAACTGAACAACTTAACGCCAACGACACCACCCCCTCAGTCCCCATCCTCCCCTCGCCCTTAATACCTCCAGAACTTCCATCCCCCCACCCCACCCCGATGTCTCGGATGCCCCTCCTCAAATGTATTACTCACACCCACCAACTTCTCAATCCCCTCCGTCCCTACCGCCGTCAAGAACTTCTCCTGATCGATCTCCTCGCCCCCCTCCTCCCGATTCGTGATCGAGTTCACGTTATGCAGTACTGCCGGCCACAGCACGCCGACCCCGTCGCCCGCCAACGTCGTCGTGAACACCTCGAACCCCTCTTCCTGCAACTGGTTGGATAGGGATGCAGGGATGAGCGCTTTCGGCGCGATCAAGGCCGGCTCGAGTCCGCTCTTACGCTTCTCCGAGCTACCTTCGGAGTCGGTCCCGTTGCGCACGAGGGTTCGAGCCTTTGGGGATGGCTTCTTCACCCCGTTAACGCCGCCGTCGGGTTTGCCTTTCCACTCCGGGTTCAGGATCGTGATGGCGCAGCCGCCGCCGCCCGCGCCGGTCAATTTTGTCCATCCGATTCCGGTGTGGTCGATCAACGCGCGTAGACGCTCGAGTTTCGGGTGCGAGACGCCGAGTGCGACGAGCAGGCCATGGTTAATGGCGGCAAGCTCACCGAGCGTCTTCAGCGTCGTGGAGTCGGCGTCGAAGTCATCCGAGGTGAGGAGGGTGTGTGCGGACTCGGTGATGTTGTCGATGGCAGAGAGGACGGATTCGGCGATGGTGGGGAAGGATTTGCGGAGGTTGGCGACCTTGGCGACCTCCGTGGCGGTGCTGCGGCTCTGGCGGGTGTTGACGAGGAGGAGGGGCAGCTCGGGGAAGGTGTTGAGGCGCTTAACGAGCGGGGGTTTGGAGTAGTCGCGGCGCTGGAAGAGGACGGCCTTGCCGCCGCTGCTGACTGTGTTGTCGACGCCGGACGGGTTGCCGTGGATGCACATCTCGGCGACGAAGGCCCAGCGGTTGATGCGCTCGATGTTCAGCTCGGATTCGGCAGCGGGTTGGTCGGGGTGGGGGCCGGCGAGAGCGCGGCATTGGACGAGCAGCGAGGAGGAGAGGCAGACGGCGATGGAGGCGCTGGAGCCGAGGCCAGCGCCGATGGGGATGGTGGAGCGGAGGGTGTAGACGCATGGTGGGGAGCTGGAGGTGCCGAGGGAGAGGAAGAGGTAGAGGAAGGCGGTGGCGCTGGATTGATGGATCTTGCGCGTGGCTGGGGGAGCGTTGGGTGAGATGTTGTCGATGTGCGGCTCGAGGGCTTCCAGGAGGTCGGGATCGAGCTCTGTAACGAGGTCGTAGTAGGTTTTCTTCTTGCCCGGCGCGGAAAATGCGGACCATGGCAGTGCGGGTATATCCCAGGTATGTGACAGGCCGATATCTGGGAAGAGGAGCGATACGGTCCGGCGAGATTTTGAGAGGAAGTGGACGAGGAGGTAGGACCGTAAGGATATTGACGCCGCAATTGCTGCCTGTCGACGCGTTAGTATATGGAGTTGGATGGACCCGAGCGATTGCTCACCTTGCCGTGTACTACCGCATGTTCTCCGTACACAATGACCTTCCCTGGGGCGGAGACCATGAACGGAGGCATGAGCGGAGACGAGTCCTTGCGACCTAGCGGGGAACGGGTTCTCCCATCGTCGTGATGGCTGCTCGTCAAGCCATCAATATTGAACGTCGCGGTGGCCTTTCCTTGAGCCATGGGGATGTTGCGCGTCCGAATCCCAACAGGGACACGGCGTCGATATGGTGGTAAATCTTAGGGGATGAAGGAGCTGGCCAGTCTAGGAGATATGGCTACAGGTCTATTCCGAACATGATAGGGTAAGGAATCCAGGAGAGCCAAAGAGAGAAACCGTAGGAAAGGTAGGTACGGTATACGGAGTTGCTAAAGCATGATATGTGCCTAGAACAGGCTTCAAAATGCCGTATGCAGCCGCGTTTTCCTTCAGGTTCGAACTTCTATCTTCTCCCTTCTCATCAAACACGAAGTCAGGAAGTTGCTTCTCGAGCGGGTCAAGTCACCAAGTGGTCAATCCTCATATCCGCACCCAACACTGGGAGACTGGGAAAAGGGCAGATCTGGGGTCGCGGAATTGGATAAACAAATCAGATCGAAAAGTAATGCCGGGCCGATGTATAGATCTGGTTTAGCGGCGTTTATTACTCTGTCAAATGCTGCTAGTCAATGGAATCTTTCGTCTCCTCCAATCCTTTGTCTCGGGTTTCTCATCATGTCGGGTCCAGGTCAGGGATACAGCCGCATGGTCGTCGTCATACCAGTATCTCCCCCTGTGATACAGCAGACGGGATCCGATTATCCGTGAGATGTTTGGGGATACCACAGGGCTTCATATTACTCTAGAGTACTTGTACAGTGGTCCTTCTGCTACTTCGATTCTTGTCCCTTGCCATTCCTGCTCCTACTCCAGATGAATGGTGGTCAATTGACCGCATTGGCAGATATTGCGGCGTATGGCCAGACGAGCGGACAAGTACGATGTGCATCATTGAAGGCTAGATATGTACCTACTTCGGGTATCTCGAGGTTTGACAGTATTGGTAACCAGCTATCTACGTTGGACGGATTCCTGGGACGCAAACATCCCGATATCCCTGATCTCTCCTTGCGACTTAATTTGGTGCTGCGATGTTGCTGAGCCATCGTGTATCACAGACGGATGTCTCTACTTGACAATCCATGCAACAAAGTCCAGAGATGCGTTGAGACTTGAGCGTCTCCTGCAATGACAGATCTCTAAGGCATTGCTGGACATGAGATCAGCAGTAAAAGTGCAGAATAAGCATGGTTCATCAAAAAGGAAGGATTTCTTTGCTGCATACACTTTGGAACAAGATCCAATGTATTCGAAAACATCACATTTCATCGGATCTGCCAGTTCAATACTCTCCGTATTTGCTCATGTTGTCTGGTCTGGTCATTACTAGTAGATCAGATTGATTAGGTAATCAATTGATACTGGACCAGAATATTTGCCTCAGGCAATAATATGTCTGCCTCAATGACAGGCTAGGCCCTGGAGGAGGGACGTGTCGTGTCCACTTCACGAACATCGAACATTCACCTGAATGAGAGGTTGAATTCCGAAGAACAATAGTACTGAAATACCCTGCCGCATCTAGGATACCATAAATACCGCGGCAATGATTCAAGCGTGGCTTCAAGTATGTCATTTCCCGTCCCTGTCTCTCGTCGCGACAACCACGCGTCATTATCAACAGCTCAGAAGCTAACCTTCACAGCGCCTCGCCAGGTTCCTCGACCGGCCATTCTTCCCATGGAAGAAGCTGGTGGTCGGCTTCTCCTTGGGGCAATTCGCCCTGGAGAACTGGCTGCTGTATCGACAATACAAAGTCTACCAACAGACCGCGAAGCCGAAAGCCCTGACCGATGAAATCACCCAAGAGACGTTCGACAAGAGCCAGGACTACTCCCGCGCCAAAGCCAGGTTCTCCGTCATCTCCTCCCTCTTCAACGAGGCCAAATCCATGTACATGCTCTATATCGACATCTTCCCCCTCGGCTGGGCCCTCGCCGGCGCCGCCGTCGCCCAGTGGCTCCCCGCGCCGTTCACCGGTGAGATCACGCGCTCCCTCATTTTCGTCTTCGGCCTCTCCATTCTCGACACCGTGCTCGGCCTCCCCTTTGACTACTACCGGCACTTCGTCCTCGAGGAGGCCTACGGCTTCAATAAAATGACCCGCGGCCTGTGGATCGTCGACGCACTCAAGGGCCTCGCCCTCACTGTTGCCATCGGCACTCCCATCGGGGCCGCCTTCCTCTCCATTGTCCACCGCACCGGCTCCGCCTTCTTCTACTACCTCTGGCTCTTCATGGTCGCCTTCCAGCTGCTCGCCGTTACCCTGTATCCGATCGTCATCGTCCCTATGTTCAATAAACTCACCCCGCTCGCCCCGGGGCCCCTCCGCGACGACGTCGAGGCCCTCTGCCGCCGGCTGAAGTTCCCCCTCGACGAGCTCTCCGTTATCGACGGCAGCAAGCGCAGCGCCCACAGCAACGCGTACTTCTCTGGTCTCCCGTGGAAGAAGCGCATCGTGCTCTTCGACACGCTGATCGAGCAGTCGAGCGGGAAGGAGGTGGAGGCCGTGTTGGCGCACGAGCTGGGCCATTGGAAGATGGGACATACCACGCGGATCTTGCTGGTGCATCAGGCGCATCTGTTCTATTTGCTGGCGGCGTGGTCAAGCTTCATTGGGAATCGGAGCTTGTATGCGGCGTTTGGGTTTGAGAAGGAGCGGCCGATCATGATTGGGTTTATGTTGTTTAATATGATCTATGCCCCGGTGGAGGTGGTGGTACAGTTGATGATGAACCTCTTCACGCGCAGGATGGAGTACCAGGCGGGTGAGTTTATCCTTTATTTCTCCCGTTCTTCTCTCCGGTTTGTATAATACATGGAGAAGTACGCTGACCACTTCCAGACTCCTTCGCCAACGACCTCGGCTACAAGACCGACCTCGCCAAATCGCTCATCAAGCTCCAGATCAAGAACCTCTCCGCTATGGACGCCGACTGGCTGTACTCAAGCTTCCACCACTCGCACCCGATCCTCACGGAGCGCCTGAAGGCCATCGGCTGGGTCAGCGACGGCAAGCCCGCCACCGCCGACCTGAAGGAGGAGAACGCCGTGAAGGAGGAGGAGGTGGTCGCAGCGTCGGGTCGCGAGCTATAATTTTGGTCGTCAAAAAGTTCTCGGAATTGGATCGCGATGGGGGGGTTGCCGTGCTATGCTCGTCACGCCGCCATGGTTGGTGTCGCATATGTATAATAGTTCGGAGTCAGTAGGATAGGGACGCGGTGGATCGGGGCGTCGGATAGAGACGCATAGAAAATTCGGTTCTTTCCTCATCGACGGTGTTTGTGCTCATTCGTCCGATCGCATCATGCCGCATCCCGCGCCTTCGCCGCCTTCTCCTTTTTCTGCGTATCCTTCCGCTGTTTCTTCGCCAACTTCCGCGCCTCCTTGGATTTCGCCGACAGCTCCCCATGGCCATCGACGCCATTCATCGGTGCTCCCGCTGTCGCGTGGTCGTGCTTTGGCTTCTTCCGCGGTGCCGCGCCGTCCTGCCCGGTCCCCACCTCCTCCAGGTCCTCCTCCACGCCACCTTCCCGCACCACGTGCGCCAACTGCTCCTCGTCCTTCCGATATCCATCCACGTTATACTGCTCCTGCTCCCTCTGAAACGCCTCCTGATCCATCCACTCCTCCTCCCCCTCACCTTCTCCCCTCCTCTTCTTCCCCGTCTTCCCCGCCTCTCCACTCCCCCCCGTCTCCTCCAACCCCCCCTCCCCACTCTCTTCTACAAAATTCCCCTCCACCTTCTCCCCCGCGAGCCCCCGCTCCACCCGCCTTAACAGATGCAACACCAGCCCGCCTTCCCGCCCTCCCGTCGCGTTGAACTGCGCTCCGGAGGCCGTCAGCACCGCGTCCGGGTGGAGGTGCGGCGTCGTGGCGCAGAGGGCGAGGTAGGCTTCGATTTTGGCGCGGGCGGCGGGGAGGGAGAGGGGGGTGGAGGGGCCGACGAGGTGGGTGGGCGGACAGAGGGGGAGGCGGTCCTGGCGGGGGAGTTTGGACATTTTGGGTGGGTTGGTTGGGATATAGGTAACAGGTATGGTTGGTGGAGGTTGAGTATCAAGTCGTGGGATTATCGATGCGGATTGAGTGCTTTGTGAAGATGCTGTAGCGACGGGACTTTAATTGACCAGGAAATTATCGTAGCGAGAAAGTTCTCGGTCGTGACGAGTCTTTTAACATATCGCGGCTTTGTGAAGATTCTGTAGAGAAGGGGAATGTGGAGGAGAAGTCGTTTCCAATATAAATCCTCGAAACCATCGCAACTTCGAAGTTCGAAAGTGAAAAATCTCGCACGGACCACCGCTTTCCTTCCTCCTCGACCGCGACTTCCTTCGATATTCACGATCGGATCCATTTCCACCTCCACAGCCATCGGAATCCTCAACCCGCCCCCATCCTCCAATTGAGGATTCCAATTGATTCTAACACAATATCACCAGCCCATCATCATCCAAGATGATCTGCACACGGTGTTTTCCCGCCGCCCGGGCGATACTCCCAACCCGTCCCGTCCTCAACCTCTCATCCAGACCTGCCCTTCTATCAAGGTACGAACCACCTTCCCTCCTCTCACCAACCACTAACCCCTCCCAGACCTAACCCCTCACAATCCCGTACACTCACCGTCCTCACCGCCCGCCGTCCCCTCTTCCCCTCCTCCCCTTCCACCTCCACCTCCATCTCCACCTCCCTCTCCCCTTCCCCCACCCCCTTCACCCCCCTCTTCACCTCCTCATCTACCTTCCTCGGCACCGCACCCAGCACCCACCCCTCCCTCGCCACCCAGCAACTGCGCCACGCGCCGCGCAACACCATGCAGCGGTGGACGCATTTTGTGCGGAAGCGGCGGCATGGGTTTTTGAGTCGATTGCGGACGAAGAATGGGCGGAAGACTTTGGCGAGGCGGAGGACGAAGGGGAGGAGTACGTTGAGTCATTAGGGGGGAGGCGGAATGCGAATGGGAATTGCCGTTTGGGGACGCATATGTTGAGTGTGGGATAGAAGGGGTGCCGTGGATTAGAACCAGCACTTTCACGATGTGTTCGTTGGATTTTTGAGTTAAGGGAAGCAATGTACATTTACGGAAAAGGGCCAATTGGCGGACAATACATGTATAACACCAAACGGTACATACCTCACACCTACCATAGCTACATCAGCATTATTCGAGACGGGACGAAAAGCTTCCCGGTTGTACAACAGCACAATTCAACCCACTACAAAACCACCATCACCATCACAATAACCATCACAATAACCATCACAATCACAAGTCACAAATTACAATCCAAGCCGGATGCCACTCATTACGAACCAGAGAATCCCATATGCCATTTATCTATACCGTATCCAGACGCCTAACCCGAAAGTCTACAACCCAACCACTCCACACTCCCCCTACCCATCGAACCGAAACCGCACCGAAAAACCGAATGGGAAATCCCGCTCCCTCCGTCCGTTTCCAGCAGCCGGAAAAGAAGAAACAGGAGTAGTGTGAAGTTGTAAGGAAACGTGCTGCGGATGTCTATGGTATAACGTAGGGAAAGTCAGGGGACGCGTTGGGAACGGAGGAAATGGAGAGGAGAAGGAAAGGGGACGGCATGGGGATGCGCCTGAGGAAGCACATGGTTGGAGTTTGAGTGAGAACATCGAGAGCGCGAGCGCGAGCGTATGGCGTGTTAGTGTGAAGGGGATGATAACTCAGACCACCTCATCCTTCGTCTATGCTTCTTCCTCCGTCAACATCACATGAAACAAACAACATCCCACCAGGCCGTAATAGTGCACCGAATATCTCATAACGCCTCTCATTACCAAACCTCCACCCTTCCCTGAAAGCGTCACCGCCTCACACAAAAAAAGCGTACATCCACAAACCCGCCGATCCGAGCGAACCGAAAACAGTCTAGACAGGTATCTCTGCAGTGCGTAGTGCAAGAAATAAAGAAAACAAGGAACCCCGGACACCAGAGCGGTTGTTTGTGGAGGAATAATTGTGGACGTGGGGGAGCAGAGAAGAGAGGCGTTATCCGCGCGGATGAAGTCCTGGTACGGATTGTGGTCTGTAGGAGGATACACCGACGGATGAATGAACCCCCATCTATCCCTCCACCACCCTCGGGGTCCCTTGCCCTCTCTGCTGCGCGACTACCTCCCGCGCATAGAACTCCACCAACATCGTCCCGTATGCCTCCATCTCCTCAAGCGGCACGGCGAGGCGGAAGTCGTTGAGGAGGAGGAATTGGAGCTCGAGGTGGTTGAGTTCCTGAAGGGGGAGGCCGCCGACCTAAGGCAAGTTAGCAGATGTCTCGAGAGAATCGTGACGGGGGAATGAGAGCGGTTGGGGGAGAACGGGAGGGGTGACGTACCTTTGCGTATCGCGAGTTCGTGTAGAATACGTCGGAGAAGAACTTGCTCGCGCATGTCACGCCGGCGATGATCAGCCGATGGATGTTGAAGCTGTCGACGACGAAGAAGTGGCTGAGGTTATACGGATCGGGGGTATCCAGCCGCGGATCCATGCGCAGCGCCGGGCTTGGCGGGCTGGGTTCCCCATGAGGAGTTTGGAAGGGTGGAGTGGATTGCGCGGATTGTGTGGAGTTGCGAAGGGAGGCGGGATGGCCGAGGGAGCCGGAGGGGGGCGGAGTGGCGGTGTGTGCGGGGGAAGGCCCGTTGGAGTGGAGGGGTTGGGAGAGGGAGGCGGAGGAGATGGAGGAATGGCGAGAGGAGTCGTAGGAGGCGGAGGCGTGGCGGTCAATGGAAGCTTGATTGGCCTGGCGGAGGGAGAGCATGGGACCGGCATTGACGCGCTCGGTCATGCGGTCGAAGTAGACAAGGAGGGAGAGGAAGACCTCGTAGGTGGTGGGACAATACTTGTGGATGCGGGAGAGGTAGGAGAGGATGCTGATGGAGGGGACGTTTTTGCCGTGGAAGGCGAGGATGCTGGTCGTCTGCTGGGTGAGGCCGTGCGTGTGGGTTTCGGGGAGGTTGGCTTGGCGGTGGAGGTAGTCGTGTTGGCGGTCGTTGGTAGTCGTGATCTTGGTCAGGAGGCCCGCCACCATCTCGATGATGTCGCCGATGGGCATCTCGCTGATCTCGTAATGCGGTCCCACTTCGTTGGGGTGTCGGGAGTGTCGGGAAGACGAGCGGCCGGAGCTGGGGTTCACGGCGTCCAGGGCGAAGCTTTGGATATGCATGAGGTCCTTCACCACGATCTTCCCCGGTGAAGGCGCCACGGGGGGTTGGACGGAGCGGACGGAGTGCGCGGGCGACGTATGTCCGGAGGATGAGCCGGACGGTGTGGAGATGCGAGCTTGAGCGAATTGAGCGGCCGGTGGTTGTTGCGGGAAAGCTCGTCTTTCAGGACTGCCCAGTCGATGAGCATTGTTTGTGTTTGCCGCGGCGTGATATTGCTGTGGCACTGATGATCTTGGAGGGTGTTCATGGGAGCCTGCGGGATTTGACGGGTCGCTTGCGGGAACCTCAGCCGAGAGAGCGTCGGTCATGGTGGTATCGGCGGAGGGATGTTGGGTTTGGGATGATGAGGTGGATGCGGCGATTGCATCACTTGTCGATCGGCCCGCGGCTGTGGCGGACGATTGATATGAATGGGATGAGGGAGAGTCCTGGTGATGTTGGGTATGGTGCGACGAGGCGCCATACATATTATTTCCGTGTGGAAAGTGGTGAACCACGTCGCTGATCACGATCGATCCCATGCCAGTGGATTTAAATGTATGAGGTCAGAAAGGTAAAGCCGAAACTGTGAAAGAGGCGACGATTAGCTTTCCGTCTAACAATCGAGGCGCAACGCGATGGCGACAACGATGAAAACGACAAGGTCAGCTCCACGACAGCAGGGAAACGCCAATGGTAGACAGTCCAATGGTAAACGACGGGATGACGGCACGGCTGTACCACATCCACGAACGATGATGGTGGACTCGTGAGGCTCTGCGACGATGCGCTCTGGTTTGCACACCTCCGTATTTCGCGATGAGGTGTAATAGGGTGCAAGCGTTGGTGGATAAATTCGGGCTGTGAGACAAGGGACACCCAGGACCAGTACTGTACCTAGCACCACGACGTCACCTGTGAACCGCGAAGAATTGACGCTGCAACGGTTCGCGATGCGGACAAATCATGGCAAGGTGAAAATGGGCACCCGTCGCAGATGGGATGGGCAATATGGAGTGGGACGAGAAGCGACCGGATTGCATGGGATCGGGGATTTGGGGACGCAGGCAACCAGTCCGATAGATAAACAGGGTTGAGGAATGGGGAATTGGGCGTGCTGCTGATAAGGACCGAGGGAAGGGAAATCATCCAGACAAAGAAGACGGGATTGGTAGGATGCGCGTCTTCACCGCTTCATGATGCGATTGTACTCACCTTTAGGGATTGGATGGCAACATTGCACGACAGCGGGACCGCAATCAATTGGACGGACAGTGGAGATGGGATAGGAAAGAGATTGGGAGGATGGAGAGAAGGTGGATGAGGTTGAGAGGTTGAGAGTTGAGGAGTTGAGAGGATGGATGATCACTCGATAAGGCTGTGGCGATGTTCGTATCAAATTGAGGGATGAGATCAAGATCGGGCCGGATCACGATGGAGTGGAAGGTGGAAGATGGAAAAGCGAAAGGTGGATGGATTGGATGATGTGATGTTGAGACGATGGAATTATCGATCACTCACTCTTCTGTCGTAATCGTACATCCCTCTCCTGTTATTAGTTACCTCTCTCACTCTTTCACTCCTCTTTTTAGTCATTTAGTCTTTTAGTCTTCATAGTTTACACGTTGTTGAGAACTTGCGACCATCAAGGGGCACTAAAATTCCTTTCTGTGGGATTGGAATAGAATCATCCACTTTGATCGTCCTTTCGGATGTCCATCAGTCAATTGCCCCATCACCTTCGGGGGAAGGGGGCCAGTTAGTTTCTTCAGCCACCCACCAGCCCACCGTCTCCTTGCTGGAAATTGCAGTCGATATGCTGCGATATGCAACGGAAGGACTAGCTTGCCATGCTCCTTGCCATGCCAGGTTTGCGTCCTGTCCGCTGAGGAAATGCAGTGCCTAGAGGTAGTAGAATGCTTGGTGCGGTCGGCACATCGCTTTCGTATTAATATTGAAGCATCAACGATTCATTCTCGTTCAGCAATCTGATAGATTCAAAATGTCTTCGATTCCAACACTAAACACTTGTTCTAGAATCACCATCCCGTCTTTATTAATATTCTCGCTTCGAACTTATGTCCAGCACTAACGACCCTCCGACCCAACCAAGTGGATCGGGCTTAGATGGGAATAATAAGGTCGTCTCTTAGAGTCTTAGTCCTCCGGCGGATCGTGCTGGTGGCGTTTCACCCTCAATGTCACCTAATGACCCAAAAGGTCGACCATCCAACTGCGTCCTTCACGCACTACCATCAATCCGATCCTATCCAAACCGATGACCTGCCACGTTGCTTGAACTCCGTCACGGGTATCCGTTAACTCTGTACGGAATAACCATAGGCGCCACGCAAAGGCCGAATACCGTCCATATTATGGAGGTCAAACCCACTGCTTGCACCATCAAATCACCCCGTGTCCAATAATCCATCCCACGAGGCCACCGCCAAATCTCCCCCATATCCCACGTTCTTACGCCCAATTCCCCTTTGACCGAGCACTGACAAATCCCTCCTCCACGTCCATCCATTTCCTTTTCTTAAACCACCCTCTCTCTATCTCGAAGTACCCATCCTCCACCCCAAAACCGCCCACCCTCCCAACCTAGCGCCCCTCGCAAACCGTTGAACCACCCCCCCTGCACCTCACGTCCATCGCTCCGCCGATCCGCCTCCCCGATTGCCCCCCACCCCCTGCACCACTTTAGCCTACGACAACCGCATTGATTGGCCTGGTCGATGATGGCGGTTTGACGACATATGCGTTTGTTTCATGGGTGGTGGGAGGTGGGCGGGATTTTGGGTTGGTTTGGGATGGAGGGGGGACATAATATGTATCTGGCTATGGTGTTTTGAGGGGCGTTGGGGTGAGAGATGGTTGTGGCACGCAAGGGGTTGGAGTAGATTGGAGGTGTGGGAGAGATGGGAGTTGGGAAGGGAGAGCACGTGGACGCCATATGGTGAGATTCGAGAGGGAGAGAAGTAGCAGTGACGCCAGGGATATCCGGGCGCGTAATCATAGTAACCAGATACGTGTACATCATCCATCCAGCGAGGTCAGTGGAAGGTGGTGGCGGAAAGGTTCCAGTCCAGATCTCAGTATGATTTCTATGGAACGTTGCCCTAAGTATACGCTGTACGAGCACGGTGCACAACACCGGAAGAGGAAGGACGGAATTAGCGGTAGTCCAACGCCATCCTCAATGCGATCCCTCCCCTCCTCCCCTCTCCTCTCCTCTGCTCCACCCTCTCACTCCCCTACCACCCCCGGCTGCCTCCCCGGCCCCTCATACCCCACATCCGGCAAATACAAATGCCTCTCCGCGCCCCTGTCCGTCAACACCACCATGCGAATCACCCCGCCCGAGCTCCCATCCCACTTGATCGCCTCCGCCAGTGCGCCGCGCACGAACGCGATCCCGTCCGCCTCGCTCATGTCCTCCCGCCAGTTCGCGTCGCAGTACCCGTAGATGTACGTGCTGCCCGAGCCGCCGATCGCGTACGATTGCTTGTGGAGGGAGCCGCCCAGGGGGATCGAGTAGACTTGGCCGCCGTGGCGGGGATCGTAGCCGGCAATGATCATGCCGGCGCTGGGGGGATGTGTTAGTTAAGGGTTCTGGAAATGGAGAGGGGGTTTCCATGGCCCTGGCGCTCCGCTGCTCGTTCGAAGGGACGATACGAAAACAGAGATCGGCACATAGAAACGACGCAGTAGGATGTAGCCCCCTCCCGAATCGTCTCATTCCTCCCGCCACCAACTCACCTCAACGCATTCTTATTCTCATAACACAACTCCTGAAAGATCGCCGCGGCGGTCTGCGTCGTCGGCGCCTCGTCGTTCGTGATCCCGTACATCCCCAGATGATACTGCACGATGTCCGCCACCGCCTGGGTATCCGCCGCCGACCCGCTCCGGCAGCACCAGATCGTGTCGTGCACCTTGGTCAGCTTGTCGGTGACGCGGTTGGCGATGTACGCGCCCGTCGTCGTGCGGGAGTCGGCGCCGAGGATCACGCCGTCGCGGAAGTTGATGGCCATGCTAGAGGGGGGTTAGTTGGGGGGATGGGAAGGAGGGGGGAGGGCGTACATGGAGGTTCCGAGGCTGAGGGCGGTTAGTGGTGTGGATGGAAGATGGAGGATGGGGGAGGACGTACTTGACTTCGCCTTTTTTGAGGTGGTTCATGTCGACGTGGATGCCATCTAGGAGGTTCAGTAAAGCTGCCGCACACCACGATTCGGATCTCTTTACCTTCACTTATGCAGCCTGTTTGCATCTTGGCGAGATTGTGTCGAGGAGTCGGAGAGGTGACGGGATGGTGTTTGGATCAGGGACCACAGGTGTGAGCTTTGAAGGAAGGTAACGGAAAGAAAAGCGATGGGTATCTGCGTATTATCAAGTCGGTTGAGTGTAGAAGAAGCTTGGAATGAGGAAATTCTTTGGATTGTGGGAGATTGGGTTGTGTATATCAAAGTTGAAGCTTGAAGCTCATCCATCACCATCCCAGGCATCTTTCTGATGCGTATGGCTTCGGTTTGGAGCTTAGGCCGTCAGACATGGCATCACGTGATAGCTCATCGACTACATCCCTGGTCCCTGTCAATATCCCTGTCACATCCTTGGCAGTCGTCAACCTCAGGCAGTCAGGCTCGGCCGCAAATCTGGGGTTGCCTCAATAAAGGCCTCCTGTTCATATCGCATCAACTATCACCTTCACCACTGTATCTGGTTGTCTATGGTTGCGGGGTTGTTTAATCGTAATTCTTTGAGCGCACTTATATGTCACTGGGGAGTTTACCGAATCCCTATATAATCTCTTCCCCCCACCGTTACATCGACTTCTATCTTCCTCGAGCCCCTCCCCAATATGTCGAACTACATATCCAATATGGTCTCCTACCTCCGATTACCAGTTCTCGCCTCGTCCGGCCTCGCAGTCCTAGGCTCAGGCCTCCTCTACTTCAAGCAAAAGTACCACTCCCGTCTCCCCTCCTCTCCCTCCACTAACCACCCCCAGTGAGATAATCTACCCGCGCGCCATCCCCCCTGACGCCCGCACCAACGTCCCCCGCCCCTCCCAATTCGGCCTCACCTCCTCCGAAGAGCTTCTCCTCCCCACCCCCGATGGCGAATCCCTCTCCGCCTTCCTCCTCCGTCCCTCCGACTCCTCCCCCCGCTCCAACGTCACCGTCATCATGTTCCACGGCAACGCCGGCAACATCGGCCACCGCCTGCCCATCGGGAAGATCCTCGTCGAGGCCGTCGGCTGCCACGTGCTGATGGTCGAGTATCGCGGGTACGGGCTCAGCTCCGGCAACCCAAACGAGAAGGGGCTGCAGATCGATGCGCAGACGGCGCTAGATTACGTGAGGCGACGGGCAGAGTTGCGGGGGAGTAAGATCGTGGTGTACGGGCAGAGTTTGGGGGGCGCGGTGGGGATTTGGTTGGTGCAGAGGAATTTAAAGCATGGGGATGTGAAGGGGTTGATTTTGGAGAATACATTCTTGAGCATACGGAAGTTGATCCCGAGGTATGTACGAGTTCGTGGTGCATGGAATAATACTCATCCGTCGCAGTGCATTTCCCCCGGCGAGATATCTGGCGCCGCTATGTCACCAGGTCTGGCCAAGTGAGCAGCTATTACCACAGATCGAAGACGTGCCCATCTTGTTCTTGAGTGGGTTACAGGATGAGATCGTACCGTAAGTGTTCCGACTCCGAATGCCTTCAACTGTCTAACAATCCATAGGGCTTCCCAAATGAAAGCCTTGTTCGATTCATGTCGCTCGGATGCCAAGTCATGGCGTGAATTCCCAGGCGGCACGCACAACGACACGGTGGCCCAGCCCAACTATTTCGAGTCCATCCAGGAATGGGCTTTTGACTATGTGGTGCGGAATTCCTCATGAAAGCACCAGGTGATGGGTATGACACCAACCTGTTCCTGCTTAGGTCTTGAATGCGTATGCATATCAGGAAGGCATAATCCATGCCAAATTCATCTATGGGAACCGACCGGGTCGATTCTACGAAATCGAACTAATTAATGATGGGCCAATATTCTACGGGTCGAGCGGTTGAGCTGCCCTAAAGCCCAGGGGGGCACACAAGTCGCGGGATAGGCGATGCGAAGTGAGAAGAATGCACTTCGGGGCCACGAGAAGTTAACCATGTGCTGTTGAATGTCCTGAGAATAGGACACTGAGTGCCCTTACTACTATTTTCATAGCAGGACATATCTCGAGATCAAAGTTCAGATTATATCATTCAAACCTTTACGAAAACGCGGTCCTCTCGAGTTGGGATGAGGTGGGGTATCGATCATGAAGTGTCCCTCTATCACCTTAGTATTTGTTAAAAATGCAAGTCTCCAAACACTTGGGATTGTTTCGAAATAAATTCTATATACGGTAAAAATAAGTCTTCGTTAACACGCAACCACTAAGGGTCTGGAATCGAGGGTTAGGTGATATTGCTGATTAGTTAGGGCTATCACCTAATTATTAGGACCGGCTATTTTCTTCGTTCTTCTACATCGTTCAACAATTACCTCATACTTCAAACTGGAATAAACGAAATGGCAAGACAGTTCGGATAACCCCCATGCCCTGTAGGGCTAGGATCTCTGCACCACTCCCAGAACGGCCAGAAAGTCTATTTTGGAGGCGTCTTCAACTTAAGGCCAGATCAGAGGCGCAACCTGATGGCAAATATCCAAGAATGGGACGACGTGTCCGACTTGGTATCATTGACATGGTATTCGTGAAGACCCGGAAGCTTGGGAAATGTCGGCTTAGCTAAGAATTCTCCTCGTTGTTCGCCTATGGACAGGAGGTGTAAGATTTATGTTGATCTTGAGGGTAGGATTCAACTCGTGAGTGTAAGATCGGATTCAAACATGCAAGAAAGGAGAAGTATCGATACGGAGGCCGAAATCTCGAAAGGCTCGATCCTGGAGATGGATCTAGAGACGAGAACCCGCAACGAATGACTGGACTTGAGGATTTGGTCCGGGAAGCTTCTATAAAGTCGACAGAAGGGGAAGAGCAACGAACTGGAAGCAGAGACGTAAGACACTCGGAGATGATTTGGGAACATGTGTCCCAGTCGGATTCTCCCTCGTCTAGGGTTGGCGATGTCTAACATTGTGTCTTAACTCTCGGTCGTTCAGGCCTATTTGGGGGAAGGTACTCTAATTCAGTCATATTCCGGAAGGGTTTAAGGAGCTCTCTATTGTTTCTGGTATAGGGACAATCAGTTCATTACCACTAATTCCAAGAAAACAGCTCAAATACGGGGTCGGTGGCGGTTGCGTTCTCATTGATTCCCATCGTATTGGCATGGATTAAGGGAGGCAACGGGAGACACACTGGATGGATGCCCATCGGGATTATTGAGGCAGCTGTAGAGGTTATATTGGGTATCCTGAATATATGCCACGTGAAATTACCCCTGAAGTTATATATAAATGGACACGCCGCTTCGTGTGGCCAGGAGCCCAAGGAAGGACCACTCTCGCTTCCCCCGTAATGTGTGCGGCATACCCCAGCCGGTCGCTATAAAGCCGGCCTCCTTCGACGCTCAAACGGCATCGCTCCCTTAATGCCGACGATCTCCTTGCTCAAAATCCACAGCCGCTCTGCAATCCGCTCATCGGTTGCGAAGTCTTCTGCTTCCTGGATTTGACAATCACCCAGATACGCGCCGGAGTGAGCTAGAATACCAATTAGAACTTACCGGGCGACTCGATGACATTTAGCCGAAGCATTGCTATTACGCACCTTGTAACTGGGGGTCAAGAGCCGCAAACAATATCGTAGAACATCCTTGCTGAGGGGACCTATCAAATGGTCCTTCAGCAACATCATTAGACTCTGAGGGGCCTGAGAATCCAGAAAAATGGCGATTGAGGTTCGTTTGGATTACTGGCGAGGACGAATCAGTCTTGTACACCGAAGCAGAGACACAGAAACCGAGATATCGATCGAGGGGTTGGACTTACTCCCTGGATGAAGACTAAAACTCGCAACCTCCCGACTCGCAACTTTCATGGACAATGACTTCGCCATCAGAATATTCGCAGTCTTCGACTGGCCATACGCTTCCCACCGCTTATACTTCTTTCCATTCTGCAGCCGATTAGAACCCCTCCCTGCCAAACCCCCCCATGACCTACCGAGAAGTTCAGATCCTCAAACCGGATCCCCGACCCCATATACGCCGCCGACGAGACATTCACCACCCTCGCTCCCACCCCCGCCTGCCTCATCCGCTCCAAAACCAACGCCGTCAACAAAAACGGTCCCAAATGATTCGCCGCCAAATGCATCTCCACCGGCCTCCCACCCCGCTCTCGAAACTCCCCGGCCGGCGCATACGGCACGCCCATCACCCCCGCGTTGTTGATCAACACATCGATGCGCTGGATCTGAGGATGGGCGAGCACGCGCTCCGCGGCGGCGTGGACCGAGGAGCGGCTGCTGAGGTCGATGGGGAAGAAGAAGGTTTGAACGCGGGGGTTGAGATGCTGGATTTGAGAGAGGACGGGCGTCACGCGCGATTCGGTACGGCTGAGGAGGATGAGTTGGGCGGGGGTGCCTTTGCGGGCGAGGGAGAGGGCGGTTTCGGCGCCGAGGGAGTGGGCGCTGGCGCCGGTGATGAGGACTGGAGGGCATGTTAATGTATGTCTGGATGTTTGTAGACGAACAAGGGGGTGGGGTGTAGTGGATCCATCCTTCTGACTTACAAGTCTTCCCATTGACCTCGTTTGCGAACGCTTCGACAATTTCATCGCCAGTCGTTGAGGACCCGAAGCGGTCCTGGTCGGCCATGATCATGCAGCATGAGAAAGGCGACGACCTAAACTTCACACAATCCGGAAATATTACGAATTTACAATTACATATCCATCATGTTGAAAGATGGAGACTGGAAGTTCGAGATACTCCGACTCTTTGGGACACGACCAGGCCGGCCGATGGTCTGATGCCCCCCTCTTCCAAGCTTGTGATCGTCGGAACCATGGAGGCGTAAATGAACCGAATGCACGTGGAGAAGCAAGGGGCTAGCGGACTAATTCCGCTTTCGGCATGTTTGATGTAAATTGTGGATGCGATCGGGAGATTCTCCTCCGAAACTCCTTCATCTCGTATGAATTTGGGAGGCGGATTTAAACACGCCCACGTATATCCCATGGCGCGATTTCCGGCTGAAGGCTGGATGTTGCTAAAGACTCGAGGAATGTAACTGCGCTTGCGAATATTAGGGAGACTAAAACCTCCCAACGTTCATAATCGTTACGAGCGACCTGGTACGGTATTACTATAGCGGCGACAAACCTTCATTGCCTCCCCACCGCTGTCCACTTCCGTCCCAGACGCCCCACATTCCCAAAGCAGACGCAACTGCAGAACAAAACGGAAGAAAACCAAGTCGCGACGCCGATGAGTTCGCGATCTTTCCAGCTCGCCCATTCCAACGTCCCATTCCCACGGATGAGTCCGCCGCCTACAATCGCTGAAGTTGCGGATGAATTCCCGAATTGCGAGAAGGACGACGTGGGACCGGGGACGAGCTGGGCGTTGGTGAGGAGGAGCACCACGGTCCCGGCGAGGCCGACGACAGAGGAGAGTGCGAGGCCTGCGGAGGTGCGGTCGAGGAGATACCACAGGACGGGATTCGCTAATGAGAGCGTGACGGATGCCTGAGTGGTGGATGTCCATGGGAGTTTGCGCTGCAGCGGGTTAGCATCTTGAACATCCTTCCCTAAATTCAAATATAAACCTACGATGGCGAATGCAATCCCAACGAAAGCCCCCACTCCCCGCACGAAGTCAGGCCACCCCAACTGCCCCCTCTCTCCGGCTCTCCCACTGGAGTTTTCCATCAATCTCCCGACCCAATCCTTCCCGAGCTTCTCGGCCCATAACCTGTCTACCCACGGTAGTAGCTTGCCCCAAAGCACCCCACACGTCCCCCAGAACGCAAGATAGGCCCAACTGCGGCTATTGAGGGCGGACATCGGTACTGGCGTGAGGTTCTGGTTGTCGTGTAGGTGAGAGATGAAGGATCCGTACAGCGTACCGACGATGAAGAGCGCGGTGGTGCGGAGGAAGAACAGCGAGAGACGGCGGGAGGCCGAGACTTTATGGGTCCTTCCACCTGGGCCTGCCAAGGATGTGCGTCTCGTAGTCCGTAAGTATTCCTCTCTTCTATCATTCGTGCTGCTCCGGGCGCTCGAATAATCCTTCCAGCTTGACGCGCCGCTCCGTCTGCACGAGGATATGTGGCTCAGCCGGTCGCGTAGGCTCGCGGGGTTGACTTCCGTACCGGGAGCATGTCCGCCGCTATAGCTCATCGTGAGATCGCCCCCCGAGTCGTCGTCCCATCCACTCATTCTGTGAGCGGGAGTCTCTGCGCCGGTGCTCCACGGTGTTGCTGCCTCGGACACGTCGATGCTTTCCGACGTGGTAATCGATGGACCGAAGATGCCGACCAGGGTGGAGGAGGTGAGGTTCATGACGGAGCGGGTGCGGGACGGCGGGTCAGTTGCGTCATGGTTGCGATCGGACCCTGAGAGGATGGAAGGACTTGTGGGGGAGTGGGCGACCTGCTCGCTGGAGTTCTGGGTGTTTGACTCGAGGGGCCTGGCTGAAGAGAACTCTGATGTGGAGGGAGAAGGGGAGGGACTCTCCATGTTGAGTTCAAAAGGGCGACGGGGGCGAGGACGGAGGATTGGAGGATTGGAGGACATGATCGCAGGGTCCTATGGAAGTGGGTAAGGTAGAAATACAAGCAATGAAGTGAAGAGGGGTTGGTTATTGCAACTGAAGGGTTGCTCGTAGAATATATATGCTCATGAATGGTGGTTTGAGCACAAGAACAGTTCGACAGCTGGTAAAGAGCACCTATACAATAGGGTCCGTAAGGTTGAGGTCGCACGCGGACGAGGAAATGAGGGTATCGCGACCGATGGAATGGATGGTGGTTGAGAGAAGTGATCAAGTTACACACAATTTAAGATAAACATAGGGATCGTTATAGGAAAGGAGAATAGAAGAGTCAACAGCAGGGTGAACGAAAGTCTGGTGATTATGAAGGAGGAATTAGAGTCATCTTGATTGGAAGCAGAACACGAAGTCAAGTGTGGAGAAGCTGGGATTTGGTGAAGCCATGTGATGGGCTCACCTGAACATCTCGCAACACTTACTACCTTCGGACTACTGTACGCATCTTCAATACACTATCGGAACATCGGACATCCTAATAAGAATACTGGTAACACTGTACCAGTATCTTATTAACTCATACTCCCAGTTATCGTCTTCCTTGCCTATAATAACCAACATCATACCCAAGTGTGTGATGCTTAGTAGCAGTTCAAGACACAGCATGATGGATCCCCTGCAAGAGTGACGAAGCAAAAGAAGTTATAATTACAAAATATTCTTCTCGTTTTTGTTCGTTCGATTGTTCTTAAGCATCCTGTATGGTCACAGTGGTGAGCCCTTTCTGAAGAGTGAAGACAAAGTATGTTTCACCGTTCTTCGGACTGAAAACCGGAGTTTCTCATGCTCGTGCCGGGCACTGCCCACAGACCCGTCAGACCGTCGTTCTATCTGCTTGCAAGGCGTTCCCATATTGGCTGCTGGTAATCGGACCAGTCGATCCATTATTTCTGTTTAGGTTTCTTTTCAAGTTCTGGCTTTATGCGAAATGTTCTGATATCTCTCGCACATCGACAGCTCATTGAGGTTGAGGGTGGCAGTTTGTATTCCTTCAGGCAAGCTTGAGTCCTTATTTTGCCGAGTCCTGTTAGTTGTTACCCTTGGATCTCCTGTCTTAATATACGAGGCTCCTAGTTTATATATACCTACCTAGGCGAAGCAATCCTGGGCATCCGTTACTGACGCCATGGAGCTCTGCATGCAGTAGGGCCCTAGAAGTCGAGAACCGAGGACGGAGTACGGAATAACATCACGACAGTATTCTGTACTTTGAGCACAACTACCCCACGAAATCGCAACAGCAACGAGGCCGGTGAAGTGGCGATGCCCTGCATTTACTTCCAGGCCCAGCCGCGGAGCCAGCCTATGGAGACACACCTCATGCCTTTTTCATTGGCTCACATTTATTTCTTCCTCAACCTCGCTTCAGTTTCACTTATTGAAGGTTTCAAACACCATGAGTGTGGCTGCATGAGAACGCTACTCGTGTCGACTGTCGAGTACTTCTGCTATTTTAAATCTATCAGACATGCATCGCGCGACGGGCTGGCATTATAATTCCCCCGATCATGTTCCAGACGAACTACTTGCAGTTGGACGAGTGGCTGCCGCCCATATCTGGTAAGGAGTACGTGCAGCAGTCCTCGATTCCCCTTCGATGATAGGTCGCCACTTCGTAAATAAGGAAAGATATTCATTACTTGACCGTTATTTCTTTTCTTGTCTGCATCCCCACCTGTTGATTTTGTCCAGTCATGCTGTGTTTCCGCCAGAGCGTTGTGGTGGTTCTCTTGTTCTATGCGCTGCCTAGCGCCACTGTCGATCTCGCACAGTGCAACATCGATATACAGGCGCGTTTGGATAACGGCACGCTTTCTCCATCAGATCCCATCTTCTATTACAATGGCACTTCATATCTGTCTCAGCGAGACGATCTTCAACTCACAATCCTAGGGTGCGAGACATCATGCCCGCATTCGCGAGATGAATTCTACGACGATATCGGACCACGGTTGTTAACATGGCTGATTCCGATCTTGCTGATGATCGGAAACATTCATCTTCCACGCATTGGATTCAAACATCGGGTGTTGATCATCTTCCACCACATTGGAGACCCCATAGATGCTATGTGGTCGCTTTTAACCAAAGCTGAGGTTTGGAGTCGTTTTTATTCCATGGCGCAATGGAACTCCGACGGACGTCCTGACGCGTCGTCCAACCCTGGAACCCAGGCTGTGATTTGGTGTGCGATTGAAGAGCTCACGGGAGATATGGGGAGTGTCGTCTCACTTTTGCGAGAAATCCACAGTGAATCTGGCCATACCCTCAGTCGAGACGACTTGAACCACATCCTGGCCGAGACGGCAGACGAATTGGTTGACAGCCGTACGAACGAGGTCTTACGAGCGCTGTTGGTGATCTTTAACTACCTGTGGAGCATCATCGCGGCATTCGTGCCTTCGATTGGCGGCACATCATCTAGTCAACCAGGTGGCCGAATTGGTACTGTGGGTGACTCCAATACCTTGTTGTCTGTCCAACAGAACTAAAGCAATTCTAGGCCATGTTCCTGAGTTTCATCATTAACTCCGTGATGCTCAGCAACACTCTCTCGGGGTTCTCCTCAAGACGAACTTGCCTGCGAATCCTCGAACGTTACAACCGGACTGTCAAAGAGCGGGGTCACCGCGATCAGCATCTGTTTTCGAAAATCAAAGCCAGGACGTCGACTTGGTTCTTCCACGGGAAGAATAAGAAGGCCCAGCCCGACGACTACATTGATGCTCAACCATGGAATGGTGCAGTTTATTGCTTCCGGCCGAACAAGAAACTGGTGCCTAGCCATACGCCAGGCGACCGATCTCCGTTCATCTTACTAATTCTCGCTGCCTTGCCTGTTCTGGCATCCGTTTCCTGTGCATTCGCTATTATTTGGATTACACCCACTATCGGACTCAGTTGTCGCAATCTTTGGGTTCTCAGCCTCGGCCTTGTCTTCTTGGTTTCTCCTATCCTCACTTGGGTATTCTCACTGGTGGCTAGCGGAAAGTATCATTGGTACCTCACCACAGCAAAAGATGCCATGATCTCACTTTCCGTCCTCACCATCGTCATCCTCTCCAGCACCGGTCTCTTCAACACCTGCTGGTGCTGGAGCGCCGTGTACAGCCTAGGCATCCACGCCCACGTCATCCTCGACCCCATCGACGAGCGCAAACACTACGGCCTCACCCTCTACCCCACCCTCGTCGGCATCTGCCTTGGCCTCCAACTCTTTGCCTACATTTCCATGTACCTCATCATGCGCCCCGGCGCCCACGTCTTCCGCCTCAGCGAAGACGAGAAGATGGCCAACTACCGCACGTCGCACGGCTGGGACCGCGACCCCGACACTGAACTCTCCCCGCTGCCCACCTCCGCGAAGAATACCCCCAACTGGCCGCTGATCACGCCGCCGGACGATGGGAGACATGGTAGTCTGGGGGAGGACTTCATGACCTTGCCGCCGCCGGCGATCAGCCCGTCACTGGGTCCGTCGCATCGACGGAGGAGCTCGGCCGCGTCAATCGGGGAGCGTGCGAGGAGTATGAGTTTTGGGGAGCCGTCGCCGATTTCTTCGGGGGCGTTGTCGCCGGAATGGCAGGCGTCGGAGCACCCGCTTCTTGGTTCTCCTCGGCGAGGTGAACGCTCTTGATGGTCAGCTTCGTGGCTAGGGTGCGGTTTATTGGAATTTTTCTATCGAAGCGTCTGGTCGTTTGGAGTTGATATGTATGTGCCTATGCGGTTGTGGGGCTTCCTTTTCTTGATCATACCTGGAGCTGGGCATTCGGAGAGGGCTTGTTCCCCAGCCACCTGGCGTATATATCTACCACCCACCCCAAGCGGATTTCAGTCAAAGGCAAGATCTTTATGCACGGATATAGAGTGGAAGTATTGAAGCCGCGATTGAGGTATGCTTGTGTTGTCCAGTGTATCCCTGTCCTGGACCGAGTATTTGGCACTTTTGATACGATTCCTTGCGATACTCTACAATTGACAGAAGGGGTCCGGAAAAAAGGGATAATTGACCCCTCAATCCTCATAAACTCAAGTCCGCCACGCTCGTCAACTTCCGCCTAAACCAAATAGCGGGAACGCCTTTGCCAAACCTAAAGAGAGATCTTCAAGTACAAATTCCTATACGAGACATCATATCCACCATCTAAAATCGGGGGATTTCCGGTTTAACGACCGGTTCGCTTGGTATCGATCGACATATTCTCCCTCCCCCACTGATTCGTTGGAACCTGACACTTACTCGTTCTTGTCAGCACCTGAGATTCTTGTCTGCGGGGCGTATTCAGGCGAGAATCGCGGACGGAGGAACGTCTTGAAGTCAAGCCCGAGGTATTGCTAAATGATGATCTCTCATCCCAGGAGCTTGATCCCTGTATACTATCGGAAGAATTTCCACCCATCATATCTACCAGTAATTTGGAGTTTGACTGCTAACCGAAGCCATCATATATGTACGAATAGCCCGCAAGGTAGGAAACACTCTGGGACCCGTTAACAGGATGATGAAGCTAATACTCAGCGTACAGCTCCTCTTCAGTTGTGTCCTAGGTCAAGTGGCGGAGGAGGGCTTGACAGGGCGAGGACTCGTTAGCACGACAAATGGACCTGTCCTTGGCTTCAGAGACCATGGCATCCACACGTTCAAGAATATCCCTTATGGTGCCGACACAGCTAACACTCGATTCCAAGCGCCCCGGCGACCAGCTCCATGGACCGAACCGAAAGTCTGCACTGAGTATGGTTTCATCGCACCCCAGCCAACAGGGAACGACATCAACGGCACCGTACAGTCCGAAGATTGCCTGAACCTGAACATCTGGACACCGACGGTCAATCCTTCACCACGCGAACAGGAACTCCCGGTCCTCGTCTATTTTCATGGAGGGTACCGGCACGGTGAACGATGCGCTGTACGATGGGGTTCGGCTGGCGAAGACTCGAAATGTCGTGGTTGTGACGGTGAACCATCGCGTGAACGGGTTCGGTTACCTATATCTCGGAGGCGTGTCTTCTGACTACCAGAACGCAAACCCAGGGCAGGCCGATTTGATCCTCGCGCTTGAATGGGTCCGAGACAACATCGAGCGATTCGGCGGCGACAAAAACCGCATCACGATCTTCGGACAAAGCGGCGGAGGAGCCAAATGTGCGACATTGATGGCGCAACCAGCTGCGAAAGGCCTCTTCCACAGAGTTTGGACGATGAGCGGAGCCCAGATCACTGGACGGACTCTGGAACACGCCAAAGAGACGACGCAAACCGTGCTGGCCAAAGTATCGGGCGCGGACAACACGACGCGACTGTCGGCGCTGTTGAATATGTCGATGGAGGAATTACGCGTGGTGCTGTCGCCAGCAGGAAACAATTATGCGCCGGTTGTCGAGGGTTTGACGCTGCCTCGCGATCCATTCTTCCCCACCGCGAACGAGCAGTCGAGAGATATCCCGATGGTCATGGGCAACACGTACGACGAGACCCGCAATCTGATCGGCGGCTCCAACGAGACCTTATTCAACCTCACCTGGGAGACGCTCCCTGAGGCGATCGAGCGAAATGTTCGCCAGTATATCGGAAACATGACGGGCAGTCAGATCGCGTCCGACTACCGCACCCATTACCCAGAGCTTAGCCCGTCGGATGTCTTCTTTGCTGCTACCACGGCGGCGCGCTCATGGAAGAGCATGCAGGTGCAGCTGAACATCCGCGTCGCGCCACCCCATAGCCCGACGTGGGTGTACTATCTGCGCTGGCGGACGCCCACAAAGGAGGGTGCTGCTCACGCATTCGATATCCCGCTTGTTTTCAACAATCCCTCCGCGATGAAGCAAACCGCGGGGGCTCCAGGCGTGGGTCAGCTGGCGGACGACGCGAGCTTGTTCCTCGCCAACTTTGCGACAACAGGGGATCCGAATGGGTTTCGTGGGGGGAAGGATCCCAGAGATGGTGGAAGGAAACGGGATTATTGGCCACGATATGAGGTGTCGGAGAGACGCAGTATGCTGTTTGATGTTCCGGTTGAAGTCGTGAGCGACGATAGGGGATGGGAGCGAGAGTACTTTATGAACGAGATATATATTCAGCCCGGGACGTGATGGCAGGATATGTAGATATATCGTGATAGATCACCTAATTATATAACTATTTCACTTTGATTACCGGTGGTCAAATTCGTAAACGCATGGGCTCAAGAATCTTATTTGCACGGGGCAGAAGTGATAGATGAGGTGAGGTCCGGCAGACGACGGCAGCTGATGACGCACGCCATTCCTTCGCCTGCTCGTGCATCCATATGGTATCTCTAATTAGGCTCCAGTTGATCAATAAGCATACAGAATTCACTAACATCCCGGACAACGGCACATGCAGTTGGAACGTGATGGAAAACTGACGCCCTTCTCAATCTCTATGGTTCTTCATTGAATGGGTTGAGAGGGAATTACGGTACATCTCTTTATAATTCTATTGCGCGTCCTTCGTGGTTTCTGTACCTGTTGCACCGTACTGTGGTATCCATACCATACTAGTCATTCGTCACCTTCTACACGCGGACTTGAGTTAAACATGACCAATACCCAGTTCATCGCATACGTTTGTCTTAGATGCATGACGTTGAATATATCTACCGCCGTTTTTCGCTCATTGCTAGGTTGAATCTTACGCCAAAATGCGGTTCTCGATCCCATATTCCAACTCCAACTCATCGGAAGCCCCGGTATGGGGGCCCATCACGTCACCCTTGAAGTATGTAGTTCCAGTCTAACAGCAAAGTGCTGCTGCCTACTATGCTAATGTGCCAACAATAGCTTCTGTGAAGAGGTATATCATGCGGATTTGATAATTGACCAGGAAGAGTAACCAACAGTCTGTTAGGATTATGTCGTCACTGTCTACATCGCCGAATTCATCAATGCCTTGACAAGCTTAATATACCGTGAACAATCCCGATCCTCAGATATGTTACATTAAGCTAACGAGGTTGCAGTTGGATATGCCTTCCACAGGCTTCACAGCGTCTCTACCTATGCGGAGGCATTCACGACCGCCTTGCCCTATGTAGGGCTTGCCTACGTCGGTATCTGCAGCGCGGCCTATCATACTCTCCTGAAAGCACCCGCTGAACTAGGTGGGATCTCACCATTGCAGTTAAGGTTACCACCCCTAACATGATTTCGTAGCGGATGAGCTTTCGATGCACTTTGCGACTGCGTGCGTACTGCACCGCATCTTTAGCTTCGACCAGCCGCCCCGCATCGCCTTGCGGAATGGCATAGTGCTCCTCTCGATCTTGATCGGATTCGTTGGAACCCAAAGCATCAAGCAAGACTTCCTCTGGCACGCTCTCCTCTGGGCTAGCATGCTCGCAGCCATCGGATGGAAGACGAGGAATGTGGTCCAGAAGAATTTCAAGAAAGGAGATCCAGCGAAGCGGCGGGCCACGAAAGTCGCTCGTCTCGGTGGAGGTAAGTCAATTTTTGAGACCAATCGCTTTTTCTTCAGGATGCTTATCTGGTATTTACAGTCTACTTCGGGGTTGGATACGCGATCTGGAATCTGGATTGGTTATTCTGCTCTCAGTTGACGTCCTTGAAGCGACAATGGGGCATGCCGTGGAGTTTTCTCCTGGAGTTCCATGGATGGTGGCATCTATTGACAGCTATGGGCGCGTACTCGTTCATGGCTCTGGTGGAGTTACTCGTAGATCAGAACAAACCAAAGCAAGAGCGTGGGCAACCCTTCGCCTGGCCAGTGTCTCTCTACTTATCACATTAAACCTAGAAGTTTAGAAGATACCTAATGATAGACCGATCTGTATGGCAACTTCTCAGTCAATCATCCAATCGGCCTAAACATGCCTCGGATGCATCCAAATAATGTTGGAGTGCGAAAGAGATGAAGACATTGCAGACGATTTGGCGATAAGGATACCGCCTCGAAATAGCGCATTCCAAACTAAAATGCTGCTTAAACTGGTCTAGACCTGCTCCGATTTGCCCACACTAAATGTATCCGGACCCGACGTCCTACATACAAGTGTTCTCGGGAGTTAGAATAATATACCCAGATTGCTATCCCCATGGCTGGTTCGCGGGAACCAGGCGCTACTTCGCAATATATATTGCCCACCCGCCCCATGACCAACAACTGATCGCACTGAAACGAGGCATTGAGGGGGACCCCAAGTAGTCGACACATATATTATCATCTTTTAATTATCCTCACGATGCGACGAATCAATCGGATCGCAGCGGCAAGGGCCTCACGACTTGCAATGCAGAAGAAACGCCTCGCCCGCCTTCCACTCTAACCGCCGAAATCTAAATCAAGCTCTAGGGTGCATTGCTTGACATGTGTCCGTCCGCCTTGGCCTATATAAATCCGGCTCGCGCCACGTTCCTGATCGACAAACCCGATCGTCCGAGCCCCACCTAACTCGAAACATCAGCCCGATACGCGAGATCTTCGCCAAGATGCGCAGCGCGATCCTCTTCTCTGCCCTTGCGGGCGTGGTGCTCGGCCATGGCGGACCGACCGGCGCGCTGGGAAATGCCAAAACGACAACGAACGCGGATAACATCATGTACCATGGTAGCCTGTCGAGCGATACGGTAACCGGGTCCATCGACATTGTTGCCGGCCCCGCTGGGAATGGGTTGTCTTATAGCCTGAAACTGACCAAGGCGCCGACAAACGTGGGTGCGCTATGTAAGTCACCGTCCCCGAAACTGTGTCATGAGCAGTGTGGCTTACTGTCGTCAGCGTACTATATCGCGACAAGCTCGGTGAAGGTCGGCGCAAGCTGCGATGCCCTTGGTGGCGTGTTCGATCCATATGTCCGAGGCGCGGACCCCGTTTGCGAGACTGATGACCCGGCGACGTGCCGGGTTGGGGATCTCAGTGGGAAATATGGGACATTGAGGGTGACGTCTACCGGAACGGGCACGAAATCGTGAGTCAAGCGCCTTTTAGATAGATGGGTCCGCGGCAGACTAACGGCAATAGGTTCTCCGACTTCTACACTTCGTCGACGATCGGAGACTTTGCGTTCGTCGGTAACCGGAGCATTGTCATTTCCGATTCGACGAACAAAGCGCATGCGTGCGCGAATTTCTTGAGGATGGAAATGTGACTTAGGTAGTAGTCCTAGGAGCACGAAATTATATCACGCGAGTTTCAGTGGATTTCCAGACAAAGTGAACACAAAGAGAAAGGCGTGAGGTAGCGACTGTCGATTCTGATAGGTACAGACTTAGACTGAATGAAAGAGAAAAAACATTCTAGTTAGACATCTTGATTGTTGGTGGCCGTGCCTGCATTCCCATGTCACGAAGCATTGTGGACGCCGTCGATGAAGCCGAGGGCTTGATAGTTCCGTGCGTCCACGAATGAGGAGGTTGGTGGAGGCGTATTTTCTTTCCTGACGGCGTACTGTTAGTCCACACATCTCCCGGCGCTCCGTAAATCCCATCTCTCTCGATCCTACTCCGAGCTTAGGCGTTTCGCAAAGGCCCAGCACGAGTGACTCTTCTGAGAGCCAACCATATGGCATTCGCCCCCGTCGACCGAAGTGCCCGCGTCTTATCGATGGCGAGACATCTCGCTGCGACTCGAAGCGTCGTTGGCAAGGAACCATCGCATCAATGACGGGCTCGTGGTCCATGCCGGACGAATTGAGTCATTGAAGAGGCGTGCTCTCGAATATCCCTCACAAATCAAGTTGTTCCCATGATCCACGAAGGTCAATCAATCATATGAGTTGACACCGATTTGGGACGCAAAGGCGCTACTGAGGCTCCGAATCTCGTCTTCGTCATTCGGCAACCCACGACCCAGGCCACGCCCCCCGTCAGGACGAGCGCTCGCCTCAACGTAACGCTTCAGACGATCGCTCTGGCTAAGCGACTGTGTCTTTCCGGAGTCATGGAGACTCAACCCGGTGAGCGACACGCCGCCCTGCTTTCCGTCCAGCATACTTGTTGTCACATCCGTAAGCTCGCTAGCGGCAACGCTGTCGCCTGCGATGCTGCCTGGAGCAATGGGACCATTGACCTTCTTCCCAGGGACACCGCGGGCCGTGGCGGGGAGTGTAGGCCAGGACTCTGTGAAGTTCTGGAACATGGGTGGGAAGTTGGCGTTGTGATTGCCGATACCAACACCGCCCAGTGCAGATGAGTGGACGGACGAGACATCATCGGGGATGTAGCCGACAATGCTGCTCGCTGCATCGTATTCGCGGGCGGGTTTACCGTTTTGAGCAGGAGCGTGTCCACGGCCGGCGAAGTGAGAGGCGGCGTTCTGGTATGCCATTTGATAGCGTTGTGGGCCACGGTAGGTCTGCTTCGGGCGACTGAATTGAAGAAGAGAGATCTGAAGGTTGGACAGAGGCCCTTCCACGAGACAGTTGCGCTCTTTGAAGTGAAGCAGGAGGAAATGCCACAGAGGATGCTTCGACAACACCTTGGGGTTACCAAGGATCACCAGGCCATATTTCGCTCGGGTGAGGGCGACATTCAGACGGCGGGGATCCGACAAAAATCCAATGCCTTGGTGGTCGTTGGAGCGGACGCAAGACAAAACAACAAAGTCTTTCTCACGACCCTGGAAAGCGTCGACGGATGCAACTTCAACTTCTTTGTAGTTCTCCTTCTTGAACGTGCCATTCGCCTGCATCGAGCTGACGATGTAGCTGCGCTGTCCTTCGTATGGAGTGATGACACCAATGTCGGCCGGCTGGACACCAGCCTTGAAGAAGCGGGTAATGATCTTTTCGACATTCGACGCTTCAGTACGATTCAAGTACGAGGTACCTGATGCTGAGATCTCCTCATTCCCAAGGTTGGACCAGAACATCATCGGCGCATCGGCAACGGGCCAGGGGAAATCGACATCACGTCGAAGTCGCTGCTGCATTGTCACACCATTCTGCAGAGAACCCTCGTAAAACATGTTGGAAGGGAACTCCGACAGACACGGATGCATACGGTACTGGACCTGGAGGCGAATCGGGGCGCATCCGAGAATGACAAGACGCTCAAACAAAGATTGGTTGAGGCCGGCTTTGGCAGCTTTCTTGTTCATGATGACAGGGCCCAACTGCTGGTGATCTCCAACAAGGACCACCTGCTTGCATCCTAAGACAAGAGGAATCATGCACTCAGGCTCAGCGGCTTGGGTCGACTCGTCGATGAGCACGGTTCGGAACTTAAACTTCGCGAGTCGAGGATCTCCAGCACCAACACAAGTGCAGCAGATGACATCGGCACTGTTCAAGATTTCTCGCTCCGCAGCGCGAGTGAGCTGCTTGAATTTCTTTTCGTCTTGGCTTGACAGCTCGCCCAACTCGTTCTTCAATTGATTGAGCTTATTGAGTTCGACGTTCGTATCGTTCATTCGCACTTGTTCGTGGAGCGAGAGGAAGCCAACAGAGGATTCGACGTCTTCTCTCGATTTCGCAGTAACCCGAACAACTTTCAGTCCGGTGATGTGGATGCGCTCGCAAAGCTGATCCACGGCGACGTTGGACGGCGCGCAAACGAGAACCTGTCCGGACGTCATCTTGGCCAGGTGGTAGATAACGGTTGCTGACGTGACAGTCTTGCCCGTACCCGGCGGCCCCTGAATCAAGCTCAACGGCTTCTGAAGCACGCTTTTTACCGCATTGATCTGACTTCCATTCAGCTCGGGGAGGCCTGGAACGCTGAATTTCCGGGGCAGCTGGGTTTTCATAGGTGCGGCTGCAACTTCGTGGCCAAGCAGACGATGGAAAATGTAGCCTGAAACACTCATCTCGTCCACCGCGAATGTCTTCATGGCGTGTTGCATGCGATCGAATGAAGTCGCCTTCCATACATAATCCGCAGTGAAGTTGTGCGTACACTCTGTGGGAACCGACTTATGATCGCCTTTAGCTCGCAGTTCGATAGTGACCTCGTCGGACTGGTTGTTCGGAATCTTGATGACATATCCCACACCTTCCCAGTGAGGTCGAAGTTCGCCAGTATAACGCAATCGCATTTCATCACCGACAGCCAACTTAACGTCGCCAAGTTCGAGCTTGGGGAGGACAAAGCTAGCCAAGTGCTTGTTGTTGAGACCGTAATCCCAGCGGACGATCAAGTTATCCTGAGACTGAGCCTCCTTTAGTTTCCTGTCATAGTCCGCTTCAATCTTGACCAAAGGTCCAAACACGTTTTGGTATTGATAGGCATCGTCGTATCGAAGGAGGACCGGCGCGGGTTCATCGTCGACCATGGCACCCTTCTCAAGATCCTTTATCGTGGCATTCGCGTTGTCCTTCCATAGCTCCTCCAGCTTCACATACATTTGCGGGCTCAGGTGGCGCGCTCGTAGCTGTTCTTGATCGGATGGCAGGGGAAGTAGCCATTCCAGGAACGACCGGTCTTCGATGAGTGGCTGCCATCGTGCAATGTCCCAGTTCATATCCTTGGCCGAGTGAGCGGACGCACATGGCTGGCGGCAGAGGAGGACCACGACGGTATCAGACTTTGCAGGAATAAACCCGAGGAGAAAGACGTTCTTCGTTCCACAGTTGTAGCATTCGAGAATGGTGTCACCAAGAGAAGTGTGGTTCGGATGGAGTTGGACTTCCTTGTGACGCGCTCGGACTAGATGATTCACAATGTGTGAGGACGACGTGTTGCCGCGAGCACTGCAAAACCACTTTCCGCAAGTAAGGCATTTCACGACACAGCTTGGGTTATGGATGCCGCAATACCTAGTGGGACACAGTCAGCCACTCGGAATTCCGCGTGTTCACCATACTCCAACTTACGCGCAGGCATGCGGAGGCGACTCAACCTCTTCTTCCGCTTTCATAGCCTTCTTGCCATTCGCTTCATCCACCGTCATGCTTGCCATGCTTTCGAGGTCCTCGTCGTCAAACACCTCGGTCTCGTCATCGTCATCGCCATGGTTTCGGCGGCGGGGACCGGTTCCTAGGGGAGCACGCCCCAGATTTCCATCAAAAAGGCTCTCGTCTTCGCCAGCATTGATCGTGTCGGCCGAGTCGGAGACCAGGTGGTTGCCCATATGTTTGAAAGCGCTCTCCATGGCTGAAGATTTGAGTCGAAGCCTGGAGATTCTGGGCTTGAGTGGGGAAACAAACGGCTCAAAGGATCATCGAGGGAATTCCAGCACCGCCTCTGCGGTTGATGAGTAGTGCGTGAGGCTCAGGTACCTTACAGGATTGCGGTTGAAGATTACTCAGAGCGGCGACAGAGGCACTGCAGGGATCTGTTCTACTGTGATGAGGGGTGGATATAGAAACAAATCAGGGCACATAAGCCGCCTTGCGTCTGGTGTTAAACTGCAAATCAATCGTGGAGACCGAAATTGCAATTATCAAGACAGGACAGAAGGGCAAAAAGAAGAGAAGATGTCGCATTCATCATTTAACTGAGCAGTTTCACTGCGGGAAATCCTTGTCAACATTTACATGCGCCACAGGAGCGCCACAATAGCGCCACAGGAGAAGAACTGTGCTCACGTGAAGATGATCCACCTTGAAGAAAGTTTGCGGAAATTTTAGAACTGCTTGATATAAATGCGGAGGGTCAAAGCCGTTATAACACGATAGTGCCCAGAGATTCTATCGCATAATACAGGAAACATGATTGTAAGTCTATTACCATATCCTTGGGTTCCAGTTCGTTCTAATTAGACCTATAGCGCAGACAAGCTCGAGAACGGCGGGATTACCTCTATCGACGGGCCCTCGTTCTGCGCGACGCCGAGGTAGCAGACAAACGGTCGAAACTTAAGGCTTCCATAGCATCTGGGAAACCCCTCGATCAGACGATACTGAACGACAAGACTCTACGCGCCGATTATGCATACGATGAGACGAGAGCGGAGCGCACTGCCGACGATGAGCTCGCCTTGGATGACGAGTATGCCCAACTGAGTGGCATAGTTGACCCACGCGTCTTGGTTACAACCAGTCGAGATCCAAGCAGCCGGCTTAGCACGTTTGCGAAAGAGGTTCGACTTTTACTACCGACATCCATCCGACTCAATCGAGGTAACCTGGTGTTGCCAAACCTTGTGAGCAGCGCCAACGCCGCTGGCTTGAGCGACGTAATCCTTCTCCACGAACATCGAGGCACGCCAACGGCACTCACGATCAGCCACTTCCCCCATGGTCCGACAGCGAGCTTCAGTTTGCACAATGTGGTTCTCCGAGCAGATATTCCAAACAGCGCGGCCGGGACGGTCAGCGAAAGCTATCCGCACCTGATCTTCGAAGGGTTCACTACAAGGCTTGGCCAGCGCATTGTTCAAATTTTGAAGCACCTCTTTCCTCCACGGGAGGGCGCTAGCAAAGTCGGCAACCGAGTCGTGACGTTCAAGAATGTTGAAGACAGCGTTGAGGTGCGGCATCATGTCTTCGTCAAAACCGGCTACATGAATGTCGAACTGGCGGAAGTTGGACCACGGATGACCATGCGACTGTTCGAGATCCGAGGAGGCACGCTGGAGAACAAGGATGGCGACGTCGAATGGCATTTGAACCAGTTCACCCGGACGAGCCGCAAGAAGGACTATCTATGAGCGACTACGGGACACATGGCGTCTATGTTGTTGTGGTCCTGGGAACCACCAACACCCGCCTAGTTGCGCTATTCCCATAGCACACTGCTCTGTGTGGAACTACTCCGGCAGCCAAAGCCAACCCAAGACCACTGTGCTTGTATCTGGAGCAAGCCAAAGCAACTATGAGTAGTCATTGCTATCATCAGGTAATGGCTACTTTTGATGGTCTGACTAAGTTACGCATAAGTCCTGACTTCGACGTTCTTCACCAGACGCGTCTTGTCACTGCCGCTGAGACCTCGTGCATAGTTTGCAGGGATATTGGCATACCGCGCCTGAACCCATTCCGCTGATGTGAGAGCGTTATTCGGTGGCAATACGGACTTGTTGCCTACGCGACGGATGACAGGCGAATCCACAGGCTTTAACAGCGTCTCTTCCTCTGCAGCACTTGTCAGTTATGCATTAGAAGGTGCAGAGTGAGCTCAAGAACTCAGAATTGCTCAGGGGCATTCTGTCATACCTGGCCTCGAAAAGTATATCACGCCGACGCGTGGAAGGTGCCGTTGGTCTTCCTGAGGCAGTACCACCCGGTGAATAGAGCTCTTCAGATACCCCCCTGTCAGGAAACTCAATGTATCCTGCAGACAACCAATCCAATGCAGTTAGCATTTACTTCGATCCTTGCATTGGCTGACGAGTTGACACTTACCGCAACATTGACGACGCACGCACCATCCACCGGCTTCACCCATCGCCACTCTTTCTCCTCTTCCAAACGAACCTGCAACCCAGCGATCGGCTGCCGAAACAGAAACGTGAACGTGCCAAAGTCCGTGTGTCCATATATCACCTCTTCCCCCCCCTTCGCCCTCATGATCTCGATTTCCTCCGGCGTCCGAGGATGCTGCACCATGTACCTCATGTGGCAGTTCGAAACCTTGGAGTAATCGTGGATCTTCCATAACGCCTCCTCATCCTCCAGCTCCATGATGATGGCGACGAGGATCAGCAGCCGCTTGAGCATGTGTTCATGGATATGTCTGCAGAACTTCTCCGTGTCGACCTTCGCTTGCTGAAACGGCTCGGGTCGCCCTCGCGGCTCGAAGAAGTCGATATATTTCGGATCGTCATAGATCTCGCTGTTGTCCATCAATCCATGCGCGCCTTTCCTCACGCCTCGGGGCTTATATCCCAACGGCCCACCCTTCAACTCGTTCGTGATCGGGTACTTTAGCTTCTCGTCCAGAGGAAGGGAGAAGAGGTCAATGGCAAGGTCAAATTGCCTTTCTACCTCTTCGTCACTGAGTCCGAAATTCTTGAGGTAGAAGAATCCCACGGTATGGATGGCATGGTGGAGTTGCTGCGCTAGAGCTTCTTTCCCTCCAGGTTGGTCAAACTTTGATAGGTCCAGTGTGATGAGGTCTGCATAGGGTAGGTCGACCTTCGTCTCAGGAATGGACTGATATCGTCCCAGTTCGGACAACGAAACGGTGGACATGGTTACGGTTTCTGGAGATATCTGATATCTTTTGAACAGCAGCGAAAGAGTCCTAACGGGCAGTATACACACAACCAGGGACTCAATCTTATAAATACCAGCATCCTACTTACCATTTACTCCGCTCGTCGCTCTCGTACAGGTTTCTCGTACCGCTTCTCGTACATTCATTCTATCATCTTGCAGTTTCAATTGGACAGGAAAGAGCTCAACCCTTGTCCTCCTGTCCTCGTGGATCGAACCCAATCCATGCGGTTTGCGGGGTAGCAATTGACTTCCAACTGCCCAGTCACCCATGGCGGATAGGAATTTCTCCTCGGTTGCTTTCTTTCTTTGTAGGGAAAAATTGATAGTGATGGACTGGACTGAGTCCTAAGGTCATAATATGGCAAAAGAACTCCATGAAAGGATATGACTGGTGTACCCCAATTGATCAGATTAATGAGCAGACTGGGCGGGCTGGGCATATGGATATCAGGGGGCGTCGTTATTTTCTTCCTTGCTTCGTATGTCCGAGTAGTTCTTCTGAATGGGTACGGGCATTCTCTCATCTTAATAGATGCTCTTGCTTCATTTGAAGGTTGTTCGAGAGCGATCCTGACGCGGAATGGATGCCGAAAATATTTGCCGAGCGGAGCATTTCCGCTCGCATCCGTCCCGATCTCGCCTGATCCAACTCAAGCGGAACCTTTCCCAAAATTTCTCTGTCGTAAGAACTGACGCTGGAATATCAATAACTAATTATGGTACGTACGTAACCCAATCAGTAGCATTCGTACCTGTATGCATGTTAGACGAAATCTGTGTTAGTCGCATGGCTCCTTATCGGCACGTATTCGCTGATAATTAGAAGGTCCTACTGTGATTTGAATAGAGTTGCATCTTTTAAGGCCTGGCATTTTATCAATTGGAGAGGAAAAGATGGATGCAAACGAGTTTCGAGAGGCGGCACATGCAGCCATAGAACACAGTAAGCAACATTTTTGTATTCGGTTGCAATGTCGGTCATCTATTTAGTTTGAGTTCGTTGAATTATTTCCACGAGCTTGATGGCATATCATGTCTGCGGCTCTCGATGAGGCATCTTCGTATCTGCACAATGTGGACATGAGTTAAAACTTCCCTTAGTTATTGGCTACTGTCAGTCTCTTTCTGATCGCCCTGCGCTACCGGACTCTTCAATACATCCCGGATATCTGCGCCCATTGCTCCCGGATTCTGCACCACAAGAGCCGGAGAAATGGGACGCTATTCAACCAGACATCGCGTCCAAGATCGTGCCGGGCCTTACTCATTGGCAATCCCCAAGCTTCATGGCATTCTTCCCAGCGAACAGCTCCTATCCAGGAATGCTCGGTGAGCTGTACTCGGCAGCTTTCAGCGCTCCAGCATTCTCCTGGATTGCCAGTCCCGCCATCACAGAGCTCGAAACGGTCATGATGGACTGGGTGGGACAGGCGCTCGGTATGCCGGAGTGCTTCCTTAGCTCCGGTGGTGGCGGCGGCGTCATTCAAGGCAGTGCCAGTGAAGCCGTGGTTATTGCTCTCGTCACCGCTAGGGAGAGGATCCTTCGCCAACGGGCCGGCGAGCCCCCGGGAGGAATGGATCCTCGCACTGACGAGGATTGGGCTGCAGAAGAGGCTCGGGAGGACAAGCTTGGAGACATCCGAAGCAAGCTGGTTGCGTTGGGGAGCGAATGTGCACACTCTGCAACCGCTAAAGCTGCGAGAATCGCTGGAACAAGATACCGCAGCGTTCCTGTCAGCCGCAATAATGATTTCGCGATGACTGGGGCGGACCTAAAAGCGGCTTTGGAACATACGAAGAGCGCAGGCCTCGTGCCATACTATCTGACTGTGAGTTTAGGCACTACAAGCACTTGTGCGGTGGACCGGTTCGAAGAGATCGCAGAAGTTCTCAAAGATTGGCCTGAGATTTGGGTTCATGTTGATGCAGCATATGCCGGATCAGCGATGATATGTCCAGAACTGCGGTATCATTTGAAAGGCGTGGAACATTTTGATAGCTTCGACTTCAACATGCACAAATGGCTGTTGACCAACTTCGATGCAAGGTAAGGGATGACACTTTTGTTCTCCGAAGATGGCTAATATGTGCCAGTATCATGTTTATTAAGAACCCACAGCAAGTGACGGCATCCCTCTCGATCACTCCCCCATTTTTGCGCAACAAATGGTCGGATGCCAGCCTAGTCACAGACTACCGCGACTGGCAGATTCCACTTGGCCGCCGTTTCCGCTCTATCAAGATCTGGATTGTCCTCCGCACGTACGGTATCGCTGGCCTCCAAGCACACATTCACAAAGGTATTCGCCTTGGAGAACAGTTTGATGGCTGGCTACGTGAACGATCTGACTTGTTCGAAATCGTCACGGCCGCCAATTTCGGCTTGGTCGTCTTCACAGTTAAACCTCGGGACCCCAAGGGCGCAACGGACCAGGAGGCCGCAAACACGGTCACTGAAGCAGTCTACGAAGCAATCAATGCGAGTGGAGAGCTCTTCTTGACGAGCACGAAGCTGGGAGATGTGTATGCCATCCGGGTGGTAAATGGCAATGAACTTGGCTCAGAGAAGCATATGCGGAAGGCGTTTGATCTTGTTGTCAAGATTTCGGAGCAGGAGAGAACCAATGGCGACGTCAACACTGAGATAGAGGTCCACGAGCGAGTGGATATGGACCCAACTGCAGGAAAACTTGAACTAGATGGGACTGCTTGAGCTTTGAACGCTGTTGGGCAAGCATATGAATTGAATTTTGAAAACGGCTTACGGTATCTGCTAGAGAAGTACATCAATTGATATGTTCAGTCTAGAGCCTGTTTATTGCCATAGAGATTCAAAAAGCTAAAGGGTTACCTACAGATATTTGAATTCTTGGATTTTGACAGCATGACAATGCCAAACCAAGCCCATTGTGCACTCATCCCGGCAAGCTTTTGTGGCCGACTTTGTGAGGTGAAGAAATCTCTACTGCCTACTATCTAGCGATTACATTGCATAACTCTCTGCTTTGCATGACCCCTTGATGTTAGAAATCGAGTCACCTGGGCTGAAAATAATAAAGAGAGAATATCGTTTGATTAACGGCTTGGGTGCTGTGGTGACTGGTAAAACACCGTGGCTGTTGTTGGTCCTACAATAGGTACTCGCCTCTCGGTTGCTCTAAAGAGAATCAAGAACGAGTCAATTCGCTATGGTGCTTCTGCTAGACTTGGGTTCTGATGGGGAATGAGTCAGGGTCAGCCATGAACGGTACACTGAAGTTCAAGCTTTTCAAGGCATAGACCTTTCAGGTTTCTGCTGGGTTTCAGGGCGTTAGGTTTACTCATTTATAACTAGCCAATAGCCATGTAGAGAAGTTAACGTGAGGTGTTATATATTCGTCGGTCGTGTTTCTACGTTTCACGCCTAGAAGCGTCGATTAGAAACAATTTGCTCTAGCGATGACTAGGAAAAATAGAACAATTGCAGTCAATCAACTAGGTGCGTTAGGAATACTATTGCGAATTAGGTTAGATTTCATCTAGTTAACTAGTTAGTTATGTTATGATCTTTCAGTTAACTAACCAATGATTAATGCTTTACGCTGCTTTCAAGCTGTAATCCTTCGCAGGCGGTAAAGACTTTCTATGGTATGATACTCTGCCCAACCCTACGCCTAATCTCGCCACCAGCCCATCCAACTCGACAGAGCCTGCCGCTATCCTCCTCATCCCATTCCTCGCTACCCACACAGCCTCGACACCAAAGGACGCTGTCGGGATCAAGCTGCTTCTTGATTTTCCTCAGCCGTGGGTAGTTGACACCGAAAAACGTGTACTGCCAGTCGGGCTCAAACGGGTCGGCCTAGGGGGAGTCAACACCGACTGGAGAAATTTGGTAAAGATACTTACTTCGTTGAAATAGGCGCCGGAGTCTGGGCTCAGCTGCCGAAGGTAGTGCGTGGTATTGAATGTCATATCATCCCACATCTTCTGGTCGAGACCGCTTGGGAGTGCGTCGGGCCAATTGTTGACAACGACAAAATGGGTGACGGCATCTCGCCAGCCTGGGTTGAGCGCAATATCCAACCCGCGGTTTTTGTCGTTTGCGATCATATGCCCGAGCATGATCGGTTTATAGGGCTCCTGCGAGAAAAGTCAGTTGACCCGAATATTGAAGTTGAGTTGCAATAGAGATGCTATACCTCTTTCCCAGCATTTGACGCGATCGCTTTAAAGACGCTTGCGACAAAGCCAACATCTTCTGTCAACGCTTTGCGAGTTAGTAGCCTACTTCCCATAGCACCATTGCCCTCTGCCACTGTTTCACTATTGTTGGCAGCAACAAGTGGGAACCAGAGAGAGTAGAAAGTCGGAGTGGCGGGGGTCTCCAGAAGCGTAAAAGCGATGAGTCCTTGTTTCTCCATTTCCTCGAGCTTGGCTCGAACAGGTGCAACTAACTCGGTGACATAACCCTCCGGCTTGTTGTAAAAGAAGAAAAAACCAGAGAAGCTCAGTACCGGTGCTACGGGAGGGGGGACCAGGAAATAGTACCCTTGCGCACCGCCATCCTTGAGTGCTGGGAACTGACTGTGTAACCAAGCTATCAGCGAGTAGAACTGGTCAGTGCCAGTTTCGCTGGGATCTGCTTGGCTAATCTGGATGGGGAGTAGTGATGTTGCCGGAGTCGGATATGCCTTCATCGTTGCCGACAATAACACGCCGAACGTGCCTCCGCCTCCTCCACGGATGGCCCAAAAGACGTCCGAGTGTTGGCATTCGTTGACGATAATCAGATCTCCAGTCGGGGTAACCAAGGTTGCTTCGAGCAAATTGTCCGCTCCCATGCCATATTCGGAAGATAATGGGCCGTGTCCGCCTCCTTGGAACCAGCCCATGATCCCAACTGTCGGATTCGATCCACCCACCACGACCGCTCCGTGTTTGTCTGCCTCCTCGTAGACGGCTGTGTCGTTCATGCCGGCAGCAATGGTGGCAGCCATCTGCTTGGTGGAGTTGCCTTTGTTGCAACTTTGTGGCTTGAAGTCATCATGCCACTGAATGCCCTGGAAATGCCTAGTATAAATGGACAGGCTTCCATAGGCAGTCGAACGGCCAGGGTAGTTATGGCCAGTATTCTTGATATTCAGTCGAATATTGTTCTTGACTGCAAACCGTACTGTGGCCTGCACCTGCTCCGCAGTCGTAGCATTGACAACATAAGCAGGATATTTGCCAATGCTGCATCCTCGTTCACCAGCTGTTGGGTCGCCCGTTATACTCGTGCCGTTGGAGTAGATCGGGTTACAACTATTGTTGGCCCAGAATGGGTAATCCACACTGATGGGATCCGCTGCGTGAAACGAGCTCGTGAACCAATTGGCAGAAACATAAGCACATGCTTCTGCATCGTATGCTGGTGTGTTCGGGTAGCAGACGGCGGCTGGGGGACTGCCTCTAATGAGCCGACCAGATGTTGATGCGTTGAATCGAGACCACTCGTCGAGAGATGGCCAGCATGGATCCTTTGGAGTCTGCTAGGAAGTCAGATGAGAGTAAATGGTTGGTTATTGTGCCGGTACTACAAGAACTGTCTCGTCCCCAACACATAGGTAGACTCCGACGGGAACTCCTTGTAATAGGAAATTGGTAAAAGATGATATTGACACATACACATTTGCAGCTGCTTGGCCCCGAATGATCTCCTTGTCTGGTGAGGGCCCCCAAGGCGAAGCCAGGGACGAAAAGAACCAAATGAAATAGAAGCATCATTCGAAGAACGTATGGATGCTACCAGTTTGAAAGATGATGAGTTGATAGCAGGAACGATTTCAAACTGACGGTGAAGAATTGGAGCTTTTGTATCGCTGTATTATTGCCGGTAGGTATTTAAACAGACTAATATTTGATATTGACTTCATCACGATTCAACATAGCCACAAGTATTCGTGCAATCAACCACACTTTAGAATAGCTGAGACTGCGCAAACGAGGCACCGAGATATCCGCTCAGAATGCGCGATCTAGTCGAGGCTTTCATGACGATAGAACGAAAAAGATGACGATCTAACCAACATAGCGAGGAGCGGAACCAATGAGATATGCATTTGTTCGAGCGATTTTCTGTACTAATCCAATCTTCGACTGAGAAACATCAAAGATTCATCAAGTGGGAGCAAGCCAGAGGCTGACATTAAGTTTAACTGGTACATCATAATGGCCACAAGGCGCGTTGCAAGGCAGGGATACAGCTGGTTTTCTCCTCGCATTATCCACATAAGGATTTAGATACGAGTGAGCCTTGAACATGGGAAATAATGGTGTAATATTACGGTCGTACGAAGTACAGATGCAAAGGGACAGACAGCTTATGGGCAAGGCAGACTGCCCACGTCTCTTGACTTGAATCATGGAGCACTACACGTGATCTAAAATTAACAAGGAGATGTTCTTTGAGGACGAGTCAGTTTGTAATAAGACGATAAATATCCGTATTCCGTATGGAATACTCCGTACAGCCATGCAAGTCTCGGACACTCAGCACGTTCAAATATCATCAAGCGTTCTGGTAAATAAAAGAGAATCTAAAGGGTCCCTTACAAAGTCTCAAAAAAATATGTGATAGAACAGCTAGTCTCGTCCTCAGAGCAACATCAGACAAGAGCACGCACAGCGCCAAGTATATGGATACAGCATTGAGGTCCAGTCAACTAGTCAACATTTTCAAGGAGGAGATATGCTTGTCCTGAAACCTTTTATTTTCTGCCAATGCCTAAAATCAAAGTCAGATCTGAGTTTTTCATTTTAGCAGCCTGGTAAGGACAGGGGAAATCGGGAAGTTTACTAGAGAAGCTCTCCAGGGGTCCTACCAGCCTCATATGACGTGGCGATGTGCCACAAACGCGTGCCACGCCATTCATCGCGTCTCCGCCGCTACAAGATGTTGCTATTGATCATCCACCGTTCCAAAATGACCAGGTCAAGAGACGCTGCTGATATGGATGACTCCCTCAGGTTATCCCTCCAGAGTGTGTATGAAGAGCAAGATTTACCATGGTGCCTATTCCCCCGCTAGTGTTCCGGTGCCACTGCCACCTTGATCTCATGACCTTGTTTGCACAGTCAAAGTCACTCCGCCTCCAACCATATCCCCTGCGTGGATGTTGCCTGGATGTATTATGACTGATGTAGCGCTACTATGTATATATCCCTTAAGATGAAGACTGCTGAAGAGCACATACTTAACCAGAAGTCCCACGCTTCTCTCCAACCGGTACTCTGCGCGACCTTTAGAATCGGAACGTTTAGAATAGGGACGAGATGCTTCGATCAAAGCCACCAGCAGATGCTGAGTCTTTCGGGGCGCAGATTAACAAGGCGACTCAGTATGTCTATCGCACAGTTTCTTACGCTTCCGCCTACTAACTCCAAACCTCTAGATCAGCGCATACGAAGCTCAACCGCCTCATCACATCTCGACTCCCGCTCGCTTTGCCCCCGCATACATCCAGTCCAGATCTCTACGCAAACGGCATCCTCCACTTCGCGCACATATTCTTCACCCTCGAGGCATCCATCCGCGACCTCCTTCCCTCGCCCACCGATGGCACCCGCTCGCCGATTCACCAGGCACGGCTTAAAGAACTGTTAGAGGATCCATGGGTGAACATCCAAACCTACTCCGACATTCTCGCCGCAAGGTCTTCCCAGATTGAACACGCTCAGACGTCCCCCAACCTGCCACCTGATGACGCAACTTCCCCTCCGCTAAAGCCGAACGCAGTGCTTCTCCAAATGCTGTCGCACCTGCTTCCCGTAGGCCTTCACCGCACCCCCACGCTCCAAGCGGATCTCGCATATCTTCTCAATATCCAGCCGATCGATCTCTCCGTCTCCCTATCCGCGTATCCAAGTCCTGCCGTCCAAAACATTTGCCAACGCATCCGGCGCGTTGCAAACGAGAAGCCGCATGTTCTATTGGCATATGCATGGACTTTCTACCTGGCAATCTTTAGCGGTGGAAGATGGATCCGGAGCCAGTTAGTTGCCAGTGGACCTGGATTTTGGGGAGCAGATTTTGATGGCGAGAGCCATCCTGAAACAGACGAGAAGCCATGTGCCCAGGAGACCAAGGGACTTGGTCTCTGGTGCTTTGAGGGGGGCCAGGACGGGGAAGATATCAGAGCAGGGTTCAAGAGTCAGTTCGAGTGTATAGGGAACATGCTTTCCGAAGAGCAGAGGGTTGAGGTGCTTGAGGAGGCCGAAGTGGTATTTAAAGCTTGCGAGGATATTGTCACTGAGTTGGATACTGAGTTTCGCAACTCTAACACGACACTGGGCGGGACAGAGCGCGCTACGAGCAAGAAATATTCTGTTCATGATACACCTAGTGGGGTTTTGCGAAATACTGGAGTACGTCGTGTTGACTGGTTCCCACACGCCATTGCTGGTGTTGCGGTTGTCGCTAGCGCACTCGGATGGTATGCGTTGGGTCGCTCTGGGGTTTGGACATGAAGATCTATCACTATAGCGTGAACTTCGTGCTGCAGGATGGACGATGGATGGGGGTGTTGGTATTTGTGGGGGTGTACGAGGGTGGTGGCGCTGGAATTCATGATACCCGTTTCATATCGGTCACATACTCGATGTTGCATAAGTAATTTGCTATTCAAATCAATACGTCGAGAGCTAATTCAGTTGTATTCAACCTGCACGGTAACGACAGTCTAACCCCTTGATCCCGATTTGCATGGCAAATGATGAGACATCACCCAAAACCCACACATGTCGAGTCTCGTTTGCGACTTGCGAGTATGGAATCGCCGTGGATCATCATTCCCATCCCCATTCTCCACTAAACAGAGGCCGGGATCTTGCCGAACTGTATATCTGTCCCAACATGCTCCTTCTTGATATGCCTTACCAGAGGACTTTTGGAGAAGTATCCCTTCGCGCCGACGCGATTGCATCCTGCGACGGGGCAAGGATACGGAGATTCGTCGTGGACTTCTTTGATGTGACTGGTGTAATCTGCGCCCCTTTTGAAGGGATGATCGAGTTCATAATAGTGGGGACCATTGGGACGATATGAGTCGCAATCATGGTGATGACAGACAAGGTCAATGCCTTGCGCGTCGCCGATTCGATGAAAATTGTTCAAATGCTGCTTTAGCTTGTCTTTGCGCGTGAACGCCCTCTCACTGCAACAGTAAGTGCATGGGTATTGAGCTGCATTGGCTCGATGATTGAGCAAATGACGCTCAAGGATGTCGATTCGGGCGTAGGTCTTTCCACACTTTTTGTAGCCGCAGCGGAGAACGCTATGGCTATATTCTTGAGCATGCCTATAGAGGTCTACACCGGACCTTGACAGTTCACCACACTCGAGGCATGTGGACCCGCAGGATGTATCCTTCAAGTGTTTGACAAACTCGGTCGACGAGCCCATAGGACGGTTGCATACAGGGCATAAATATGCCAGTGGTTCGGTCGATCCATCACTACTAAAATTTTGGGCATGAGTAAGCGAATCCGGCATTCACATCCATCGAAGAAGCTCACCTTTTAGCTTGTGGTGTACCGTTATTTATACCCATCCAAAGCGATTTCGCAGGATCAGTCCCATACAAGTCGCTGATAGGACGGTATGTACGGTTGGGTGTATCCGCCCACGCGGTGCTTTCAAACTGCAAAGGGGCTGGCGGAGGGCGAAGGGGAGCGCCTCTGCGACCACATCATCGTATTCACTCGGGCGCCATGGTGCAGGGTCTACAAGATCCAATACCCGAGGCCTGGGTCAAGTCCTCGTTCGCCCTTTTTTTAGCGTCAGTGATAATAAAAAAAGGCACCTTGTGTCCAAGTCAAGGCTTCCCGCACTCCAATCACCGCCCGCATCGAAGACTGGGTATTCAGGTATCCAATGAAATGGATGAGTGCTGACGTGGAAAGGCAACATCTTGGCGGTTGCCTTCTGTCCAGGAGTAACACAGTGACAAGGCTGAGGAAAAAGAGGACGTACGAAACGCTGCAACACTGTGGAAAATTTGGTGATCTGGGGGGATGGGGATAGCTACCTTCTTGTGCTCGTAGAGAGCCAGCCTTGCTGCTCGACGATGAAAAGGGCAAAGGGGAAGTGGCTTGCATGAGACAGGGTATGAATATACAGGAAAAGGGCGGAGCTGTAAAAGAAAGGCTGCGCGAGAGGTTGCCTTGTCCCATGGCGAAAGGTGATTCGAAGGTGATGCTACACTGCTCAACTGAGCGAGGGAAGGCGTTAAAACACAGACAGTTGGGTATTTCAAGACATGCCTCAAGAAAGATAATGTGAGGCGAAGGTAATCTGAAGTAACAATACTTAAGGGTTTTTAACGCCACCGGGATGAGCTTTAGGACCATCAATTTCTTCCTTTCCAGATGGTACAAGAAGGAATTAAACAAGATAGACGAAGATGCTAGATGACGATTTTTTCTCAGCGGCAAGGAGGGACTTCTTCGTGGCTTCTGCCTGACCAACTGCGCTGTTGAAGGCTCTCTCGGTCTTGGAATTGTTCTCCTCTACCTCCACGAGCCTCTCTCGCAGAATCTGGGGCACAAGCTCGCTCGATGGTATCTGCCCTTGCCGACGCTCCATTTCTGGAACAATATCGGCCGACTTTATGCGATTCATGAGGAAGGTTTCTGGAAATGCCTCGTCCTTCTCGAATTGCTTTTCCAGGTCTTCTAACAGCGAAGATAGCTGTAGTTTTCGAGTACCGAGTCTGAATAACTGGATCTCAAGGTCGCGGCGCTGTTTGGCAGCGGATCCGAATGCGGCGATGCAACGCCGTAAATCTGATTTGGAGCCCCATTGAGCCGCCGCAGACTGGAAACGCTCGCGAGCCTGTCCCTGCATATAAGGGTGGATGTAGCAATCCCCTATGATTTCATGACATTCTCTTTCCACGGTGCCAAGCTTGCCCATCCCCTTGAAGCGTGCTGTTTCCCGTTTACCAGCGTCTCGAAGAACAACTGGGGTCTTGGATCCAGGAAGCAGGTAAATACGATCGGCAGCCTGAAGATTCAAAGGTCCAAGGCCGAAGTGACCCGTAGCGGTAACGAAGAAACGACGTCGGTATGATTGCTCTATCGCAACCTTGAGGAGTTGTTCCTCTGCTCTCTCATCTGCTAGAGCTGGCTCGACACCACGATGCTCCTTCATCGGCGCATATGGCCTTGGTCTCCCGCTAGCAGCCAGAAGTGCATCGGATATACAGCGCGGCAGCGTTTCGGAGTCTTCCATAGGCACCAACCACCCCAAATCTGACTGTGATGGACCTTGAATAGGCGGGGAGTTTTCCTCGCTCACGTTGATGCCCAACGTGTGAAGGAATGGGTAAACAAAGTCGGCAAGCCAAGTAGCCACGGATCCCCATTCATGATGATTCGACAATGCAAGCACAGCCCATTCTTTGACAACCGCGGGGAATTCGAGATCCGAAAAGCAGGCTTCTGACACCTTGGCCACTCGATCGATCTGAACACCGGGGACTTGGAGAATAGATTGATCTAATAGACGTGCCCAAACTGTCCCACCTTTAGCCATTTCGTACGTTTCAATGGCTTCAAGGCAGTCTTCCCGAGTTGACTCGGGCAAAAGAAGATATTCTTTCCACTGTGCATGTCCAAGAATGGCGGTGAAATCGGATACAGTTGTTGCATATTTGATGCCGGTGGCCTGTTCGAGACTGTGCTTTTGACCCATCCCATCTATCTTCGCCGCAATTCCACCATATTCTTCTTCCGTATCGTGCTGTACTTGGACATCCCAACACCCAGTTGCGTCATATCGTTCTATTTTTTCCGCTCGCTTTCGTTCTGCGTCATCCGCAGGGGCAGTCCAATCAGCAGCCCATGATGGCAAATCTTGACGATATTTGCGGGCACTGTCGACGACGATGACTGATAGTGACCTGGTTGTCCGAACAATAGATAGGCTTGCATTAATGAAAACCGATTTTATGTCCAACGAGTAGTCTGGAAGTAGAATATGCCCGTTAGGGAGACTCAAGGATTGGGTGACTAGTCCAAGTAGCGCATAGACTTTATCTCGGTCATCAGATGCTTCTCGATCGGAAAATTGGCGCAAGAGCCGCAGAAGAGTCGTTTGGTTGGTGAATCTCCACTGCCTTCGCATTTTCTCAATTCCCAGTATTTGCTTGGCAAAGTAGTCAAGAACCAGTGAATATTCCCTTGGGATGGATGGCGGATCAGAATTCCGCGAATCGTCCGGCAGCCAGGCCTTAGCTGCACTGACCAACATATCCCATGGGGCGATGGCTCCTCCATAGAACACCATTACTCGTTCTGGGACGACCACCTCTTGAATGATCCATACTCTGTTCCACCATCTGCAACGCAACATGTAGCGGAGGTTTTCAAACAAATCGGATAACATGGAAGGAAGAGAGCCATCAGGATGATCTGCAACGGCAGAAATAAGTTCATGGAGGCGCCCCGAGGCTACGAGCCGTATTAGACAAAACACCTGTGTACCGACATCGACCTGACTACGTTGACTCCGCAAGCAGCCATCCCCGGATACTTTGAAACGCCCCATAAACTTCTCAAGAAGGGCATCATCAGAATCACTCATACGGAAGAATGATTCCGGCCGCGGAGTTCGGCTCAATCGGCGATGATTTCTGAGATGCTGATTTGGAATATCCAGGTGCACAATGACTTCGTCGGTTTTTGCAAAGATGCTTCGCATCATAGCAACCTGAGTTGCTCGTTCATCGATATTCGCTTGATCGATGCAAAGAGCATCCACCCATATCGTGACCGGTTCATTTTCAGATCGGAGCCTCGAAAGTGCAGTGTATAGATTTTTCGTGACTAGTCGTGGAGTTTCGTTAAGAAAGACGGGCTCCACAAGTCTTCGAGATCCCCAAGCATAGGATAGTGCCTTGTACGCTGGCTTGTTCGAAAGAGGTACATGGGAAAGTTCGCAACATATAGGCATACCCCAAGGCCCAGGTAGCAACTTTAACAGGCGGATTTCATTAGGATGGAGGGGAGTATAGAGGGTGTCATCATCATTCTGGTTGGGAGTGGAAGGGAAATCCATGTCTCATAACTCGAAATCGGTCGAAAATGAAGCCATATTTGTAGACTGAAATCAGGACATGAAGGCGACGCTAACGAAAAGTAGAGGATCAATGAGAATAAAATAGAATCATCTAAAAAGCCGAAAGGAGATAGATAAGGCTGTGCCCGAGGCGCAGCCTGCAGCCCTCTAGCATCGTAGCACTTGCACGTCTTCACAGCATGACCCCTCGCTGAAGACTCGTGCAGCTTGACTTCAGAGATATAGCTGCTTCTCTTTGTCAGCACTTAATGGACCTACCTATTAGGTTCTCAGGGTTGCATTCAGTCCATTGAAAAGGAATATGGTATTCAACCGCTGTACTCGAGGGAAAAGAAGCCCCTTTCGGGAGTTAGCTGGTAGATATCTCGTAAATCTGAAAAAAGAGTCGGAAAAGATGGTTGAAGTTGATGGAATCAGGACGTTCTCTCAGGGTACGGGGTACAAATATTGTGTATGGTACGGTACTACTCCGTACAGCAGTCCATTAATTATGGTAGACACAGTGTAGCAAAATTGCCAACCTCAAACCTCACCTCACCAACCACCTGCCACAATGTCAATAAATATGCTCTATTTCTTATTATTCTAAATTATATTGATTTATACGATGTCTCTCTTCACGTGTAGTTACCAAGAGTTTTTTTATTAAAAATAGAAACGATACTGGTGGCGCTACAGGTGGTCAAATACAGCATTAGTATGCCTATGTGCATACTATGTACCTTGAGGGGTCCGTTAATTACGGGGTCTGTTGGGGGATCTGTTGGGTGGTCTGGGTGGGGGCTCGGGTGGGGCAACAGCATATTTTGGCGTAATCAAACTCCGATTTCCAGATACTGTCAGATCCTGTGGTAGCGGAATGGGAATCGGGATTCATTAGTTTATACTTAAATAGAATGTAATCGGCTAAGCTTATTTTTCTTCGTCCGGAACTCTCACGTCGCTATGGTAGGAGAGGAGACATGAGTGGCTGGTGAGATAACCCATCCACTGTGATATATCGATGTCGATTTGGTTGACCGAAAGCTCTGCTGAATATAACTGTAGAGCGGCTGACGACACTCGGCAACATAATAAAGTTTTCTTGGGCTCTAATTTAAACGTAAATTGATTATAATAGGGCCGGCTTGCACCTGGATAGTACTGCATTCGTCTAACAGTGCCGGCTAAGTAGTTCAGTGCATGCCGTTAACCACGGGCTTCATGGCTTTCCAGTCAAAAGATTGCTCCCAGACATACGCAGCCCGCAATACCTTGCCATCTTCCCACATACCGCCTATAACTTGCATCCCAACAGGCAGATATATGTCCTTATTGTCCTTTGCGCTCAGCCAGCCAACAGGGAGTGTCAGCGCAGGATGTCCCGTGGCGTCGAACATGGCCGTGTTGCAGGTCAATCCTACCGTTGGTTCAATGGTTGCGATCGGGGTAGTGAGTGTGCCATGGCGCGGAGCGACGAACGGCGTCGTCGGGAGAATTAACACGTCGTAGTCCTTCAACACCCGGTCGTATGAATCTGTGAGGCGGCGGATGAGGTTCAACGTCTTTGCGTAGATGGATGGGAAACGCTCCATCAAATACAGGCCGTTCAGCATGGTGTTTTGCGTGGTTGGGAAGCACTTGTCGAACTTCTCCTGCGTCCAGGGTAGTCGTGCAGCATGGAGCGCGGGCAAACCTTGCCCGCGTCGGCCTGTTGTATGCCCGAGGAGCGATAGACTCCCGGCGATCCGTTGCTGTATGGTCCATATCGCAGTTCCGAGATTATGATCTGGGACGGAGACCTCTGCGACAGTGGCACCGAGCTCCTTGAATCGGTTTGCCGCGGATAACACGGCGGTCTTCATTCGCGGCTCAACAGTGGCTTGCTCAAAAGCTTCTTTAAGGATCCCAATCCTGAAGCCACGGAGATCGGCTGCTGATGGGGCAGCCAAGTCGGCGGCAAAGGTTGTGCTACTGGGCTTGGGCGCTCCGAAGCAGCGGTCGTCAATACCATCGTATCCGCTTATGGCGTCGAGACACAAGGCCGTGTCCATCGTGTTGCTAGCAAGAGGTCCAGCATGGTCATTGATGGCGTCGTTGCTCGCGATGCCGGTATAGGGCACAAGTCCAAACGTCGGCTTCAGACCCACGCAGCCGCAAAGTGCAGCGGGAACTCGAATGCTTCCTCCTTGATCTGCGCCAATCGCGATGTCGACCAGGCCTGCTCCAACCAGTGCCGAAGCACCAGAGGTGCTTCCTCCCGCCGAGTACCCAGCTGCATGTGGGTTCTCTACCGTCCCATGCGCGCTGGAAAAGGAGCTGGTGCTCTGACACCAGTTCTCGCAGTTGGCCGTGCCTACAATCTCGCCACCAGCCTCTAGCGTCCTCGTCACGACTGTTGCGTCGCTGGTTGGCTCCCAGGGCTCGATGATCTCCGTTCCCAGGATCTGTGGTACGCCTGCTACGCAGATGCAGTCTTTCAGACACACGGTCTTGCCGCTCAACGGCCCTTGAATGAAATCATCTTTGATGGAAAAGGTGTGCGCCCACGCGGCGCCAAGCACTTGCTCGGACGGTTGAACGCGATGGACATTTTTGCGCGGGAACCGTTTGCCGTCCGTTGGAACATCGTAGTCAGGCAGAGCGTCAATGGAAGCGGCACAATCGTGGCACTACGATGCGGTCACTATTAGCATTTTCAGGCGGCAACTCGATAGGCCACCACGTACCGCCGCCAATAGCTTTACGAAATCGGCTTCATCCTCAGCCCGAGGTTTGACGCCGCCGCCAACTTTAGCAAGAGCGCTGCAGACGTCATTGACGGTGACCGGGTTCTTCCTTAAAATATTGTGAGATTGGATACCAACATACAAGTTTGGTGGTGCAGAGCCTACTCTGAGATAGTCGTGAATAAGACGGACATGACTGTGATGTCACTGACTGGCGTCCAAAAAGGGTAAGGTATCGTCTCCAGGGGTAACAGGATCTAAAATTGTAGGCGGGCTATGGAGATACGTGATTTGAGCGAACTGTCAACTTCCCGGCTTGCTGCTGTCAAATTCTTTGGAGCTCAGAACACTGGAAAAGGTAGGAGGCTATAGAAGTCAATATGCAGCTCACGGTTTTGTTCAATTGCTCTTATCGCATCTCGAAGAGCACTATGATCCAAGCCGATGCCGGGCCGTTCGGTATCATCTCTGGTGCCCCGACTATCTATCGGATGTGCCGAATCCGATCACCCGTCGGAATAGTTGCTCCTCCCATTTAGAGGGGCGGGGCGATTGCTAATTCAGGTGACGATAGAGGTTCAAGCGAGAATAGAAGAGCTGATTGTGGCTTATCTAGGATTACAGGTGAGTAGAAGTAGGACCATTGTTCGCGGCGAGACAGTCGTGACCTTCGACATCCTATTCTTCTTCCTACCCTCTCTCTTCCTCAAGCAATATGTCTACGCCATACAATCTTGGATCGGATGCCTTGAAGGCTGCACCATATGAATGGAACGACCACTATGACTTCCCTCGCGACCTCATCGGATACGGCGAGAAGTCCCACCATCCCCAGTGGCCCAATAATGCGAAGATCGCCGTCTCGTTCGTCATCAACTATGAGGAAGGAGCAGAACATACTGTCTTGAACGGCGACGTTCATTCTGAGACCCACCTGTGGGAAGCTCCGGGCGGAACTCCGCATGTCCAGGAGCGAGCAGTCAATATCGAATCCGAGTATGACTACGGGGCCCGGGCCGGCGTCTGGCGCCTCATTCGCTTGTTCAACAAGCACAATATGAAATATACTCTGTATGCCGTTGGCAAAGCCCTCGAAGACAATCCCGCCGTCGCCAAGTCCTCGGTGGAGAATGGTCACGACATTGCATCGCACGCCTACCGCTGGATCGATTATCACACGGTTGGCCCGGAAGAGGAGAAGGAATACATTCGCAAGGGAATCAAAGCCATCAAAGACGTCAGCGGTGTCTACCCCAAAGGGTGGTACTACGGACGTCTTTCACCGCGATCTCATGCTCTTATATGGGATGTTTACAAGGAAATGGGCCTCCCTCTCCTTTGGCAATCCGACTCATATGCCGACGACATTCCGTACTGGGTGGACGTACCTGCCGAGAAGGACGAGCCAAACCCTCAAGGAATGCTGATGGTTCCGTACTCATACGACTGCAACGACTACAAGTTCAACGTTGCCACGGGATTCAGCGCGCCGATGGATTTCTACGATCATGTCAAGGGCGCTTTTGACGTGCTGTATCAGGAGGGTGTGGAAGGAATGCCCAAGATGATGACGGTCGGGTTGCACTGTCGATGCATTGGGAAGCCTGCCCGGTTTGCAGCCCTGCAGAAGTTTGTCGAGTACATTGCTACAAAGGAGGGAGTATGGGTTGCAACGAGGACACAGATTGCGGAAAATTTCCGAGAGAAGTTCCCGTACAAGAAGGGCCAGTTAGCTTAAATAAAGGCTCTGTTATTTTATGTTTATGTAGCGAAGAAATGAATGTAGATTATAGAACTTGCGTCACTGAGCACTTTGATTCCACACATACTCCCGGAGTAACACGATTCCAAAGGCGTGGAGTCTGCCACATGGACTCGAACACCCAGAGAGATCATCCAGAGAGATCTTGGTTCTATCGACGTCTATGAAACTTGCAATTGGTTAAGCACAGCTTTGACATCCTCCTGCTCCACTAGATGTCTAAAGGCCTTCGGTCTTTCTGTCTCCCAACCGCCAAAACAACTGCCATATGTAATACCTCCTCCTCTCCATACCGGCCTTAGCACCCCAATATCTACTGTTTCCATTCGATCGTTGATGGCGTCGTCTCGCACATGGTACATAACTGCCCGAAACAATACCATGGTAGCTGTCCTCACTTTACGTCCGTCGTCGTGGACTTCTCTCTGGGAGTAGATTGGGATAGTGCTGTGCACATGGCATTCGATGCTGAACGCCGATTCTCCCACATGAGGTGGCTTGACCATGTGCGAATGGACTGGATGCAGTCCGGATAGTGGCCATTCGCTCACGTGTGGAGGGGTGTTCACCGACGTCATGTTTGCTGCTTCGAGAAACCAGTCGCTGACGATAGAGATGCAGCACTCCCCAGAGTCGAGAACGTTGGTCAAGCTGTCATTGGCTTCTGTCCCCACGAAGCTGACGGAGTAAAGCGGTGGATCCACACTGACGGTGTTGAAGTAGGAAAACGGGGCCAGGTTATGTACACCCTCTCGTGATACTGTGCTGACGAGAGCAATGGGCCGTGGAACCGTGGATGAAATCATCAACTTGTAGTTCTGATTCTGTGTCCGGTTTGGCGAATCGGGATCGATGGCAATGAGAGTATGCGACTTCCATGCATCGCATATAGAACCACTTCCCGGCTTCCAGTTCGGTTTAGGGGTTTTGCTGTACTCCCAGAATTTGGACGGATCGTAGTCAGGACGAGAGGCCTCGACGGCTGGAAACTCGGCATGTGGGTTCCGTTGGACCAACGCTTCCTTGTCGAATGCCTCGACGTGGAGGTTCGTGATTTGGGAAAAAGCCATGATTTAGAGAACCAAAGTAACTACCGGAAAGTACCCGTAGGGGGGAGAGGAATATTAACAAATCCTTAGAAGGCAGCTGCTATTTTGCAACAGGTGTCAAACTTCGACGTTTATCCGTCGATACTGCGGCAAGGTCGATACATCTAGATCTTGGAACCCTACGAGGCTTTTTGCAAGAATTTTTCCAATGCGAACCTGCCATAAGTTAGCAACTCATTGGTGGTATGTCGTCCCAACCGACGAAGTCGAAAACTCCTACAGTCCTCGTTGCGTGCATCCGCCACTCTGATACAGGCTACAGGTACCGCATCGGAAAGTTCGATAGACTTCGGGGACGATTCCGGTTGGTCGCAGATGTTCCAATCTCCTTGAACCAATCTATCATCGGTGACACTAACCAGTCCACTAAGAAAACCAAATTTTGTCGCTGTCTTGTAGATCTGCTGATAAGCTCAAAATGAAGTTCCGGGGTTCCGAACGTGTTCGCGGGAACTATAGTAACCTGGGGTATCTCTGCGCTCGTATCTTTGGTTGCTCCACAACAGATAGCAACAACCTCTAGGAAAGTCTAGGCATCTCTCTTAGGGGCTCGTTTACTGCGCAATTACGATTCAGTATGGCATTCACCATTTGCGCTGGAAGCACTTCCGATCTATCTGGTCTCCAGCCTCATGGTATCGGTAATCAGTACTCAGGATGCAAGCAAGAACTTGCGCCAGTGCTCTTTGCAACAAACGCGGGATGCTAGATATAAATATTTCTTGAAGCTCCCTGTTCATTTGGCACTTAACGGAATTCCCCTCCGTTTACAAGTTGTCACCATGAATGCCCTAAACGGGTTGAGGGCTCGTGTCCATATTCCCCGGACTTTCACCTCCTTGGAGGTCAAGCAGGAAGGGGATGATGAAGCAACTTTCAACAGATGGACGAACCACGATTGTGCACCCTCGCCCCCAGAGGAGCGCAACTACACACAGCGCGGCTACTTCGGATTCTGGATTGCAGCAACAGTGAACGTCTCTGCCTGGACACTGGGATCGAGTAACCTCGCGAATGGACTCTCAGCTGGAGAGACCATTGGCATGGTCTTTGTTGGATCAGTTCTTGCAGGCCTTATTTCCTTTATTTGCGCAGAGCCAGGGGTAAGTCAACCTTTCACCATCCGCCTCAAGCCTCTCTAACTAAAGTTGGCAGGTTCAATATCATATTGGCTTTCCAATGATGAGCCGGGTTGCGTTTGGAATGTATGGATCCTTCTTTGTCGTCATGATTAAATGCTTCGTCAACTTCATCTAGTAAGCTTGTCTCTCTATGGCACTATCTAGCCTCCTAATTGTCTATGTAGCTTCGGCATTCAAGCATACTGGGGCGGCCTTGCAGTCAAAGTTGTCCTTTCAGCCATATTCCCTTCGTTCCAAAATATGAGGAACACTCTTCCTCTCGAAGCAGCCATCACCACGAATCAGCTCATCGGGTTCATCATTTACATCATGATCTTCACTCCTTTGATGCTCATTCATCCATCCAAAATGCATAGGTTACTCTGGTTTGCTTTTGGCGCCGTTCTTGCCACCATTGTCGGGCTCTTTATATGGGCAGTTGCCTCCAATGGAGGCGCTTCTGCTCTTGCTGCATCGATCCAGGTCGATGACAGTACCCGAAAGTTCAAGATGTTGCAAGCAGTCAGTTCAGTTGCTGGTTCCTGGACAGGTAGCGCAATCAGGTTTGTCAAACCATATGTAAACTATTGTATAGCCCGCTGACACGCCGTAGACAAGCCGACTGGACTCGATATGCAAAGACCAAGAGAACTCCTGTGCTGAACCAACTGTTCACTGTTCCCATTGCGATTACGGTCACCGCAACTCTTGGAACATTCGCTACGAGCGCCGTCAAGTCAATGTACGGCAAGGAGATCTGGCAACCCATCACACTACTAGAATTCCTTCTCTCCGATAATTACAATGCTGCCACCCGCGCCGGCTGCTTTTTTGCCGGACTAGGCTTCTTCTTGAGTCAGATTTCGGTAAGCGACTAGCTCAGCGCGATCTCCTAAATTTCAGTACTGATTATTCCAGGTTAATCTAGTCCAGAATTCAGTCGCCGCCGGCATGGATCTTGCATCCCTCGCTCCGAGATGGGTTGACGTTACTCGTGGTAGTCTTATCATGTGCCTCATCGGATATCTGATCAATCCATGGCGATTCGTCAACGCACCTGGCAATTTCATTACCGTGCTGAACTCTTTCGGCATGTTTGTGTCGCCTCTTGCCGCGATCAATGCGGTCGACTTGTAGGATTCCAGTGCCAAAATGAACCACGAATCACTAACGCTTGCGACAGTTGGTTCGTCCGACGGCGAAACTGGACCGTTCCGCATCTGTACATCGGTGACAAGAGTTCAATTTACTGGTACACTTTCGGGCTGAACTGGAGAGCATTCACCGCCTGGACCATTGGGATCTTCCCCAGTTTCCGTAAGTTTCACATTCAAACTAGTTGCAGTTCGTGCTACTAACTACCATAAAAGCGGGATTCGTTGTAGCCACTGGTGGTGCAAAGTTAGCGCCTGCATGGCTCAAACTATTCCAGACAGCCTGGTTTATCGGCTTCATTGGCGCTGGATTGATATACTTCATTATCTGTCTCATCAGCCCGCCGCCTGGAAAGCCATACGAAAGGGTTCCATTCGGAAATGAGGGTCACGTCATTGAAGGCCTTTCCCCCAGCGGTACAGATACACCGAATGATGTGGAAAAGGCAAGCATCACGCCGTCGCTGAAGGGTATGGCTGGGTAATTGTGTAAAGGATGCGAGAGTAGAATAGTTCCTGAGTATCCTCGTTGATCTAGTGTAATCTGAATTAGATTTGGCGGAAGGCAGAGTGCGTCGGAACTGGATATCTATCATCGGAAGCAATGTGCCAGTTTCGGAACGCAATGCCGGTATCCATAGTTATCGACATTAGATTTATCTTTATTTGTTATTTATGTGACCTTTGATTCCCACGGGCTTCGGTGTTCCCTCCATCCATCAAATTCAACCAACCCCTTTTCGATAAGCCAAGCAACCATGCCTGCCCAGAAATTACTTTCCCCAGTCTTGAAAAAGGGGTATGTCGACACCTCCCACGGCCAGATTCACTACCGATATATCTTTCCTTCCACCCAAACCACCATACAAAAGGAACCAATTATCTTCTTACACAAGTCTGCTTCATCATCTGCAAGCTATGAGTTACTCATGCAATACTATGCATCGCAAGGCTACGCATGCTATGCTCCGGACATGCCCGGATTCGGAGGGAGTTTCGACCCGTCGAAAGCCGCGATAGCGGAGATCGAAGAACAAGGGACGGTATGGTATTCCGCCACCTTCATGCAAGCATTTGAAGCTCTCGGACTCGCGGGCAATGGGTGCACGACGCCATGCCATATCATCGGACACCATTCCGGAGCAGTTCTCGCGGTCGAATTTGCTGCCCGGTATCCTGAGTTCGTGGCGACTATTTGCCTTGTCGGGCCAACAGTGATGTCGGTGGAAGAAAGAGCAGCGATGAAGGAAATATTCTTCAAGCCATTCAACGAACCGGCCCGGGATGGATCACATTTGTTGAAGACCTGGGAGTATCTCGGCAATATGGGGGTTGGTGAAGACATCACGTTGTGGCAGAGGGAAGCAGTGGATCATATTCGGGCATGGAAAGGACGGATGCTGATTTACGGGGCAGTCTGGGCTCAGAAAAGCGAGGATTTATATAAACAGGTCTCCTGTCCAATCTTGCTGATGTGTGCAAGAGACGATGTTCTATGGAGGTACTTTGGACATGTCCATGGTTTGAGAGAAGGAGTTCAAGCGATTGAGATTACTGGCGGCAATTTTGAGCCGGATAGAGATGTAGAAGGCATTGCGAAAGCTTTGTCTCCATTTCTGACTAAATACCAATAGACATTGGAGACACTGGAGACACTGGTATGTTGTATGGTGCCGTACCGTAGATATTAAACTGCACATAGAACCACCATAGTCTAGTGCAGGGTTTCAAAATAGCTTGCTTTCAAGGATGCTTTTTACAATGTTTAACTATTAGTTAAATATCATTGATATCTATCGTCATTTCCTTTGCAAGTCCACATCAATTGTGATCTCAGTTTTTGCAGGTGAGGAACTTGCAGCCCCCGAGTCTTTCTCGTCGATTGCAGGCCCGCTTTGCTCCTGCGGTTCGTGTGCCGTTGCTAACGGAACATCAGTCAACGCCGCGCTTGTGAGAAGACAGAATCCTATCAACGGGCAAGCGAGACGGAATACAATGTCCAAACCCTTCATGTACGCCTCCCTGAGTGCGCTCTGCTCCCCCGGAGTCAATTGGTCCAGCTTGCCGATCATTTCCATCCCGCTCTGACTTGGCATGGACGGTGGTAGGTTAGCCTGCAGCACGTTGTTGATAATTGCTGCGCAGATGGCCAGTCCGATTGCCCCACCGACAGTCCTGATAAAGTTACGCATTCCAGTAACAACGGCTCGGTCTTCTTTCCTGGTATTAGCCAGTAGTGCGATCATAACTGGCTGGAACGAAAATCCGATACCGAATCCCTCGACCAAAAGACATCCAATGGTGACTCCGATGCTAGTCGACGATCCGAAGGCGATGTGGGTTCCTGCGCCTGCAGTCCACATCACGTAGCCAGCCCAGATAACAGGATTGCAGCGTCCCAGGCGGGAAAGGAGAAATCCAGCCGTTGTGGAAGATGCTGAGAATCCGAGGATAAGTGGCAGGATAAGCAGGCCAGATTCCAAGGGTGAATGGCCAAGGACGACTTGGAAATATAACGGCAGGTAATAAAGGTCCGAGTAATAAACTATGCCGGTTAAGAGATTGTGCATGAAGAGGATCTTTGCCGAACGCCTGTCGAATACTCGTAGAGGCATAACTGGATACTTGGCATACTTCCATTCGAAGACGACGAATAATACTACAAGACAGGCTCCGATCACAAGAAAAGATATGATGAGAGGTGATGACCAGCTCCACGTGGTTCCGCCGGATGAAATGGGAATCTGGTCAATTGTTATTTGGTTATTCTGGCACTGGAATGATTTAGGAGTGGTTGACTTACAAGCAGGAAAATGACACAAGAGAGACTGAGCACCATGCCTCCATAATCTATCATTCTCAGCTTCTCAGACATATTTCCCACCAACTTGCTTTTGGGTGAAGTGAGGTAGGTTGGCACTGCTGCCATCACTGTGACTGGCACGACGAACCAAAATGCCCATCGCCATGTTGCGGATGACTGTGAGAAGGCGCCCCCTATTAGGGGTCCAACTCCATTTCCTAAAGCTATGTTGGTCTCAAGAAGTCCCTGGTACTTTCCTCGCTGCTCTAGGGTCGTCATGTCTGTGAACATGATCATAACCAAACTAATCGTTAATCAGCAATGATTCCATACAAAGGTTAAGAGGCGCCTACCTATTAATTCCACCAGCACCAACACCAGCAATTCCTCTAAACACATATAGCTGCGCTGGAGTCTTTGCAAATCCACACAGCAAGTCTCCGATTGCAAGCAGAGCCATACAAGTCCTGATCAATCAGCAAATGTTTTTGCTATTCTATTTCAAGACACTAACATGAGACAGTTTTTCCGACCAAATATGTCACTTAACCGGCCATTTATCAGTTGAAACGACGTATTTGCAACCAGAAATGAGGTGCCAACCCATGATATCGACTCGTACGCATCGAGCGATTTGGCAATTGCTGGCAGTGCCGTCGAAACACTGGTTTGATCTATGAAAGAAACAAAGAGAGTAAATGCCAGCGCCGCAAGAATTATAACCAGTCTTGAGAATGAATATTGGTTGGAATAGTCTTGAGTGTCGACAAGTTCTTGTGGTTGCTGTATCGTAGATTCCTGGGGTGGTCTTTCTCGGTATTCTGCCATTGTTGACAGCAGCGTTGAAGTCTTGAAAAAATCACAGAATTTACGAAATTATCCAACGGCCAAGAGTACCAAGTGTACGGAGTACAGAGTATGATTGTACACAGTACGAACTCAGAAGTTAACGAACTATTACCCTATTACCCATGTTCCGTAGTAAACTGTACAAAAAACCCCGCAGCAGCCCCCGATGGGTCACTGTTCCTAAACAGGTTAGCGCTTTGGGGACGACCAATAGGGAGCCCCTGATCAGCCCCTGATCCAACCGATCGGGAACCCTGATCCAAGCGATCGGGAACCTCTCCGACCCATCGGAATATGTGCCGACGGCATCTCATAAACTACTTTCCCAGTCCACCTAAGTTTCGTTTGTTATCGATTCCAAACTCCGGAGATCGTAAGATGCTAATGTGATGCTCGCGGCTGTTTCCGAGTCGGGCCTTTGGCCTGACTCCTACTGCAGTTCAAACCCGCAGACGGTTGTCCGGGCCGATAGACCAGTAATTGCTTTCTCCATACGTATTATAAGCCTTTGACGCTCCCATTTGATAGCAAGAGGTCCTCACGCAGCCATTCGCCCTTCAGAAAGTCGTTTGAAGAACTTATCGAACCATCGCAATGTCTCCGCCCACAGTCTCCCCCCCAAAGAAGAGGATATACCTCAACTTCTTCGAAAATGCGTGCACTGGGTCCCATATGTCGCCAGGCCAATGGCGCTCACCATACGACCGGACTTCCGGCAAAGACCGACTGCCATACTGGCTGAATCTTGCTCGCCTCGCTGAGGAAGGAAAAATTAGCTTCATCTTCTTTGCGGATTCCTATTCTCTTTTTGATGTCTACTCGAGAAGCACTGCCCCGATTCTCCGTGCAGGTGCACATTCCGCTGGATTGGACCCGATGGTTCTCATTCCGGCGATGGCATCCGTCACCAAGTCCGTTGGTTTCGGCGTCACCGGCAGCACCAGCTACCTGACACCGTACATTCTGGCACGGACTTTCAGCTCCTTGGATCATCTCACAAATGGACGAGTTGCATGGAATGTTGTCACGAGCTGGAGCAAGGCCGCAGCGACAGCGTTGGGTGCAGATGATGTTGTGCCGCATGATGAACGGTATGCAGTGGCTCATGAATACATGGACCTGGTCTATAAGTTCTGGGAGAGCTCTTGGGCGGATGATGCGGTTGTCTGGGACGCGGAGAACAGAGTTGCTTTTGAGCCCTCGAAGGTGAAGAAAATTGAGCATAAGGGTATGTTTGCGGTGTTCCAGTTATCGAAGAGTCGTGATACTAATTGAGGGTCAAGGCAAATATCTGAAAGCTTCGGCCGCCTCCCAAACTCACCCTTCTCCTCAACGCACTCCGGTTCTCTTCCAAGCCGGAACATCCAAGATGGGTCGTGCATTTGGCGCTAAGCATGCTGAAGCCATCTATGTTGGAGGCTTGGTCCCCTCACAGACTGCCGGATCAATTGCTCAGATCCGTGCCGACGCAGCTGCCGAAGGGCGCGATCCCCAATCTCTCAAGTTCTTTGTCGGTATCACCCCAATTATTGGACGAACACTGGAAGAGGCGCAAGCGAAGTATGAACAGGCAAGACAGGACGCAGACGTCGTTGGCGGTCTTGCACAGTTTTCTGGCTATACCGGAATTGATCTGGCCCGCTTCCCGCTCGACGAAGTCTTTGAGTTAAAAGATGCTCCTGGAGATGACGCCACCCATACGTTCTTGGAGAACTTCAACAAAGCAACCGGTAACACGGAACCTTGGACTCCTCGAAGACTAGGCGAGACCATGGCTCTTGGTGGCTTCCATCCGGCCCCTGTTGGCACTCCAGAGATGGTGGCCGATGTATTTGAGCAGTGGATCAACGAAGCAGATGTTGATGGCTTTAACATTGCTTATGTGACCAGCCCTGGCACATTCGAGGACGTTGTCTACCTTCTGCGACCCGAGTTAGTAAAGAGAGGTCTCATGTGGGAAGACTATGACGTGGAAGGAGGTACATTGCGGGAGAACCTGTATGGAGTCAAGGGTCAGACTCGTCTGAGGGATGATCACTACGGGCACAAGTTCAAGTGGGGGAGTGGGTTTGAAGGGGACACAATCGAAGCCTTCAAAGCGGAGCAAGCGGTAAAAGAGAGTGTGAACGGAACCAACGGTGAAAGCAAAACGAACGACATTGAAGTTCCTCTGACACAAGGCAGCGTCGTGGTTGGGAAGGAACCCGTAGTAGTTAAGACCTAGTGGAATTGAAGGAACTATTTTCAAGAAAACCCTCTGGCATCAGTGCCATTTGAGCTGTATTAATTCTTTCTGTAGGATCATGTAGTCAATATCACCACTTGCACTCCATCATAATCATAGCTGAATACTGGAGCCTGCAATCCATCGATTGGAAGGACAAGTTGTTCGACTAGCTTTCAGAAGTTCAATTCTAATGTCATGGCCGTTCACCCCCCCCCCCAGCCACACCCCTCTCCCCGGAAAACCGGCATTGGACGTTTAGAGTAGAGCTCGCCTTTAAAAAAGGCTTCATCATGCACATAATTCACTGAATGGTTTTACCGGATCACGGGAGGGTTTCACGCCTCCAGACTGTTCTTCGAAGGATGCCATATATTAATGAAAATCGAAAACCCGAAAATGCCCATTTAGAGTCCGCAACCAAGGACCATCTCATTCTGTTCATCCCTTCAGGCGTACGGCTCATGCTGATGCCTTTACTTCAACTGTAGAAGTAGTTGCAACGTCCCCCTTTATACCGTCCACGGTTGCACTGTGTTCCTTTTCCACATCCCAGGCAGTATAATCAGTATAGCCTCTTTCCCTGTCTGGAAACGGCCCGTAAAATCTATCCCGCTCATACATCCTCAACGGTAAACCTTCCCTTAACCGGCGAACCAGATCAGGGTTACTGATAAACCAGCGCCCGAACAACAAGGCGTCGTACCGGCCGGACTCCAAAACTCCCGAAAAGTTTCCGTCGTACCAGCCTCCGGCACTGAAGAATGGAGTGTCGCCAAAAACCTTCCGGAAGTGGGAAAGGTCGACAGTTTCTAGACCCCATGACCCGAGAAATGAGTCCTTCTCCGCCGTGCTGAAGACCTGTTCATATCTCTGGCAGTCCATCAATCAGCTTAACCTCAAGTGTGCACGAAAAAGGGAACAACATACCGGCTCGATGAATGACACGTAAGACATGTGCGGAATCTTCGTCTTAAGTTCTTTGCAGAGGTGGCTCCACGTCCCCATCCTCTGCGAGCCCCGGGCTTGGTTAAATAGCCCGAAAGGACTTAACCGGAGTGCCACTTTCTCTTGCCCGGCGGTCTTGGCTAGCTCCTCCATCAATTCTACAACGAATCTACACCGCTTCTCCGGACTTCCACCATAATCATCGTTCCGCATGTTGACATTGGACGACAGGAACTGCTCTGGGAGGTACCCATTCCCTCCATGGACCTCAACTCCGTCGAAACCGCATTCCTCAACTGCACGACGGGCAGCCTCGCAGTACTCGCCAATGACGCGCTTGATATCGCTAACGGTCAATTCAACCGGCGGATGATCTCGGTACTTGGCCCGTTTGTCGTGGCCCGGCGGCGGGTACGGGTATTCTTCGTTTGGATCGTCCCATTTCACTGCTGATGGCGCGACACTCGGCAGGCCGGTGGTTGGTGCGATGGTTGTGCGACCAGAGTGCCACAATTGGGCATAGATGTATCCGCCCTTGGCGTGTACTGCTTCGACGACTTTCTTCCAACCGACAATATGTTCGGGGAGATACAAACCGGTGGTGCCCGGCATTCCGCCGCCCTTGAAGAGTGGGATATCAGTTACGGATGGAAAGGTGGCCCGTGGGGTAAGAAACAAAGTACCTGTAGAGACGGCGGTAAACCTTCGCTAATCAGAAGGCCACCTTCCGTTGCTCTTTGCTGATAGTATTCAGTAACCAATTCATCGGGATACCAGTCTCGGTTTGGCTTCTCTGGGGTATCTTCGAAAACGGGAACTCCTCGATTGCGAGTTAGGGGGGCCAGAATCACTCGATGTTTCAGCTCAATCGTTCCATTGGCAATTTTCAGTGGCTGAAATAGAAGCGGTTGGGAGCGTGTAGAGGCCATCGCTGTCGTTGCTAGTTAAACACCTCAATTAGGGACGAGCATGGGATTGAGATGGTGTTCAACGCATCTGCCCGGAAAGACTTGGAGAAAAGTATACCGACCTTTGTTAGCGTGCGGACCATGTTACCTAATTTGTGGTCCTGTATTCCGTAATAGACACTATGTCATAGGTTGTTTCGCTATAGGATCGGCATGCCGACCCTCAGTCTAGTCACGTGATGCAGCTTTGTCCTGTCGGGAGCACTTCCGTCGGAAGACCGGGATGTTTTGGATCTAGAGTCCAGATCGGGACCGAGATACCTAACGAAACGGAACCCTGGTTTCAAGGGCTGTAATACGGCCATTGGCTGTACATTCTATTTTCCGATCATGCTAAAGAACGTAGTCAAACCTGTGACACCTGCACGATTAGCATGATTCGTTATCCGCGACTGGCAGGATACATACGGAGCACTCCAAGAGCGACGGTCAGCTCACCATTCCGTTGGATCTCGATCTTCTCTAGATATTGGTCTTCTATAGTAGCGGGTTCGGTCTAATCGTCCGTAGCGGAGTCTAGGTACCGACGGGAAATGATAACGATTTCAAGGCATCGACAATGTCAATTCCAGAACTACGCATAACCCCGCCGGTTCCAACCTGGGAAACATATGAGCGGACGCGAGCGGATTCTGCTGCCGTCCATGGTCCCTGCCGGATGGCTGCCAGAAACATCCGAACTCGCAAACGGCTCCGGTGGGGTTCGAATGGCAATAATATGGCAAGACTGCTATCTATTGCTGTTAGACATAAGACCGAGATTTGATATTTGCAGAGAATTGAATAGTGCTCACATACACCTTTTCATCTCCTCCCCCAACATACTGTGATTTTGCTAGATTGACAACATGGTGTCCCATCCTCCAACGCGCCCTGTGCGTATTATGAACATTTCTGGCTCACCTTGTGACAAACGCGATGCCCTTTCCAATGCGGTCAACATGTCGGAGTCGGTCGACGTGCTCGTCGGGGACTGGATGAGCGAGCTGAACATGCCAACTCGAGCCTACAACGTGGCAAACGGACTCGGGATTGGCTATGAAGACAGCTTTTTAGAAGCCTTGGAGCCGGCCCTTGAAGGAATTGCTAAGAAAGGACTTAAGCTTGCATGCAACGCTGGAGTTGTAGCAACAAAAGAGCTATATAATGTGGTCATCAAGATGGTGGAAGAGAAGGGACTGGGCTTGAACGTGGCGTGGATTGAAGGCGATTCCGTTCTGAGCCAAGTTAAGGAGGACTTGAAGCAAGATCCTTCCAGCTACCGACATGTTTCAACCGGAAAGACGCTCGCAGAATGGGAGTTCGAGCCCCTGTTCGGGCAGTGCTATCTCGGCGGGATGGCCATTGCCAGAGCTTTCAGCGAAGGTGCGTCAATCGTCATCTGTGGCCGCGTGGCAGATGCTTCGCCAATCATTGGAGCTGCCGCGTGGTGGCATGGATGGTCGAGGTCGAATTATGACCAACTCGCGCAGTCATTAATTGCCGGCCACTTGATTGAATGCTCAGTCTATGTGACTGGCGGAAACTTCACTGGGTGGAAAAGCCTAGACTGGAATGGAATCAACAACTTTGGATACCCCATTGCAGAAATCGATAGCGAAGGAGGCGTCGTCATCACGAAGCCCGAGGGAACGGGTGGCTTGGTGAGCGTGGAAACCTGCAAGGAACAGCTTCTGTACGAGATCCAGGGAATGTATTACCTCAACTGCGATGTCACAGCTGTCATCGACCAGGCTAGCCTCACGCAGCTGGGACCAAACCGAGTCCGACTCTCCGGCATTACCGGACGGCCACCGCCGGCAACGACGAAAATGGGGCTTACGGCCTTTGGAGGGTACCAAGCCGAAGTCCATTGGGCGATGGTCGGGCTAGATATTGACGAGAAGGTCAAGCTACTAGAAACGCAGCTGCGCCACAGCTTTGGCACAGCCAGACTCTCCAAGTTCAGTCTCTGGGATGTGTCAGTGTACGGCACGGCATCAGAGAATCCTCGAAATCAGAACGCAGCAACAGTGGATATGCGACTGTTCGCTCAGGCAAAGGAAGCAGAAGCATTGTCGGAAGCCAACTTCATACGCCCGGCGCTCGATATGAACATGCACACATATCCAGCCGCTACATTTCACGCTGACCTCCGAACGGCGGTGCCAAAGCCAGTAGGTGTTCCAAAAAGGGAATATGCGCGGAGATCGAGCTAACATCATTGTCAGTATACCGAGTACTTCCCAACCTTGATTCCACAACCGACGCAAATCATCCACTTCTCGAAACCAGGCCACGACGACGTGATTGTACCTCCGGCAGCCGAGACCATCGAGCACCCATGGACGCAACCGTCGTACGAGACAACAAATGCAGTGGACCTAGGAGAGTTCGGACCAACGACTCGTGCCCCTCTGGGGCGGGTTGTATACGCGAGGGCGGGCGACAAAGGCTCGAACTGCAATGTCGGATTCTTCGCTCGCGACGCGTCGGAATGGCCGTGGCTGCGAAGCCTGCTGAGCTCGGAGAAATTCAAGGAACTCATGGGCGAGGACTACAAGGGCCAGAAAATCGATCGAATGGAGTTTCCCAATCTCTGGGCGGTTCATTTCTTGCTGCATGATCACCTTGATCGGGGAGTGACTGCCAATGCAACATATGATATCCTGGGGAAGTTCATTGCGGAGTACTTACGTAGCAAGCATATCGACATTCCGACTGCTTTTCTGGAGAAGGGAACCCTATAGTCGAGGATAGATGTCTAGGGATAGCGGTTGTGTATGTAATACCTGATAGTATCCGGGATTTTGATCTGGTGTCGTTTGTTCCGTAAATTGAGGAGCGGTTGAAAGTCGAACCACGTGACAATTCAAAGCTCTTCAAACGCCAAGCCTTAAGGCCCATTTTTAACACTACCTCGACACTCATGAGCCATGAGCCCATGATACATATATTCTCCACAGGTTCCCCTCGGTGCTCATGAGTCATGCTAAATGTACCTCCCAGCTCCACTCCGCCGTTTTTGACACTACACTATAATACATGAACTTATCTCCTATCGCTCAAGTCCCTCCCTTATCTTTCTCCTATCCCAGTTGCGTTGCATAATCGACTATGACCCAACATATGACTATCTCCCTTCGAGGCCGGAGAGGATCCCATATCCTGGGATCTCCTCCGGATCTCTCTCGACTACTACTACCTTTTTCGATTCTGTGAAAAGATAGCGCGTCTTTAACCAGAGCATCATGGTTACTACTCCGCCCACAGCTATATCCGAGAACCCGCTCGAGCAAATGGACGGGCCGACAGCTGATAGACCCAGAACGGCACGACGTGCCCGGGTCGCCGTGGCCTGCCAGCGATGCAAGACTCGGAAGCAGAAATGTGATGGCCGGACACCTTCCTGTTCCAATTGTGCCAGCTTCGATGCCATTTGCAAATACATCAAGCCCACGAGGCCGCTCTCTAGGAGTCAGGATGACTATTACAAAGCCGCGAAGAACCGTGTCGCTGAACTTGAGGCCGTCTTGATGCGAGAAAGAATCGCTGATGAAGGCCAGTCCCGCTGGCGTCAACTTCGAGCCGCCCACCACTCCGATTCTTCCGAACCCTCTGAGATTCGTAGACCGGCCAAACGACCGCACGTCGAGAGTCCCCAGTCTGACCACGGTAAAAGAGAAGTGCTCGACTGGAGCGGGGAGGGAAGGTCGGAAGAAGGTACTGGGGTGGTAGACATTCTGCGGGATCTGTCGCTTCAGGCTAGTGGCGGATACATTGGCGCGTCATCCAGCATTACTATGAGTAAGCTGGTAGGGTCGTTGGTAAAATGCAAAGAACACTTCGGCCCTGACCTTCAGCCCGGGGAGCATTTAAGCCCAAGATCACTGTCGTATGCAAGTATTGAAGATACTTATGTTGAAACGGCAAGCATTCCGCAGGACACCGCAAACCGGCTTCTCAAGGGATATCTGAAGCACATTTCTACCCGATGGCCGATATTTCACTCCAACTACATCCGCATCCTACACACTCGTAGGGCCTCGCTCACAGATCCGTATGAGAAGAGTGCACTTCATCTCATCTATGCTAGCGGAGGTCGGTTCCTGGAGACGACTGGCCAGACAGGGCCATTCTATTGCGAAAAACATCACGATGCAGGGATTGAGCATCTCGACGAGGTCCTCCAGTACCACGACGTGCGTTCCGTCCAGATCTTGATCCTCCTCGCTATCTATAGCCTGAGGGCGCCCCAAGGGCCTGGAGCGTGGACTTGTATCGGATTGGCTATGAGGACTTGCATCGACCTCGGTATGCACCGCCGGAGTCCTCCCAAGCGCTTTTCGATCCTGGAAGACGAGATGCGAAAGAGAATCTTCTGGACCTGCTATTGTCTAGACCGACAAATATCCATCATTCTAGGCCGCCCATTTGCCATTTCGGATCAGGATATCGATGTTGAACTACCCCTCGATGTCGACGAATCCGTCCAGGACGCGGCAGTCTTCGAGGCCGCGCAGGTCGCAACCAAATCCGAGAGCGACCCGCCTGCTGTGTCCACATCGCTCAGCTGCTTCATCCACATCTGCTGTCTACGTCGCATCGAATCCAAGATTCAACAAACCATATACCGTGTTGACCGGCCTTCGGGTGCTTCCGAGTCGGATGTCGAGACCTTCATCAAAGAGTTGGACGATTGGAGAGACCGGATCCCTAGAGACGCACGGGAACACAATGCCGACAAGGCTACTACCACAACCGACACAAAAGTCATAGACGGGTATGGCTACTACATGGTGTACTATTACAAGTGCCTCCGGTTCTTACTGCATCCGGTCCTTTCCGGTCCAAAGCTGCCGCTTAGTTTGATCATGAAATGTGCGGAAGCTTGCGGAGGAGTTTGCCAGACGTACAAGAAGCTCCACCAGAGCATCTCGGTCGGGTTTTCTCTCATGGCGCTGCATTCTGTGTTTCTTGCGGGTCGGTTTTCGCCCTCCAGATTTCATTTTCAATGTGCTAATTCGTTTAGGTCTCACTTTGGTCTACTGTACTTGGATTTCACCATCGGAAGTCTTCAGCATCACCACATCAAATGACATGAATGCTTGCAGCATCGTCCTATACATCATCACCGAGCGCTGGCCGGGAGCCAAGAAATATCGCGATATGTACGAAGCCGTCAAGCAGTCGGTCCTCGAATCAATCAAGGAGAGTAAGTACGAGCCTCGTCGAGCCATCAAGCAACTCAATCGTGGGCTGTTCATGTCCGTGGATGGAAATGAAGAGGGATCGGCCGCTGTAACAGCAATGGTTGCGGACATGGCGGGAAATCCGGTCCCGGACGTCCGAGTACCAGAACTTGGTGGGAACGGTTCAATCGGGCACTCTGGAGCCATGATGGTGGCTCCCATGATGGACACTCCGATGACACAGGTCATTCCGGACGAAACACAACGGATGCAACTACATGCAACTCGGCCGGAGTTCAACGACGCTATCTTTGACGACACGTTTGGAGCTATGGAGAACATGGTCACGATTCAGGGCGGCTTTGACCTGATCGGATTTGAGATGAGTCACGAAGCGTATTCAATTTAATTCTTGCTACTATCTTCAATCTTGCGCGTCCAGAATATCGTCATACTTGTGAAATTGTCAATGTCCAATTCTATTCGCCGTGGCTGCAGCTCGTCGGAACATAATCCGTCGGAAGCAGTTCCGAACCGGCCACCGCCCTCTTCAACCTCCCCATCATTCCAAGGACGCGAACGCTAACCCAGTCCAGCAAGCTTAAGTCCTCTGCCGTCGGCTCTTGAGGCTTTCAAACAGAATGGACAAAAGTAGACTACTCTAGCCGCTCGCTGTCACATCCGCACGGGGTACCAGTAACCAGTTCCTAGGAAGAGACACCCGATCCTGCCGTTGTCGAGCAGATTTTGTAATACGGACTGAGCCGAATAAGGAGCGTTGACGTTGCAATAGTTGGAAAACTGCTTTACATAGTACGTTGTTATTTATTTAATCCTTTCCATTGGGAGTACAAAGTGCGTATCGCCATTTCCCAACCAGAATTTTAGAAGTCAATCACTCGGTATCGTCTCTTTCGTTGCAGATCCTATTCGAAGCGGCTCTAGGTGTTCAATATTCACCAGCATGGCTATAACGCCTGATCATAGCTCTCTCAGGCGCTTACGAGCGCGAATACGACGAATTTTTAGGCTTGCAAAGAAGTCAGACCTTCCTACACCCACCACGATCGTTGGGATTGAGATATCGGAAAAGCAAGCACCTACATTTTCAAAACATTCTTTAAAGCCAGCGGCAAACACATCATTATCGCCTCCACAAGTACAACAAGCACTTACCGTGGCGCGGAGGGGGGAGTACGCACTCCGCGACGACTACCCAGTCCCGGAGATCCGAGACGACAATGAAGTCATGATCAGGAATCATGCCGTCGGCCTCAATCCGATTGATTGGAAGTCTGTCGAATACAACTTCTGCTTGCCATCATTTCCATGGGTAGGTGTCCTCACCATTCACAACCGCTTGTACTAACCATTGTTAGATTACTGGCAGAGAATCATCGGGCACGGTCGCCAAGGTTGGGAAAAACGTCCACCATGTAAAACCCGGAGACCGTGTGTGGACTTCGACGTACTACCGAGACGTCCGTGCCGGATGTTTCCAAGAGTACATCATCGTCCCTCAACACACTGTGCTTCCAATACCCGCGGACCTCAGCTTCGAGCAGGCAGCTTGCTTGGGCGTCGGCGCCCTCACTGCTGCTATGGCTCTCTGGAAATGGATGGATGTACCGATGCCAGATCCGGATCCAAATCCAAAGAGCCCTGAATCGTCAGAGCATTCTTTGGGGACGGAAACACCACATTCGCTGGATTCTGGCTACTACAGCGTTTCTCCCGCTTCGTCTAGGCCAGGTGTGGGGGAGTGGTTTCTGATTTGGGGTGGAAGTACCGTAACAGGTCAATTTGCGACTCAAATCGCCATCCACTCTGGCTTAAGAGTCATTACAGTCTGTTCGGGTCGTACTGCAGCTCTCTCTACATCACTCGGAGCAGACCACGTCGTAGTACGCGATGACCGGACGGCGGAAGAGATTGTGGAGGAAATTCGAGCAGTGACCAGTGGCAGACTCAGCCGGGTAATTGATTTGGTTGGCCCGAAAACCGCTGGATTGTGTCTTCAAACTTGCCGCGCAACTGAAGAGAGCAAAGGTGAGACCCCGAGAGTCCGATTTGCACCTCTCGCCATGATGGCGAACGATGAGGAAATACCGGAGCATGTCCAGGTGGAGACGGTGGAGATGAAAAGATTTGTCCTGGATGAAGAAGCAGCCATCTATGCACAGAAGCTCAACGAATTAATCAACTGTTCAAGCCTCAGGCTTCCGGACTTAGAGGTCTTGGAGGGCGGACTTAGCCAAGTCGAGAGAGGCTTGGAGATCTTGAAAAAAGGGAAAACTCGAGGGAAGAGAATGGTTGTTAGGCTCAGGAATATATAGTATGGAGCAACTTAAACTCATTGTCTTCCATTCCTTGAGAACTGCTACTGTACGACTGTATCATGCTTTGTCTATGTGAGTATTTGAAAGAACCACCTTGAGCACTTCTATTTATATTTTTGAGGATTCGAAGGGTTTGAAAAACAGAGAGAGCGCTATACCCGATATAATGGCGCTAACTTAGAAGAAGAAATTTAGTAGAACATATTATACTAAATACCCACGGTTAGGTATCAAGTAATCTCTAAAACTATGTATATAACATGCACGAGTGAGTACTACGTAATCTGTGTGCTACCGAACTTCCGTTTATAGTTTAGCGCCACCCTATCAGGTATAGCGCTCACTTCCGTTTTCAAACCTTCAATCCCTCAGAACATAAATACCACCGTCTATCCCCTCATAAATCTGAATAACCTCTTCCTCCTCCTCCACCTTTCGGCTTCCCCTTTTTCTCTTGCCTCGCCCCGTCTCAATTTCGCCTTGCTAACCGGTCGACCCCTTGCACGCACCATTTGCACGGCTGAATCCCCTGCTGACCCGCGCTGCGCCTTGGGCGAGATCTCTTCCCCTCTTTTTCCATTCCATGCCTGACGGCTCGCTCCCCTCTCGTAGCGCCTTCTGGATGGTGAGCTTCCGTTCCACCTTTCATGTTGAGTTTCTTCCCAGTCTATCAGAGCTTTTTGCCGCAATGTAGCAGAACTAACAGGCCCTAGAGAGCATTCATTCCTCGGCGTCCCCGTCTCCGAAGACCCATCGCTTCTGCGTTGCACAGCTTTTAGAACTTCGAACTTAATGGGCTCGAACTGCCGGATCCATCCCCGTTCGTCTCAGCGTGATCGCTTCTCTCCATCCCTTTCCAAGAACCCTGAGCATTGGCCATGGACTACGGTCGCCCACCGCCCTCCATATCTCCTTCTCATTACTTTATGGATCATGCGTGCACCTTCGCACTCCGACTTTTCCGGCCTTCCTCGTCGACTTCGCCTCAGACCGCGTCCGCAATAATACTGCATTAACCATAACTGGAGACGCCCCTTCTAAAACCGGCTAAGCTTAGCGCTCGGCCACACCATGCCGTGCATCGCATGATTATGATTGCATAATGATGATCGTGACCGCCCGATCCCTTCAGCTTACTTGAATCCACTGCGGTTTCATACAGACACCGGCATGGGCGTTCCGGGATCAAATAGGAAGCTGGATGTGGACGTCAGTGCCCCAGTCTATCTCTGGCTTGGATCCTTGGCATGGGAGGAACCACGCTCGCTCGCTTGCAACCTGCTATTCGTACGTAAGAGTTTCGAGTCGCAGTCCACCTGCAGTGCTCAAAGCATCCGGTGAGGCCGAACCAGGTGACATCGGTAACACCGACGGTGACGATGACGGTGAGGCATCTTGACGAATGGAGGGCTTTGCGGTGTAGCTGTTCCAGCTCCAGCACCCCAACTCATCCATGCGAACTTGAAAGCCTGTGGATCCAATTGCTCGATTGCCATTGCATGTGGTCTCGCGAACTAGAATTTCCACGGTTATCCGGACGTGAGCAGCTGAATCTGCCCGCACGACGACGGTCCACTGACGACCGATGCCCCTGGCTGCTTGAGGTTGGCGGCCCAGCACGGCCATCGAGATTGCCTCCAACCCAATCATTACACTCCTCGCAACCACGCGCTCTCATAGGCAGAGGCAGCCCCTTATCTTTGAGTCAAGCAGCTTGCGTACGATCTCGGATCCAGCGACGATGGAATTTTGGAAGGATAATTTTCTCTTCCAACCTTTGGCGTGTGCATAGGGGCGAGAGGAGCATCGTCGCATATCATATCTGGCCGTCACTGGTCGCGGACTGAAAGGGGGAAGGAAACGAAAGATATCAAGCAGACCGCATTAACGTCAATCTATGGTACCGCTTCATCTTCCACTATTTTTGGACGCACCCTCCAAACAATATCACTAATGGCACGCTAACCAGGACAGGATGGTATATTCATGCCTTGGGTGCAGGATGCATATCCCCTTGCAAATCGTGGACTGGCGGCAAGGGCGGCGAGGCAAAATCAGGGGTTGATGCGAGGGTTGCGCATGCAAGTAGAAGAGCGATCGAGCCGTGGCGATAGGATAGCGAGTGCAGAGCGTCTTGCACCGCAGCCGCCCCGAGTACTTAAGCAGCCACTATTTCTATCCTCGTGCAATTCTCGATTCAGTCCCCCCTTATCCTTTACCGGGCATTTGTACACCATCTTTACACTTTTTATCATCTACGGTAATCGCTACTATGGCCATGTTCATTCCTTACCAGCCGTCACGGAGCGCCGTTCCTACAGCTTCCAGTTCGCAGACCTAAACAGCTCGCGGGCAAGGCCGGTGCCCTACCAAGAGCCGCCGGGTTCGATTGGGTAGCATAGAAATTGTGGATCTGAGAGACGACAGTGACGGAGAAGATTGTCCTGCGCACCAGCCGGCTACAGCCAGTCCGGTCCGGGGCCATTGTGAGTTTATCGGTCCGTTTCAGTGATAGGCTAGTTGTGCTGACTAAAGATTCAGCAGCGGCCGCACGGGCGTCTACACAGAACATTAATCAAGCCGCTCAAGGGACCAGCGGCGGTGCGGAAGACGACGAGAGCAGCGGCAGCGACGGAGATGATCTCCCTACCCTGCAAGAGCTCCTTTCGATGTCCCAAGGGACGATTTCCACGGACCGACCTAATTGCGTTCAACGGGGTTGCAAGCCTAGCGCACCAGGAACACACGGAAAATGGAATCCTAGAAAGCGATCGTGCTCCTGGGCACGAAGATATTTCGGCTGGTAGCGGGCCTGGCGCTGCTGGCGCCGCATCGCCAGCACTGATAGTGCATGCTAACGTCGAGGCTGTAGATGATAAGGCGTCTAGCGATGACTGTGCGCAGAGCCCCACGACGGAGTTGAGCGACAGTCTCTACGCTGCATACATGCCAAGCTGTAATGGCGATGGACTCGCCAGCGCACAGCGGTCTGCGCCAAGACCGCATTTTGTCGCTGACATCTCCGGACCCGTGGGGAAGCAGCTGACTGCATCTGCCGGTCACGGCGACGGCGACGACGACGTCATCGTCCCCGCTTCTAAAGCAGCCTTGCAAGCAAAGGTCAGGAGCAGGTATCGAAAAGCAGTATACGGGCCAATCCATTGTAAGTACTCCCATCCTGCCCGCCACCCCGTGCTCCTGCTAACCCGAATTCTAGATAATGGGAGATAGGTCTATGTTGGAGACTATGTTGTCGTGGCCTGCGAAGGCGAGGAGGACGGAGACCAGCCCCCGATAGCGAGGGTAAAGAAAGTCCTCGCCAATAATCGCCTGCGGGTGCTGTGGACTTATCATCCCTCCAGCCCCGAGGTTCCTAGGGATCTCAAATTTGGCCCTCGCGAGGTCCTGCTCTCTAACCATACGGACGTCGTTCGGGCCGCATGTCTGAAGGGATTCACTAACGTGGAGGAGAATTGCCCGGATTGCTACGACGCGCAGCGTTGGTGCTGGAACAAGCGGTTCGAGGCCCGCAAGAGGAAAGTCGTCACCAGCGAGGACCTTGATATGAGCTTGGATAGGGACGGATCGAGAAAGCGGTTGAGTCTTGACACTTTGTAAGCGATTTTAATCTTCATATACAAGTAGCCACAGTATTGAACCATTGTCTCTCGTACAAACATCGGGCTTAGCGAGTGCGGAACTCGGATGGCAAATTGGCCGCGCACATCCGTGAATTACACTTGTGATAGATACATACTTTGTGGTCGCATTACGTGGGGGTGATGATTCAGCAAGTTCGCTGCTTACGCTCAGTTACTGCAGAGATACAATGCAAGTTATTATCACCGACAAGTGGAGGCTAGAGGTTCAACATAAGCATCATAACTACTCTCGATCACTCGATCCTAGTACGCATAATGTCTATCGTAGACGTACACTGGCTCAGAAAGACCTAATCGAATCGATGACAAATACTGGGGCCCGGTCGATGCAGATATTGAATGCAATTCAAAAGGAGGATCCGGAAACTCGAGTCTCTGCTACCGATATTCGTAACGAGAGGAAGGCAATCAGAGTATAGCACTTGAATAGGAGGAGTCCGATTAAGACGTCACTAGATAACCTGTCTATGTTGACACCTACACCTGTCCCTATCTCTTCCCCTACTCAATCTTATTTGTCTTTACCCGTCTCTATTACTGTGCCTATTACTATGGCTCGATCCCCTCTACAGCCTGCTTGGCCACCCCCGTCGTTAGAAGAGTTCTTTACTAATATCGAACGTCGACAGCTTCAGCCTATTCTATATAACTGTAGTGACTTTGGCACAGTGACCAATTTTTTGGCAGAGACGGGACAAGAAAAGGACCCGATAGAGCTGATTAAAGCACGGAATATGGCTCTCGCTACAAGGGGAGTGTATGCTTTCTGCACTCCAACAATGGCATGGAATTATCACTTTGGAGATATGGATGATTTCTACGCCGAAAGATTTGCACAAGATAATGCTTAAAATCCTCTTTTTGGGTCTCAAGATGTGCGCAGACAGCGTCCTAAGAGGGCTGCAGCAGAGGTGGCTTCAAATGCTTAGAAGGGACTTAGCCCGCGCAAGAGACAGCGACGTCAATAGAATATATGCTTTGACTCATAAATTGGACGAGACATCAAGATACGCTTCAAACTTCTTCAATCGAAGGAGCTGACAATAGTGATATGTAAAATATTTCCACGCCAGTAATAATATAGCTAGTGTAGTGGACAAATCTCACCAGCCTTGTCATGAAGTGTTGCAGAGATGATTGATAAATGTAGGGTTTGTTGATGAAGCTCGACTGACCTCCGGACACGGTCAGATGAACTTTCTAGGTGACGATATGGGAGCTGAGAGCGAGTTCTAGCCATGCTGATGAGGTATGGGACTGTTGAGGAATTGTAAAGCTGGCTGTGAGAGGGTTGGCAGAGGACGGCATTGAAGAACAAGATGTCTATGGAAGGGCCATGTCCTGGGGCCCCTAGGGTATGAGGCTGGTCTAGACGTCTGCGTGCGTACCGTTAAGCGGGCTATGGGTACGATGGATTACCATAAATGCGTCGCCTGTCAAAAAGCATGGGTTTCTAGGAACCTCGCCGAAAAACGCGTCGATTTCGCTACCTTAATGAAGGACCGGTATCCTACCAAATACCGGTGGAGGAGGCTCCGTTTTAGCGACGGAGTCCCACGCCGGGCTTGGTCCGCAGGGAAAGTTGATGATTATTCGACGCCCGGGCGAGCGGTATTGCCCTCAGTGTGTACAACGACAAGGAGAAGTTGAACAGAACGCCAAAAACAACGTCCACGTCTGGGGGGCTGTTGGCTACAACTTCAAATCAGACCTTGTAACGTATGATGTACCGAGCAATACCACGGGTGAGATGGCGCAACAAACATATATCGATTCCATCCTAGATCCCATTGTCAACCCTTGGATCCAGAACGGTCACGATTTTGTATTGGAAGAGGAACAAGACTCAGGCCATGGGCCGCCACGTGCTAGGGGAAATATCGTAAAGGAATGGAAGTCCCATTCTGATCACCGTCTTGAACACTATTTCAATTGCGCAGGATCTCCAGACCTCACGATCGTTGAGGACGCTTTCCAACCAATGAAGCAACACGTACGTAAATTTACCCATTGGGAACCTGATGAGATGCAACAGCTTTTGAAAGAGTGATGGGACGGAATTCGGCAGGATTGGATCAAGGCCCGCGTTGATTCCATGCCTGATAGGCTTCAGGAGGTGATAAGACGCGGAGGGGCAGATAATAGGGAATAAAAAGGCGAACTCTTCCTAAACCTCCCAAAACCTATTGGGATGGGGTTGTTACGCGTTGCAAATAGTCTCATTTCAATTTAACAGTGTTTAAACCCGCGTTGGTTGAGATATTTGCGTTGAAATCCATCCATGTATGCGATTTTGTATGGTGTTGTGGACCCCGTCCAAAGCTTTTGGTATGCCGGTTTTTCTTTCAGTCGCGTGCTTGTCTCTACTCGGCCCCCACGTGATCCGTTGATCCTTACAATCAGGCCATTTGGTAGCTATTGGAGATGGCCCGAGCTTACTGAGGTAAATCTTATTATCTTAACTGGAATCATTTAATGTTTAACACCACCGCTAGTGTCGCGCATTAGTGGCCATCGTCATGTTCCTTGACGATTCATGACGAACGAGCGTCGAGCACCTAGAGCACTGAGAAGAGTTTTCGGTTGAGCAGGCGAGTTAGCACTATTCTACTAACTGTGTTAAGACGGGAGGGGTCAAGGGGAGTCTGATTGACTGGGAACTTGAAAGAGTTAGGAACACCACTTGTATCGATCTTAGTATCACCGAGTCATGGTATGGACGGCTCATTAGGGCACTGCCGCACTGGGCAGTAGGCAACTATTGATCTTTTAAGCGTGTTGATCAATCAGGGAAGCAATAGGTTACCTGGCGGAGGAGGTGAGATGCTTGTATTGCGTGAAGTAGAATTCGTCGCAGGGTAGATATACCCATGCTTATATTGCTAGGGGATGCTATTACTAAATAACGTCTGAAATCTGATAGCAACCCATTGGAGCTTGGAAGGTTCAGACTTCACCACTTCAGAGTACGTCGTAAATCATAATTAATTCCAGTCCATTTCGCTTCATTCGGGGTTCCAAGCTCTAACTCGGCCCGACGCCCGTGTCTCAATTATGTAGATTCCGCATGGGCGCATGTTGGTGGTGCGAGTCGAGTCCATTCCCTCATCCCTGTTTAGTGCTTATAGAGTAGTACATAGTGACTGAAGGTTGGGGTTTGCAGCCTTCCCCAGTTCCCACCTCGTTAGTTCAGGGGTTCATGTCACCTTATCCCCGTCCGATGGACGCTGCTCTTTTACTTTAATCTTATTCAAGACCACCATCGATTGACGGACTCACTTGTCATTTGGTACATCTTTCTATACTGGACATTCGCGTTTCTATGTCATTTTTGTTCAATCATTGAAACTCGTACCAAGATCAAGGATGTGATCTCGGTATATAATATATCGAGAACCAACACAATGGGGGGCACTTTGCAAGGGCCAGCAATTATGGTATGTCCAGTGTCGTCCGTACGAACATGCGAACAGTACGAACGGCTCGAGAATTGTACGGGACTGGCATTAACTGGCCCATAGGCGGTGGACTGGACGATGTACGGATTGGCATTCATCTTGGTGTCAATACGGATATGGTTTCGACTCCTCTACCAGCGAGTCGGGCTCAAATTTTCCGACATTCTCCTTATCCTCTCGGTGCTCTTCGCTACAGGATTGGAAATAACCCTCACGATGACATTCGAACGTGGAGGAATGTTTGAAGAAATCGCTGAGACAAGTCCTACGACAAACGTAAAGGTGGGTAGTTCATCTCGTCCCAACTAAATGGATCCAGCTCATAAAGGATTAGATTGGGTACATGGGGATATTCTTCTACAATGCCTCACTGTACTGCGCGAAGTTTAGCCTCCTCAGCCTCTACTATTTCCTCATCCCGCAGACATGGCCCAATTTACGTACCGCACTCATTGTTACCATCGTTTACAGCGTTGGGTCCTATCTTACGACCCTATTCCTAACACTATTTTGGTGTGGAACGAATATTGCATCGAATTTCATCCCTTCCTTCCCAGCTTGCAGCATCTATAATGCCACGTATCTCAATACGGTCTGGGCGTTGGACATTACCTCTGATGTAATGGGTACGGTAAATCTTCCGGAGCATGAACGAGACTTTCGCTGACTTGTGCTGCAAGCTTTTGTGCTTCCGTTCCCGTTGTTGGTTGAACTCCAATTGGCGAGGAAGCAGGTTGTAGCCTTGGGCCTAACGTTCGGACTGGGCATCATCACCATGGCGGTGAGCGTGGGACGGTTTGCCGCAGTCAAGCAAAACTCCATCATGCCTTTTTGTACGTCCACTCCATGATCCGTCCGACTTTCCCGGCACTTCCACGGACATCGGGAGTCGTTCGCTGATCTGAATCGTGCAGTTGTCTGGTCCTCGGCCGAATGCACGACAGCGATCATGGTCGCCGCTCTCCCAGCATTGAGACCTCTACTCAAGCGGGCCACCAGAACCAGCCCTCGAACTTACACCGACGCATTGGGTGTGGACGAGATGCAGCGCCATCAAACCACCAAACGCGCTGTTCAATCCCGTGCGAGCGTCCGCAGCAACGATTCGGCATATTCGATGACCCGTCAACATCACAGTTTCGGCGCATCAAGAAAAGATTGGGTGCAGATACGGGCCAGAAGACACCGTCACACCCCTCAATTCATGGCGGAGAATCTGATATATAATTTTCCTAGCATGAGGATATGTTTTAGCATTCGGTTTTTGATTCCCCAAAGGTGAAAGGTTCCAGGCTGGGTTATGGTCTTTGGTTAGGAAAAAAGACAGCTTGGGGCTGGTTTGAGTTGGGTGGGAATCACCCCCGGGGACATTATGATGACTATGGTTTGATCGATGGCGAAAGAAATATTCAAAAGCATAATTCGTCAGCAGATGACTGACAGAGTGCTCAATTTGGATCATGAAGCTAGCAAATATCGAAATATGTAACTACTGAACCTGTAAGTTACGGATCAAATTATTTCCGTTGTCCAGAGCCAAACCCTAACAAACTTGAGGTTCTATCTTCCGCTTTCTATGGCACTTGCTCCAAGATCGATACGTTAGATGCACACTCGACCGATCCACTGCGGGAGACTCGAGCGGGTTTCCCAAGTCCAGCTAATGGCGGACCCTTAGCCCATCCCATCCTCCGTTTCCCGCCGTACAAGATTGTCATTATCCATGACCTCCATCGGCTTTACAGCTGATCTTTCGTGATTTTTAATCCCTTTTTGCGAACCTATTAGCGCCAAAACCTCATCCATACCACGATGTTGCAACAGCTCACGGCACGTATACCCGCTAGTATCTATCGAATCAGGGTCTGCTCCCGCTTCAACTAGAAGCTTTACTGCCTCAATATTCCCTCTCCAAACTGCCACGAAGAGTGGCGTATCAAACTATTTTGCCTTCCAACCACTTAGCACGTCACGTGCGACAATATGTAACTGACGATAACTATTGAAATATTACAAATATAATTCAGTCGAATTATTTCAGACAGTCCCTGGACTGGTGGCGCAGCATTGGCACACCCATCGCCCTTTTTGGATGGATCCTCTGCCAAAATCTGATGCCCCAACGCCAGGGATGACTAAAGGCAAAGTTCGCAAGATACCCCTGTCAAAAATGTAACAACGTCAAACAATTCCGCTGTAGGCGTGGGAGTGTTCGACACAAAATTTGACATGAGGGATTTACTTAAGAAACCATTATAGCCATCGGGCCTTATAGGTAGAGAATAATCGCGTATTGCTTGGGAATGAACATGGTCACAGCCCTTGAAATTAGTACGAATGACCACCATCATGCAAGCGGTCTCGAGTCGAGGCCTTGTAAGAGGAGAGGTAGTACCACTCCGAGGTCAGAAACAAGTAGTTGCCAGTCATGATGATACAATATGGCTACAGAGTATTGCAGTGATGGAAGCTACGTCTTTAGACTAAATAGTTACAGGCTTTCGTCAAGACATGTACTCATATCAGTACCACAGAAATCAAGACGAAGATGACCCGCCCAACCTTCTTTGGATGGATGAGACTGTGATATATCTAATAGAAAATGTTGTGAATCCGGGCCGCATGGTTCTTAAAGCGCATTTCGGAGCTCAACGCCTCCTCGCAGAGCGGGTGAGGACATTCCGGCTCTTTCGACCAATCGTGGTGGCGCAGATGCTTCTCAACGTGGTCCTTCAGAACATCCTTTCAAGAGAACGCGAATGTTCTGGACTGCGGGCCTAGACCTTGATTACCGAGACAGAACAGGCATTGCGTGCCCGGACACACCAAGGGGAAGAGGTCAGGGTCCACGTCTTTCTCCTCAGAGACCTCTTCTAGAGACTTGTCTCGCAACGAGAGATGACGACGCGGCGCAGGGCGGGTCATATGCCGACCGCATAGGTTAATCAGGTTGTCCATCGCTGCTATGCGTTGTGTATATAGCTCTTCCTCAGACACTTCCCTAACATCTCGGTTCTGGAAGAGGAGCGCTGCCAGTCTCTCCCTTTCCTCGAATTGGAACACAGGTTTAGGCTCTATATACTCACGAGCGATGCCGCGTCGCTGTTCATCAATGTACCTAGTCCCCGCTGTCCTAAAATATTGTCGCCGGGCTTCTTCCTCAAGTTCTCTCTTCAGCCTCATCCTCTCGTTGCGTAAATGTCTTTGCTCGCTCTGGTACTTCTCGTAGAGCTCTGTCCCTGCTCCGTTCTTGATCTTTCCGAAAGTTTCAGTTGGATTTTTCCGAAGCTGAAGGCACAACTTTTGGATTTGTTGGATACTACGGTCGCGGTCAATTGCTGAGTTCTCGACTTTTATCGAATCGGCCGCGGAGGGATCTCGGGTCAAGCTCATGTGCCCAGCCAGTTTGATAAGCGCATCTTTAGAAGGCACTTCAAGGAATGCGGATACCGAGTCGAACTGGACAACGCTATTGCGGTAATATCGCTCAAAGAGACTTGCACGAGCATGGCCCATGACAAAGCTCCGCATATCCGAACCCGCTACGCCTAGAAATGATATCAGCGAGAGAAGCTATAATAAGGGCAAGAAAGAAAGGAAAAGGATACAAGAGAACTGCCGGCGTGGGAATGTACACAGAAGTGAAATTGTGCACTTACAATCAATCGATTCACCGGCACCTCTATGATAGCTGTATAGCCCCAGAGTATCCGCAATGCCAGCAGATTTACCAAGTCGCGCATTCTGGTAACAGGGAGTCATATATTGAACCGACCTATCTGGTGATATGGCCACCTCCCCGCCGCGAGCAACAGATCGTCGGAAAATCGGAATGTCCTGCATTGACTCTTTCCAATGTAGCTGCACACTTTGCAGGTGAAATGGGACTGAAAACGTATACAAGTCCTTAGGCCGCTTGATCCAGTCGCTTTCGAATGCGTTATCTGCAAAGGCGAGGCTTAAAACTTGCAGAATGGTGCAAAATGCGAGATTATCATCTCGCACACAAAACACCACCTTAATCCTTTCGTAAACTTAGCTGACGTGAGGTCAAAAGGGGTACATAATACTTACGGCAGGCCCTTGTCCCTTTTGCCTTTGAGAAGCCGGAGCCTGACTCTCATAATAAAGACTTGTTGAGAGGGAAGCTCCGGATTCCTAACCTTAAATATCTCAATATCCATGTACTTCAGGCATTCATTCGTGTTGTAGTAGCCCCCTCGTTCAACGAGCGTTGATGGCCTGGCAGAGGTGCCTATCATAAAGAGAATGATCAAACTATGCTGAACCCGTTCGCGCTCATGCGCATAGTATTCGTTCGACAGTGCGTAGTGGTGATATAGTAGTAAGTATACATCATCCACATTCGTGACAGGGTTGTCTTTCATGCCTTCACTCAAACTATACTCGCCTTTGAGGACGGTGCCAATGAACTGCTCATACGCTACTCAGAGAGCGTCTCTAGAAAGGGAACCACGGCCTTACATCTTTCATATCCGAAACGAGGACAAGGTCAAGCCGTTGGTACAACTTCCGAGCATACATCATCAGCCAGTAACGCATCAGCACATACAAGGAACTCAGCTTCGTCATGGCATGACTGTCGAGATACCAATGCATGAACCGTTGGATCTCGGCCACGCTAATATTCTGCAGGCGGGTAAGAGCATCGGGGTCAAGGATTCGGAGCGAACAATATCTAGCCAGAGTTATGGACAGTGAGTTAAGAACTTGGTAAACCTTAGCCATTATTACATATTCTGTCCACTTCCCCCATATAGAGCGGACTCCTCTTTCTGTCGCGTCTGTGATAGGGCGCAATGCTGGGGTTAGGTCATCTGTATAGAGCGATTCATAGTACGCAGCGTCTCGTAGTGTATCCTTTTTGGCGCCTCGGTGCGACTTGTTCCTCCTTCCCATTGCGATGGTCTCAGCGATCGATGTAGGGAGCAGTCTCGATAGGAGAGTAAAGTGGAATTTATCAAATGCCCCTGGATAATAGAGATCGATCTGGACGTGCGAAATGCCCAGAGCGCTAGAGAGGAGAACAGAGAAAAGGGAATGACAGAGCGATCCATCGAGCGACGGGCTTCGACATTGTTTATTATGTGAGAAAACAGAGAGAGACCTCGCAGCGGAGCCATAGCATTTGACATCATCATGCTTCCAAAATTAGCGTGGAGGCATGGAAGTTCTGAAGGTCGAGAAAACCGAGAGTTGGAAGTCCAAAATTGAACCCCCAAGTGTTTGAGGAGGACTGCATGGAGCAAGGATCCTGCGCTGTGAGTATATACTAGCTCTACTCAAGCTTCCCAAAATTGTGTGTATCACGTGAATTTCCTACTTAGGTCCCCCTCCTTCATCTCCACACAGAGGCAGTGCAAAGGCATTAATTTAAGTTTAGAATATGTAAGAGGCTAATTAAGCAAAGAAGTTATTATTTCCATCATTTTCAAGCACCTTTAGTAGGACTTTCTGGAATAAGTTAGCCTCCTTATCAACCTTCTCCCTGGGACAT